AGGAGGAGGAGGAGGAGGAGGAGGAGGAGGATATGATACGGAAGATGTCACAAAGATAAAAGGATTTCTTTCTTTCATTCTTTCCTTCTTCCTACTCGTACATAACCCCGTCGTTTTCGTTTCTCGTTACATACAGCACACCCACGCAGCAAATCTTTTTTCCTTAAACAAAAAACAATTAGAAAGAGCCATGGTAGGCCATCATCCGACTAATGACTCTCCCACACCTGCTGGCCCATGGAAATCAACCGGTTGAACAGCTCGTCTCGCTCCTTGATGGCCATGGCGCGGTACACGGAGCCGTCCCGGGCGACGATCTCGATGCCGTCCTTGACCTCCCGCTCGGTCGCCCACCCGACCACGATCTTGCCCTTCCACCCCAGCCCACCGACCTTCTTCACCTCAGCAATGTCCGCAATGGGCACCGCCCAGTCGGGGTCGCGAGGCATGCTCTCCACATTCTCGTCGTCGTCCAGGTGTGTCGTGAAATACACACACGGTGAGGCGGGTCGCCTGCCACTCGGCGGGGAGACGGAGCTGTCGATGTAGACGGCCCCTTTACGACCACGGTATCTCGCCCGGAATTCCACGGGGCCTTCCCTCGGCTTGCTTTTCATTTCTGCCCGAGAAGGCAGCACGCCCAACTTCTCCTTCGCATGGCCAGAACCCATGGTGGCGCGAACGGTGTCGGTCGTCAATTTGGTCTCCACCGCGCCGGCCGTGCTGGTCTTGAACGCAGACAAGATCTTGGCGCCGAACCCGCCTTTCTTCTTCTTCGGTTCTTGCGTGTCTGCGGCTTCCGTGCCGCTGGGCTGATCCACGGTGATGACATCTTCGATCTCGGAATGCGACGCGTCTAATCCTCCCTCGGTGATGCCATTCTTGTCAATCTCGGCTGGCTTGTCAGGCGGCGCTTCAGAGGACTTGGGTGGAGGCGGCAGTGGCGCACGGTTGGCCTCGCCAATGCGCAGTAAAGTGATGGTAAGCTGGGCATTGGTCGGTACACCCTTGAGGAGGGTGTTGCGGATCTCGAGATACTTCGGCCAATCTGGGATCTTCTCGTTCAGCAATTGAACACCGCGCCTGATCAAGGGGTCGGAGAAGAAGCCGAAGCCGGCAAAGAAGGTTGATCCTTTCATAACCCATTGGGCAGGTGTTACCAACGAAATCAGTAGAACCGGGACGAGGATTGCGCCAAGCTGGAGACGATTCTTCTGGGAAAACGGCGGAGTGGGCGACAAGGCGTTGGCGAGACGTTCCCACATGTCAGAGACCTCTCCGAGAGCGTGCATGATCGGACGGACTTGTTTCCAGACGGCATCCTCCATGGGCTGCTTAGTCTTATCCTGGACAGCGTCCGGGTCGCCGCCCTGAGCAGAGGAAGAAGCATCGGCGGCGGCTGTGGCGATCTTGGTTGGGTCCGGCATCCCTTGATCCAGGACCTTACTTCCGCCCTGATCATCCGGGCTCGCTGGGTCATGCCGGCCAGCAGCACTCGAGATGGCTACAGAGGCAATACCGGAGACCAGGTTACTAGCCTCTTGCTCCACAGCCTCGCCTTTGTATTTCTCGGGTGCTCCGGTGACACTGTCGTGGCTGCCCAGCACACCGGCCTTTGGTTTCTGGACGCCGCCTGATTTGGCACTGACCAAAGCCAGTGGTGCCGGTGGAAACAAGATACTCCGTGATCGGGGAACGGTGATGAGGACGATGAGCATGGTGACCAGGGTGGGCACGATGAAGTCGAAGATCCAGGCCAGAAAGTACACGGCGGCGAAGCAAGCAGTTCGGCGGGGCTCCCGCCACGACCTCAATCTGGCAATGTGTTTTCCAAAGGCAATCAGTCCGACAATGACGGTCATGTACAGACGTTCAATGTTGGAGCGTAGTTTGTCGGGGGAGAACTCCTCGTCGTCGGCCGTATTGAGGTCCAGCCCACCTGGAGGAGCCTGCGGGATGGCTTTGACATGATACATTTGCTGGCAGTGCGGTAAGCGTGTGTCTCCCGCGAGAAGACGAAGCTGTGGGGACGAAGGATACTTGCCTTGTTGAACCTCCTGATCAGCGTCCACAGCTCGTCGTTGGGAAGGCCTCCGACCAAGTTATCTACACCCACAGCGTTGGCTTGCCATCCGAGATTGGTTGTTCTGTCGTCCTTACCGGCCCTCTGAGCTGCGCCCTGAAGTTCATGGTCTCCTGCTTGGCCCGTCGCCAACTGGTGACTTGTGGTAGTGTTCTGGGCCAGGGGAGCGTTCGAAGTGACCGCAGGGGGTTTCGTCGTAGCTTGGGTGATTCTCTGACGGAACTCTGAATCAGGCTTCTCCTCTACTGCTGGGGGAGTGCTGCCGCCGTCGCGGAAGACATACCCCGGAGTGGGCATAGTTGTCTGTCTGTCTGTCTGTCTGTCTGTCTGTCTGTCTGTTTGTCTGTCTGTCTGTCTGTCTGCCTGTCTGTCTGTCTGTCTGTCTGGCCTTCTATGCAGCAATGTATTATGTAAAATGGTAGGGTAGGAGAATGAAGTTTGATCACGACTTGGCTAGGGGGAGGATCTACCGACAGACACTGAAAGCATGGAAGGGGGGCAGGGGCGTTGGTCATCTGTCTGTCTGTCTGTCTGTCTGTCTGTCTGTCTGTCTGTCTGTCTGTCTGTCGGTGGGCTCGAGGACAAATACACGAAGGATAGCAGTTGGCACAAAGGAGATTGGGAGTGAAGAATCTTCTCCAGCAGAACAAGGGAGGAGAAGAGTGGCAGTGGCAGTTGGTGGTGAATGCATCTGGCAATTCTGGTCCTACGTCATTGGCGCCTCCTACACGGTGACAGTACCAAGTTGCATATGTAATGACATACTATTTATCCACACGCAACCTTCTTCCTCCCCGCTAATCGATTTCTCTCGTCGCCAATCGTCTTGTCGGGCCCTAATGGAACTTTGTACTTGGCCGTTGTGCAAGCGACCGCTCCGCTCCAAGTCTCTTTTTCCCTGTTCCTTGTCTTAGTCTATACCAGATTCAGCTCAGATTCCCATCCAGATATGGAACACCGACGGACAAAGAACCACTAATGACGACAACTCTGTTAGAACGATATCACATATCCCGTACATCATCATCATGTCCTGGTAGCCCTTTATCAAAGATTAGCACTCTCCTTATATCTCCTGGTTCCATATCGCGTAACATGTATGTCTGGTGTATGTGTGTCCTTGGTGCCTCGTGTCTCATGTCCCAACTGTTTACCAACTAATATATGCACCCGAGATACTAAATCCACCCATGGTAACCCCCCATTTTGTCGCTGCGTCTATGCAACGGAATAATATGTCTCATGCAGCGGCCCTGCCTGTGCCATCGTATATGGTTTGCCATGCACGTATTTGCTCCTCATCGGCTCCTCATCAATCGCACAGTGGATTTGTCCGTCTCTTCCTTTAAACCATCCCAGTCCATACCTTTTGTTGATGTTTTTCAGCCTCTTTTCCATCGCCTTGTTGTTGAGCGTCTCGGTGTCGACGAAATCGGTCAGCATGTTACTGGCGTAGATGAAGGCCAACACCGCTGCAATCGTGGACGGCTCGCGGGGCAGGAACGGGTGTCGCCGTCGAATATAGACCAGTGATGTCGTGAAAATGACAAACAGCAAAATAAACACGGAGAGAATGAGCGAGGTCCAGAAGGACACGAATGTCTCGTCGCCGTTAGACCGGTCCTCGCCGTGACTTCCCACGTGCATAAAGTCCTCCGAGTTGACCGAGAACGAACTCACAGTCACCGCCAGCACATCTAACAGCACCGACGATACGCCAACCAGCACCAGGAGATAGTGCCGATTGAAGAGAGCCTTGAAAGGCATAATCCCGTACACAGTCGCCTGGTAGTCTAGAGTTAGACTATTTTCCGGTCTCGCGTTGCCTCTTGAAAGCTGATAAAAGGGTTCCATGAGTCGCACGTCAGACTCGAATGTGCTAAAGAACAGCTTCAAGCCGGTGGCGATGAGAATGGGAAGCCACGGTGCAGCGTTAGGTACCACCCGGGCCTTGGTCAACGTGATGACGGGGACGGAGACGAGGCAGAAGATCATAAAGGCCAGAAACGGAATGCCCGCTCTCATCTGGAGCATCAGCGGGTGTGGACTGGTGAGCTTTCTCTCGCTGTCCTGTGGCGGCTCACTCTTCGAGCTCCATTCACCCTGCCAGATGGAAGATTTGTAGAGGACGTATCGTCGATGCGCCAGTCGCTTGTGGATCTTGGCGCAGTTGGCTTCGTCCAGCCCCGCGAAGTCCTGCAGGATGTGCGACTTGGTGGCCATCGAGGCAATTCCAGCGATACCTTTGGGATCGCTGAGCAATCCCGACTTGCGGCGCAACTGAATGAACAGAATGACGAGCACGATGGCCACAAACAGATAGCTTGCCGACAAGGCCCGAGACCAGCCCGGCGAGATTCGTACCCAGTAATGCTTCTCACCATTGGGACACCCGTTTTCATTACACCTGGGATCATGGTTCGTGGCAAATATGATCGAGGGGTTTTGTAGGGCAGGTGAGACCATCGAGGCTACGATGTTGCCCGTGGTAGAGAAGAACACAGCCCATTGTCGGAGCCTGAACGCCTTGAACGGGACGAAATATTGGAACATGGTCAAATGGTCCAAATTCAGCGACGCCGCTGCGGAGGCACCTCGAGGTCGGGATAATTGATAGAACGGTTCCAGGCGGCGAATGTCAAAATCCATGATTGAGAACAGCACGGCGTAGACAATGGTGATCATTGTGGGTAAATCTAAGTTTTGTCAGTAGAACAACATGGGCATTTTGGCACTGTTCACTTACACTTCCACGCAAAGAAGTCCCAAGTCGAAATCTCAGCCACAGCATTGAAGGCGAGGATACCGCTGTGCTCCCGAACGCTCCTGAAGGACCTCTGGCACAGGTACTCCTGAAAGCCCGCCAAACCCAACGCAAGGGCTATCAAGGACCCAATATACCAGCTCCGCATCGAGGATGGTTTCCAGTTGGGGATGTCCGGATCCTCGGGGAAGAAGTAGCTCTTCGTCTCGTGGGGCAAGACGCTCTGCCTCATGGACATGGCCTCGAACGTGCGACTCTGGCGATTCTCCGAGTGCCCGCCGTCCAGAGTGCTTAGATCCACTATCTCTTCGACCTCGACAATCATGTTCTTCTTCTGTGCAAGGTCCTGACCCAAGTCGCGCACCGTCTTGCTCCGGTCGATGCTCGAGCTGTCGCCATGGCTCGTCCCCCTTCGCACTATCCGTGACGGATCTCGTCTCAGTTGCACTCCCACCTTCTTCATCCCATCGCCGACCGACGCACGCTTCTGAACGAAACCGCGAAAGTCAGGTTTCCCCCCTTTGGGAGTCACGCTCACATACCCGGTGTCGTCGTCGTGAAGTCGCGCAGTATCGGAGTTGGATAAGTCGGTCAGCTCCCAGCCCATACCCTCCAACGACGAGAGATCTACCGTCGCTGCTGCACCATCCTCACCATCGTCCAGCGTTGCATACTCGCGGCCTTGCGATCTTTTGGTAGAGCGAAATGTGCCTCGTGACATGGGGTTGATTTTGGTGGTCAAGCGTCGAAGCATGGAAGTAGCAGCGGATTGCCCCGAGCTAAACCGACGAGCTTTGGTGGGCGTGACTGGTTCCACCATGTCGTAGGACTCATCACGCACGATTTGCGTTTCGTCTATCGACTTCAATTGCTCGTCTCCAGAATGACCTCGAGAGTGTCGTCGATAGTAAGGACCGGATTGCATCCCACCAACGGTAGCAGAAACCCCGGGCGAACCTTTCCCCCTGAGCAGTTCAACATGGTCTAGGATTGACGAGTTCGACAGAGGCATTGAGCCTAGATCGTCCTGTTCGTGGTCCATGCTGGCGATTGTGAAACCTCAATTGAGATACGATGTGTGGAATGAAGCGAGGTCAGCTGTGATCCATGATTGTTTCGATGAACGATATTGATAAGGACATGCTTGGATATCTCGGTTCAAATCCCTCGCGGAAGGTGCCCAGCAGTTCCGTTGGTACAGATCCTCAGCTGATGGTTCGATTGTCCCGACACGGTTCCGGGTGCCCACAAGTACGATAGTAACAGAGCTTCGTTCGAAGCGACGGCAGTGAAATTCGAGGTGTCAGCAGTCCTTTCAGCAGTGTTGACCCTTCACCCCTTTTAGCAATAATGCAGAGGGCGTTGCTGTTATATCAATAATCGTTGACTAGTCGCAGATAAGCAACTGGAGTCGGGGAAATTGGGACGCGCCTGTTGAAGCAGGGGCTAGACTTTGTCTCGTAAGGCTGGTGTTAGGCACATGCACGAGCAGAGCGCCTCAAGACGGGACTGGACAGAAAGCCATATCTCACTTGGCCCCTTCAAGCATCGAGGATTTATTTGCTCGACAATTGCGAAGGACGGAGAGAAGAAGGTGGCTCAGATTGTGAGACGCTCTCAGCGATAAGGAGACGAGCGTTTTCAGCTCGTCTTGGGGGATGCATGATTCTGCTCGTCGTGGAACGATCCGTGCGGCGCTACACGAGTTGAAGAGCAGGGCAAAGAGACCAGGGGAGACTGCGATTTGGCCTTTGACGTTCTGGGCGCCACAGACTTTGGGGGGTCCAGATTCTGGATGCGATGGCGCCATGCTTGATGCCCGTTGGATGGGTCATTGGCCTAGTGCTCTTAATTAACCCGCAAGAGAGTTGGCCCTGTAAGGCCCCTGTGCTGCTTGACCCCATCCCTATTTGTCACCTTCAACGGGCCCTGACCGCGTCCTGCACAGGTACGAGTTCTCGTGGGCCATTTAAATGCCCGATGCAGCCCTACACCGTCAGCACCCGCCTCTCCCCTTATCCGGACTGGCATCTTTCTGCATCTGTTTGTTGTACCCATCCAGAGGCCTCATTATTCCTAGAGCCTCCTTTGGCACGTTGTGTTTCCTTACTGCGGGAGGTGGGGTCCAAAAGCCCTAAAACCTATGCATCGGTCACAATCCGACTGCATCCTTTCAACTACTGTATCGAGGCGACCTTCCGGACACGGTGGTTTTCCTGGTCTTGCCAACAAGTCTCTGCCATACTTGACAGACGCAGGGTGTGCAAGTGCCTCTTTGATGACTCGTCATTCAAGGCATGTTTCATCCTTCGACCGAGGGGGTCCTAAGGATTGTCCAAGGGTCGACGCGTCTTATTCATTGGTCAAGGGGCACCCTCCTTCATTCTCTTTGTAAAATGACCATCAAGCCCATTATGCCCAGCATGACCGTCTTCATCCAAGGGTGCTCGCTAAGCATGATGGTCACGTATCCAACGGCTGGCACGTATCCGCGCACACTCCCAATGATGTCCTCTTTTCTGTCCAGATAACTCTGACCCCGCGCGTAGAGCTCCGTGTCATCGGCCACGTTGTTGTCGCCTTTCGTGAGGAGTTTCGGAGACGCTTTCGAGAGGTTGCCGCTGGTTCCACGCGTTAGCCAAGGGGGACTCTTATGTTTCGTAGGGTATATAGATGTCCGTACCTTTTGTCCGCGGCGACAGGCGCCGCAGCTGCATGGCTCCGGACGATGCGATGGACAATTGGAATATCCTTGCCCTTCACGTTGTAGACGACGATTTCTCCCACCTCGGCCGTTTTGTCGCGGTTCCATAGAAACAATAGATCACCCCGTTGAAATGCAGGTTCCATCGATCCACTCAGAACCACCACGATGGGCGAAGGTGAGTCCGAAATCACCGACAGAGACTTCCATAGCATGAAAGCGGTCGACAGGACGAGGGCGAAGTTCAACACCTGCGACAGTGATTGCCGCGGGTTGGCGAGGTATGGAGCGAGAAAGGGTAACATGGTGGCGGAGTGTTTGACGCCAGTTCTCGGTAGGGGAGTCACAGTAGGAGGCTCGACATCGACGTGGAAAGGTGGATTCCAGAGAATGAGTTCAACAAAACAAGACAATAGCAGCCTCCTGCGCAGGCAGAGGATACTCGGTACTGCTCAAAGACCAGGTGGCAGAAGTTCGGACATTAATAATGTCTCCGGGGTTGACCCGAGCCGCGGATTCAAAAGACAAGGAAATAATAATAGGACAGCCCTCAGGAGACTGAATGAATGTCTTGCATCGAGTACATAGTGGTCAGGGTGGAAAGAACTGGACAAATTCCAGATCTGCTCGCCATATCAACTCCTAGGATGCAGGAAGAGAGTGAAATACAATAATCCCACAAACCAGCCCTGGCAGGCTTCGCAATGTCCCAAAATTGTAAACCACAACGACTCACATGCCCCGTAACTCAAAGAGAACAACTCGATCCCGCCCAAACCCAGCCTGTCAATCGATTCGCAATGTCACTGGCGTAGCAGTTGGTAGAGTAACCCCCCTCATCTAGGTCGCCGTTCCCGGCGATCGACCCGGTGTTGTATTGTCGGGCAGCCCGATAGTATGTCCGGGCGTCCTGTCCCCCAACCTGGTTCAGTATGCCAGCCAGGCCGTCCCCACTCAAGGTTCCAGCAATCCCGTCAAGAACCATGCCAGCGATTTCAGAGGCGGGACATGGAGTCTGAGTGTTTCCATTGGTGTTACAAGAGAAGCTACCGCCGTGAGCCTGCATCAACCCCGGGTTGGGCACACCGTTATCAGTCGTTCGGACTCGGACGCAGCCATTGGATTCTTGAAGGAGGATTGCCAGGATGAAGCGGTGGTCAACGTTGGTTTGAGATGAAGCGGTCTGGACTGCGTCCCAGATCTGGTTAATTTCTTCGTCGCTGTTGTCAGGCCCGTTGTCTGGGCCTAGATTGACGCATGATACTCGCATGAAGTTTCGATTCACAGCGAACCTGCTCAGGGGTATCAGTCGAGTCGAGAGAAGGATGTTGTCTGGTCCTCACATGATCTCCAAACGAGACCCATTGTGATATGTCCGGCCAGCCAGATGATGTTGAGCCATCGCCAGAATACGGTTTGTAGGTATCACTTCCTGCGCCAGAGCCGTCGTGAACATTGGTAGGACGGTTGGCAGCGCCCAGAGTAAATACCTGGTGCGGTGGACGAGGAAAGACAGGAGTAGGACTGACAAGACCGAGGAAGATGGCTGCGCTCAAAAGCTACGGAACGAGTCAGTTGAAAGTGAAGGCTTCTCAGACCAGCTCGACTCACGGTCAGGTACATCACTGCAGCCCGCTTTGACCCTTCTTGGTAAACCACAAATAGAAGACACATAGTAATAGCGCTCGGTGCGTCGTTGGTGTCAATACCTCCGATTCTGGGCGAAAGCCTGGCTGTTATGAAGTTGATTAGACAATGAAACGCAACATTCGTCCTCAGACTACTCGTATTGTCTCTCGTCACGTAACATCCCCGCCGAGGATAATACAACACCCTTTCCTCAGCAGCCCTAGCGTGTAGTTGGATTCATGATGCAGATTGTTCCAATCTTCCGAGGACAGTGATACCATCTAGTGTCCTACATGCTGTGGCCCTCAGGCAAAGAATATTGGCGGCTCGCCTCGCAACGCCCTATATCGATTTGTTGCAGCCTCCAGGCGAACAGCGCCTTTGACCAGGAAGGGCCAGTCATCTGCAAAGCCCGGAGTGACCTCCCAACTCTCTGTAACATCCGGTTCACCCCACAGCACACATCCATGTCTCAGAGCAAGATCAATCTCGTGCCAGGTATGCCGGCCAGCAAGCGCCATGCATAATCTTCCTTCCAGTGGATGCTTTTGGATATACCAATGTTCGATAGCATTGTCTCTCACAACGGAGTCTGGGAAGATGTCGAAGCATGGGTGGTGCGAAACTGTTCGCTGGAGGTATGTCGGCTGAAAATCTGGCGCCAGGGTGGAAGTGTCCACTCTCCCGGTAATGAAAGGACTATCAGAGCCCCAAGAAGCCATAAAGCCCATTTCCAGGTTCAGCGCTCTGATGTTCTTGGCAAGCCCACGGAAGACATTGTAATACACCAGGTTAAGGAGCTGATCTTCTGGGCTGGGAATGAAGGTGTGGTAGCGGATGTTCACGGCCTGGATGAGGCTTTCTTCGAACACGACAGGATCTGAATCTGTCACTAAGACGTCTCCTCCAAGAATTTCGACGCCAATAGAGCCAATATCGACCATAGTCTCTTCGAATCTCCGACACCATGACTGCACAAGCTTGAGCTTAAGGTGACCCTTTGACGGCTTGGGTGGCTCGAAAGACATGGAGATGTCAGCTCGTGCTGAGAGCTGCCCAGCAGCAGATACCAGAGAGCTCAGAGTGATTGATCCATTCGATATCATATTGTCTTTCGCTTCGAGGGTAAAGACCCTAACACCCGGTAGTCTGGACGCTCGATGGCGCCGGCTGTCGTCTGGTTCAATACCTGCCCCAGCCATGGCCCTCTTACGGGTTAGCTTTTGCTCAGCCTGACGTTTCCCTATGCACTTCCATTAGCCCAAAGGTTTCGAGCTGGCTTATGAGGACCAACTGTAGGCTCGTCTATTCAAGCGGTTTTGTAGCCTGCGTCGCTCTTTAATGTTTGTCTTGCCCGCCCACAACTCATCGACGCTCCGTGCCTCAGGATGGCCCATGAGGGTGACATCGAAGATGTCATGGTCTTGTATGTGGTTCATCACCGTCATCTCTGAACGTTCCCTCTTCTATTTCGCTGTTCCAGCGGCTGGCCACGAGACTATTTTCGAGTCAAATGTGCGATCATTTCCGGCGTAAAGAAGGACCTAATATCTTGTAAAGAGCGCTTACTTGACCTGAAAATGTCCATTGTTTAGAGGCAGTGTAAAAATTGAACAACTGATGGAGGAAAACCCACCGGTCGGGGTGGGTGGTATATTCGCCAACTTTACTGATTACTATTCCCCAGTGGCTGACAGGAATGACCCCGAAGTAGGAAATACATGGAAACAATAGGCTGACGCATCGTCAACATTGGCGACCAATAGCCGGGAAACAGTCCCAATCAGGGATTCGAGGCCATAGATAGGTATCGTCCGTTTCTTCGTAACATTATCGCGGCGGAGAGTTTCTTGGGTCCTGGTGGATGGTGTGATCCCAAGATGAGACATAGTGCCGGGAGTTTTTGGCGGTGACAAATTCAAGAGAGCGTCCCGTGCATTGTGGAAATAGTTCTGCTGTAGCACAGTTCATCTACCTAGATACATGTCAGAGAGAGTTGAAGGCCTCATGGATGGTGCTTTGGGCATCGAGTCGGACGAGCACATGTTGAGATCCTCTTCCTCCTGTCAGACCACAGCATTTTCAGAAGTCAAGGACGGATGATTGAGGGAATTCCCTCAGCTCCTGCTTCACATGACTTTCAAATGACATCAAATGACAATAGAGCGTTTGGGCTGTTCAGTTGTTTCTCGATTTGGCTTGTGGGTTTCAATGGTCTCGAGATTTCACCTTCCTCGTAAACGTTGATATAACACTAATCTCTGGACTGACCAAATTGCCCCCCTGGCTTCGGACGTCATCGAGGGTGCTCCCCGGGTGGAGAACCAGGTCGCAGTCGTTGAAATTCACCGAGGAACCTCGTCCCGATGTTCGTCTGCACTTCCTATGCTTCTTACGGCAATCACAATCTTACGTTCCCTTGAGGCGCTATGGTCTTGATGGTGCGTTCGAAAAATCTTTCGAGACAAGTCATAACGAACCACGCCGTAATGTTTGGCTCCTGGAATACACAGCCGAGCCGCAACCGAATGACTTGGATAGAATGTTGGTAGAGAGCTTTCGGCTTGTTTGACACGTAATTCCTGGGTCGAAACTTCACGCCTGTCTTCAGAGCTCGAATGCCTGAGGGATCGTTCTGCCTGGTCGAGGTCAAACAAGTCTGGAAAACTCCCACTTTTGTGCGTAAGCGTGAAGGGCGACAGCTCCATAAGCCAGAGGGAAACGGGACGACACTTTCCACGCAATATTAACACGCGGCCGTTAGGTGATCGCCCTCCTGGTAATATCCAGCTCAAGCGGGAAAATCGAACAACAAATAGTCAGACTTTGTGTAACGACGATGTATCCTGTTGAACGGCGGAGGCCCCTTTGGTTTAGCACGTTTATCCACACAGTTTCCCATCACGGTGGTATCGCAATCAAACCCAAGGAAAACTCCGCAACACCTCGCTATGCCAATGCAATGGGCAGCCCATCAGCACTGGTCTTGTAACCAAATGCAATGCCGCCGGAGTCTCGTAAAAGCTCGTTGGAAGACCGTCGATGGTCTCAGCCACATTGACAACATCCTTGTTTGCTCGTATTGAAATTCAAGCATCTAGTGTCTCATGGTTAGTAGGAGATGATGGAAGACAGTCAGAAAAGATATTTGTGCGAGAACGCGCTTCTTACCCGCCCGCGGTTGCGTTCCAAAGCAAGCATCCGTCTCTTGATTTGTAGCTCAGGCTATGAGGTGAAATGTCAGCAGTTGATCCAATCTTGACGTATCTTCTGCGCAAACTTCTGAGAGCTCGTCCACAGAAAGCGAAGAACATAGAATCACCCGGGCTTCGTACCATCCGCTCGTGTTGTCTCCATAATTCAAGCATCCTTCGGCATGATCACCATAATTTAAGCATCCTTCGGCGTGGTCGCCAACCACCATACACCCTGACGCCCCATTCCCAAATGTGCAACAGCCGTCCTCGACCTCTCTCTTTTGTCCGTGCTCATTCTCCACGGACGCAGCTTGCTGCTGGTCAAGCTGCGACTGTGGCGCCGCTTGCTGAGCTTCCCTCTGTGACTGAGGTTGGTCTGCCTGCAGTGGGTCGTTGCTATGCGCGGATGAAGAACGAGAAGATTCTTCGTAGGGGGGCGGAGGATCCATGCGCGGGAATGTGCTCGGTGCGCCTCTATTGGGGGGAGATGTCGGAGCTCTGAGTTTCCCCATTCGAGGAGAATGTCGTGAGTGGTAGGAAGATACAGAAGAGTTTGTATGTGCCGTTTGCTCAGAGGTCGCCAGCTCTATGGATAATACCCTGCCGTTAGCATAAGTCGCAGATCACATCCAGTGCAGGAACTTCAGAAACATATATGCTTCGTGACGGCTACGAGCAAGGCACTGACGTCCCAATCGTCAACTGATGGACGCATTGGAAGATGGCATGATTGGTCGATGCTACGAATACGATTGGCCTGTTTGGTTTCTGCCTGCGGCATCGGTTGCGAAAAGGGACTACCTCAGAAGGCAGGGCAGATGCAGCTTGAGACTTGGCAGCTTGTAGCTGGAATTTGCTGGAATCAAGGTTAGTTTCGAATCGGGAGTAATTGTGCAGCCTAGGACAAAAGGACAGCAGGAATAGAGTTTGGGAGGAGAAAAAGTTGGGTGCCTGGGTTCTAGAAGATCTGTGCGAGGTAACATCTGGGGGGGATAAGGTGGCACAATTCTCCGTCTCCTTTTTGTTGGGATAGCCAGGCGAAGGGAGGGCGAGGTCCTTTGGCAGCAATTATAGGATATGACGCCAGCCACTTTCGCGACAAGAAGAGGCAAGGAGAGGCTCAGTTGGTGAGCAAGTTGGGCAATCTATGTGACTATACTCGTGATAGGTCAGGTTTTAAGGCTGAGTTGATTTCTCGTCTGTGTCTGAGAACATCATCAGCGCTTTCCGCAGGTGCCGCTGACAGGTAGGATGATGTTTTCATACCACTCTTCACGTCGTCTTCTGCTGTCAGGTGAGAGTGGATGAAAGTCGGCAATTTCCATCTCGTCAGTGCCCATGATTAGCCCGGCCTTTGTGGGCTTGTCGCGGGCTCTTGCGTGCTATTGCACCATTGCCAATGGTCATTTTCGGGGCGGCCACCAAGCCCTCACTAGCCACCCTCCCCCGTTTTGGGCTTGGGGCCTTAGGGGGCTTAGGAGGGAGGGTTGCCACCCCTCTCCTGGCCTCACACCATCGCCTGGCCTTTGTTACCTACAGTAGTACCCTACTTGTTATTAATTAGTTAAACTTTGGGTAGTGGTGGCTCGGCGTTGTTGCCCCTGATTTCCTGATGCAATGCTCCGGACTGGGATCGAGATGGGCGCCGTTGAAGCCTCTACGCGACATACATAGTATGAAAACACTGCCCTCCCCTCCTCTCCAACCCAACGTCCTTTTCGATACATCCTCTTCCGCTGGCCCATCTGGTCCATTTGTCACCGACAATCATCTTCTGTATCACGTTGCATCAGCAACATTCACATTCGTTTTCTTCCCTATCTCCTTTCATTCTCGTCTTCATCCCTTTTAATTGGCCTTTGGCCTGATCTCTCGCAATCTCGCCGGCGCCGATCCGAGAGGAACCCTGTACGTGTAGGAGTTCCGGCAACTGGCCTGCGTCGCAACAATGGGCCTCAACAACCACTACCGCTCTGTTTCCACCAACGACGAATCCTTCCCGCTCTCTGAAAAGAGTCAATCAAGAGCAGGCTGGGGCAAGCAGTCACTCTGTCTTTCTGTCGCCACCGGCACTCTTTTCATTGCCATCATCGTCGCCATCTTTTCCCTAATTTCTTCTGTATTTGTCTCCCACAACCCTACCAAATCCGATGCCCTCTCGACATCGGCGACCAGCGCAGCTGCAGTTGTCGCCAGTACGACACTCGCCAGCACCGCTGCTGTCGCCACGTCCACACCGCTCGTTGATGACGACTCGATAAAATCCACCGAGGGTGCTGATGACTCGACCCCGCCAAAAGATGAAATCCAAAACTGCGGTTATACACCCGACGAAGCCAGAGCGCGAGGCTGCGTCTTTGACGTGATGATGCAACTCTGGACTCCCGCAGCCTGTTTCGATGAACCGCTGTCAAACCGTTTCCTCGAGGTTGGCAACTGGACCTGGTATGCTGATCCATCCGCCAGTCACATCTTCACTTTGGAGGAAATGAGAAAGGGCGAACACGATGCAGTCTATGTCGCCCAAGACTACCATATTACCCACTGCATCTACGCGTGGGAGAAGCTCGTCCGGTCGATGAGGAATCAGCAGCCCCTCATCACTGAGTTGATCTCGTATGACCATGTCATCCACTGCAGACACAAGACCCTTCAGCGAGCCGACGGAGGCAACTCCATCCGCGGTGTCCGAGCACCTACTGGATATACTCAGTGTGCACCATATGACACCTGGAAAAACCATCTACCAGCAAACGAGCACTCGTCGACAGAGTGAAAAGAGAATATAAGAACATTTCCGATGGCCTTGAAATTAGCGTTCAGCAGTTGGATTTCGAAATAATTTGGTCAGTTCTCAGCGGCACATAATTCTCGATCACCAGCGTTTTGGAAATGGGCAGTCCCGAGACGCGCTGAATGACAAAACCGCGCGCAGAGTCCAGAGAGTGTTCATCAACCTTGAAGAAAGCCGTGCCAATGCATTTTTAAGAGCTTTGGAGGGACCTTCAATGTCGTACAGGCTCTCTTCGAATCGCTGTGCTTTCTCAGACTCGGTCGATGAATTAGAGCCGCACAGAAGGAAGAATAAGGCGGCTACTTGACTATGGGTTGGGATTGTACCACTCGAAATTCTGGGCTTTTTGGAGAATTGTCAATCATATAAACATGATACAGATGACCTTGTCCATCCTACCACAATAAATAATTGTTCTTTTGAGCAGGGCTCTCTGATACACAGTGCATTCCTTCGGACCTAGTCTTCTCAGTTTCCTCCACGGTCACTCAGCCGCCTACCGTTTCAACCGGTCTTGAAGAACTAGCTTGTCGTATGGCCCTTTTTCCTACCTTGACCTTTTTCGTCAGGCCAGACACATTTGTTATCGCCAGATATTGCCCATGATTGACACCAGAAGACGCGTCGGGAAAGGCTGTACGAGGTAATCTAACCCTCTGCTCAGCGCCACCCAGAACGCCTTCCATTCGAGGCCGACGTGTGTGATCGGCATGACCCTGGTTGAACTGATAACCATCAAATCTACTGGGCACTATGCATCATTAGCTCAAAACTCTCCGTCCTCACCCACTGTTTCAGGAACTCGATGACATTCGAGGAGGGTCTAGAACAACGGCCGTGCATGATGCAGCAAGTTCGTTTACCCTTGGCTCTCTCTTTCTTTCTGCACTCATTGGTCCAACTGTCCAGCGATCGCACGAAGCTGAAATGATTGAGAACAGTATGGCCAATCTTGTTTGTGGCTTGCGTCGGAAACCCAGCTTTGGACCAACTGAGACTGGGCTTGACGGGCGTGAATTTGACTTTGCGCGACGTCGGCTGCGAAGAGGAGTTTTTTAAAGGGATGATCTCGCTGTCACTTCAGCGGTCGGGATGGAGGTTCCCAGCAGTGAGGGTATGCCGCTGATGGATGCCGCTCCAAATACACACCCTCTCGCCGACGAGAGTTCTGTTCACTCCCGCAATCTTGTCTTTGTCTCCAGCTCCCATTAATCCAGCGACACGGAAAGGATGAGTGAGTCGACGGAGCCCGTCCACGACGGCGTGGAGGAGTTCGTGGTGGACCCTATCCGCGTGTCTCTCCTCGCGACCATCGACGACGAGGACACTGCCTACAGAGACCCAGACAAGACGGACCGGTACTCCCTCTTCGAAGCCAAGACCATCGACATATGGGAAACCGCCAACAGAGGCGCCCAGATTGTGGATCGAAGCTATCCCGTCTCACGCAAACTGCCCCCCGACCTGTTCGAGGCGTATCACCCAGCGATACCACGTGGGAGCCGTCTGGCTCTTCGACTCCTGTGCACGCGACCCGCGCTAGGGGCGAATCAGACAGCCAGACACGACGACACGGGACCCCCGGGGGATCGACAGATCAATTACCTCCCTTTCATGGCCGCGGACGTGCAGGAACTGGTTCATCAGTGGGACCTCAACCGCGAATACACGTGGATGAGGCTGAACGCGCGGGAAGTGGGCAACTTCCAGCGCAAGACCGTCTGGAGTTTCGACGTCGAGCCGCCCAGGGCAGTACGGATGGGTACGTACAGACATACATACATACATACCTCCTCGAGGCTGAGAACGTGATACCTACCCCGTTTGTTTCGCCACACGGTCACAAAGGAGAGAAGGCCGAACTGCTGAATCGCCTCCAGGACTCGTGATCCATTTCCCCTTCGTCCTCCGCCCGGCGCGACGAGCCAAATACCTGACCGAAACCAAGGGCGGGCGCACTGCGTCCCGGCGATCGTCGCTCAAGTCGACGTACAACCCGCGGCGCGACGACCCATTTCTGTGGTCGTTTGCCATGTCGCACTCGCTGCGCGACGGGAAGACGCGCTGCCTGCTCGACGGGCTCACGGACTGGGCGATCGGCGACGTGTCGCGCCGGCTCCTGAAGGCGTCGCAGCAGTGGTACGTGCACCCGCTGCACGTGCCGGTGATCCTGCTCGGCATCTTCTTCGACCACGCCGCGTGGGAGGTCAACCGGCTGTGCGTCGAGGTCGGCCACTTCGAGTTTCTGTCGCGCGACGCCCAGATTGGCTCGCTCGAGCACTTCGACGCCATCACCACCCAGCTGCAGTACCTGCGCCGCGACCTCGACTTCCTGCAGTCGCTGGCCAAGTTCCTGCTCGAGACCATGGACTTTCTCGAAGAGAAGATCTTCCTGCGCGAGTGGGACAGCAAGGTCGGCCGGGACGACGGCACCGTCACCTCGTACCGGCTCTACGTGCACCAGACGAACCCACACATGGAGGAGAAGCTGATGAATATCTCGCATTTGATCGACAACAACCTGTCGACATGCCAGTACTTGCAGGCGAGGACGAGTGACGCTCTGGACTTTGTAAGCATGTTTTTTTCTTCTTTCATCCCCTCCCATCCCCCTACGATCAACCGTTTCCGCCAGTCCAGCCCCTATGGCGGTATTCCTCCATGTTCGATTCTTTCGAAATTTCCCTACACACCAGGGGCTACGTGATGAGAGCGCAAAACAAAACGGGCCTTCACCAGACGCTCGGTGTAGCGACATGGAACGTCTTTACTAACCTCCCCCTCTTCGCACGTACGTTTCGTCAACGTACGTGCCGCCTTGGGACGGAACAGATCAAGGGCAAAATTTCGTTGCGTGACAACGACTCGAACCGCGAAGACGCCGACTCCAACAAGACCATGTCGTTCCTGCAGATGATCTTCCTGCCGGCGACGTTCGTGGCGGCCATCGTGTCGATGAACTTCTTCGACCTGACAGTCTCGCCGCCCCGCGTCAGCGGCTACATCTGGATCTTCTGGCTTGTCAGCCTCGGCCTCACCGGCCTCGTGCTGGCCATCTACTTCTTCTGGCGCTGGAAGGGCAAGGTCAAGGCCGAGGAGGAGCGGAGGGAGGCCCGCAGGCGCGAGAAGATGCTGGGCTGGGAGGAGGGGGGAGGCGGGGAGAATGCCTACGGCACGGGCAGTGAGCCGGACAGTGACGCTGAGGGTGGTGGTGGCGGTGGTGGAAAGAGAAGGAGGACCCGGAGGAGTCGAAGACGCGGGAGGGGGAGGAGGGGGAAGAGAACGATCAGCGACGACAGCGCAAATGATGGTGAGAGGCGTACGGCTCCTGGCCAGGCGAAGAAAAAGGAGAAGCCAGAGTTGGTCATGTAGTTGATCTGGTTCGTTGCTGGATATATCATCCAGACAGAGTTGATCAGAACCACTCACGAGGTGTATGTACACACACGCACACATATATATATCAAGGCGAGGATATATATAAGGATGCACAGAACAGTGCCGTTCTGGACACCCCCTGCTCTATACACTCGGCGGCTTCTGGATCTCGGCGGCAGTGCCAGAAATGCCCCTCTGCTCGTCCGGGTTGAGTTGGATACCGAACCAAGTCTTCAGCCCCTGGACTCGCTCCTTTTCCGACTTCGCATCCAGCACGACTTCCTTGGGCCCCTCCCCGACCCTCCTCTGAAAGACCGTGCCCGAGAGGATGATCGTCCCCGTGGGTTTCGTCCTTGTTTCCTCGTCCACAAGAATCCGCACCAGGACGAGTCGGTGTGTGAACCAGCTCGCCGGGTCCTGGCTTGTGCGGTAGTTGATGATCTCGAAGTCCATGGGCAGCCATTCCAGGTCAGCAAAGCAGTAGCCGCCTTGCCATTTTTGTTGGGTCTTGTTGCACGTCTCGAGGACCCAGAGCTTCTGGGATTGATCTGTGTTTGAGGCGATTGGCCGGTGAACGAGGCGGACCTGGGCACCAGGGACCGAATCGTAAGGCTTCGGGTTGTCGTGGTTCAAGGGGATCGGGTGGACGGGCGAGGTACTGCCAAAACCGACGTCGACCTGTCCTGAAGTGTTAAAGAGGCATTGATTCGTGTGATATCCTTGGGTGGTTGGCACGGTAGTTGAAAGGAACGCTAACCGAACACATACCAGATACTTCTGATTGTTAATGATGACGATAATAACTTCGTGTTGCCTGACGGTCCAGGAAATTCAGTCACGATACGGGCATCCCGCATCCCAGAGAGCAGGCGCAACATACCAGCCAGCAAATCCGTCCGGATCTACCGTATCACCATCCAATGCGAGACTGACTCTTGCGCCCGTGATATATAGTCTATAGCCTAGGGACCTCAGGATGGTGCTGAAGAAGGCGTTGTTCTCCATGCAGTAGCCACCCAACCCTCGTTCGACAATTTTGTGATACAAGGCCTCATAGTCGAGCGACAGGGTGCGGTGCCACGAATAATGCAGCGCGATGTTTCCCCAGGGGTTAAAGGCCATCTGGCGCAGCTGCAGGACTGACAAAGCCGCGAGGGGGTCTGCCTTTATCTCAGACTCGAGCGTCTCGAGTGTGTAGTCCTTTGAAGGCGCGATGCATTTCGAGACGTATATGGCGAGTTGTTCGCGCGTGTACGTCGGCCGGAAAGATGAAAAAGCGGCATCGTCAGGGGCTGACGTTGTGTCTTCACCCATGGTGCTTGTTCTTCACAACTACTGTCGAAAATGAAGGGTGTCAGAAGTCGAGACGACCCTACCGGCGGCATGACTAAGTACTGTATGTAACTTGTAGGTGGCGACAGTAGGTAGAATGGTTCTAAAGCGGGTTCGGGACACGCGGAGATGGACGATTGTGGTTTATCATATTAAATGAGCCACTGACAATAGATTGCTGTTACGGAGACGCATTTTGTCCCGACGAGTAGTAGGTGGAGGGAGGGACTTGACTTTGAGGGCGAGATTCCCGTCCGTATTCCGCACGTGGGATGGATGCAGGCTGTCGGTAACTCAGGCAGGGAGGCACAGGAGCTATTCCGTGGTCGTCGGCGATGTGAAAAGGTGAGGAAATGGCATCGAAATGTACAGGTGCACGTGGGTTGAGCACAGCATGCACTTGACGTATGAGGTTGCCATGAAATATGAAACATGGCTGAAGAATCTCAGTGACGCCATGCTTGTGCCAGTTCATGGGAGAGGAAAAAGGTGCTTGTAGGGGGGAGGGAGTAATACCGAGTAAGGTTGGTACCTAAGGGAGATAATAATTGACAGTAGAAAGCGAACGAATCGGGCTCTTTCACTTCATCCTTCTCAGCTCCTTCTCAGCAACTATTAACTAAACTGATCAATGATATGGCCCATCGTCGCCCATCGTCGGTGCCGGTGGTGCTGCATGCGCCCCCTGTCCCTCATTCTCCAATTAGCCTGTTTCTCGCTTCTCATGAGATGAATTTCCAGAACACCAACACAACCATCGATGCTCCCTCATTGTCATCTTGTTCTTGCTCTGTCATCCTTGATCAGGTCATATTCTTGTCTAAACCACTCAATCCTCAGTCGAACATGCCAGACTCGCCCGTCTCAAGCTGATCGCCATCAGTTGCCACGCAGCTGCTATCCAGCCGCACAACCCCACAATCCGCTGCCACGCCACGCCGTCTGGGTCTGAACCTGATTCCGATCCCTCGTTTGACCTCCCTGATGCTACCTTCCTGTTACCCAGGCAGCTCGCTGTCCTCCCGTCGATAACGCCTGCCTTCAGCCATGAAAGACACTCTGCGCAAGAAGACCACCAAGACCACTTCAGGCAGCGAGTTCGACGTGACTTCGCAGCTGGATGTCACTTCTCAGTCCAGCGAATCCGTCTCGCCCAATCCATGGGCCAGTGAGACGTCATCTACCCTGAATGGTGAAGGTATTTCTCGCCAGGTATCCAAGACTTCCAGGACCCCGGACACTACGTCTCCCATACGGAGCATCATGTCGACTGCTACCAAGGAAGAAGAATCTGGCTCTCCGCCTCCATCTGTTCAGCGACTGGACGTTCCTGCCGCTGGCGACGCCGGTGCCCTCGACGACTCTGGCAAACCCACCCGCCGGAGAAAGACCGTCACCAAAACTCCTCATACTTTCGAGCTTGAGGCTGATCTAACTCCTGCCAAACAAAAGGAACAGCAGCAGCAACAGCAGCCTGTCGCTGCACCGAATGAATCACACAAACCAGACATCCAAACGCCCGCCCCCAAAAAGAAGAAACGAGTTTCTTCAGTCGCCCCAGCAGACGCCACGCCACCTCCCACGGTCAATGTCAATGCAGTGCCATCCACTAATGTAGCGACTCCCTTGTCATCACCAAAATCAACTTCTTCTGTTGCGCCTCCTCCCGCGTCGAATCAAGCTCCTCCTCCTCCCTTAGCAACGACACCCTCGTCGTCCCTCAAACCCAATTCCTCCCCGACTGTGGCGCCGGTGAACCCATTCACGACACGAACCAAGAAATCCCAGTCCATGTCCTCGGTCCTTCAGGTCTTTGCTTCTAATCCGTGCCGTTTCACCCCGCCACCCCTGCCGAAAGAATCTTTTCACGGCAAGGTGATCGTGGTTACCAATGGGGCGAGTCAAACAGGCCAGTGCGTAATACGCCAATTCCACTCGGCGGGCTGTCGGGTGATCTTTGGCGACACAAATAGTGACCAGGCTCGTAAGTTTATCTCCTCGCTCGGCCCGCCGCACGTGGTTCACTTCAACAAATGCGACATGACGAGGTACTCTGACATGCTGGACCTCTTCAAGCTCGCCATCACCATGTACGGTCGCGTCGATCACGCAATTTTCGGCGTGGGCGATGATGGCGGCCAAGCGTGCCCAGTAGGTGCGGGTGAAAAGGGCTGGTTTGAAGACCGGTCCGGGATCAACAAGACAGCCAAGATGGCATACGACGAGGTCGCATCAGAACCCGCTGGTTTGGCAGACATCGTCACGGCGAGCATCAGGTTTGCCCGAATTGCCCTGGCATATCTGAAATATTCCCCCAAGTCCAAGAGCAGCAGCAAGAAGGCCATCGTGAATCCTTACTCGCGACCGCAGCCCGAGCCTCCTGCCTCGCCGGGCATGAACGACCGCAGCCTGACCTTTGTCACATCCGCGGCCGCGTTCAAGGAAACCCCGCAGCTGCCCATCTATCAAGTCACCCAACACTCGATCCTGGGGCTCGTGCGCAGTCTTTGGACCAACGTCGATCCAGACCCAGAACGCGACGGCGTGCGCATCAACGCGGTCGTCACGAACGTCATGGTCCCGCGCGCCGTCGCCCAGTCCGGTGGTCGGAGTATGTCGGTGCAGCTTCCGCCCGATCGGCCAGAGGATATTGCCCGCGTCGTCGTGGGTGTAGTGGCCACGAATGCTTCCACGCCTGACATCAACGGCGGAGACTCAACGGGTGGGGGCGGCATTGCCAGCGGCGGGGGGGTCTGGTACGAAAAGGGCCACGAGAGAGGGATGCGCGAGAAGTACCTTCACGGCAGGGTCATCTACGCCGTGGGCACGGAGGGATGGGACGTCCAGGAGGGCATGAACCGCAGTGAGGCTGTCTGGTTGGGTCAGAAGCCTGCCGACGCCCTGAATCGCAGCATGGCCGGAATGAGCCTGGACGGCCAGAGTACTTGGATCCTCGATATGGTCTGAGGGTGGCATTGCATTTGATGGTCTTATCTGTGGCTTCACTAGCTCCGTCGCTGATTCGTGCTTGAATGGTTCGACGCAAGAAAGATAGGGAGGTATATGTCTAATGCACCTCCAGCGGCACCAGCTATTGTTCCCGCCTCCGTCCGTGTGAGAACTCGTTCTCACCTTAGCTCGATGCGCCCTGTGCCTTTGCGGTGGAGGCGGAGGCGTCTAGACTTTGAGGCTGTGAAGGCGGGATACCATCTCTAACCGATGCCATTCCGGATGTACCGACGAGTGCTCCTCTATCAGAATCGGGAACGGGTCTCTCAGGTTGCAAGCGAAGTATTCGTGGGAAGATCTTGGCTGTTTCGCTAATCATGCTGAACCCACCCTGAGCTATGTACATGACTGGACTTGTTGACATCATCGAAGAGTCCTCGGTTTTCGTATTCGCCTTTTGTCGGCGGATTTGTTCGGTGTGCTAAAATAAGGAGGTCGAACTGCATCAAGGACACCCGTGCTGGGTGCCCCAGATCTTGTGAGACGACTTTCCCCTTCTCCCTCGTACAAAACACCTCATTCCCGTTCTTCAGATCTGCATGACAACGATCCCAGCGATGTTTTTAATCTTATTACGGAACGACGAAGCGTATTAGTCACGGCGACATGCTCTGACCGTGTGTACCGCAGTGAATCCTTCGGGTCCGCTGATTAGAACAGACGGGGGGCACGAACCACAGTGTGGGAGGATAGATATTTTTGGGACATCTTCATTCAGTCACCAGACTTGACTAGATCAGGAAAGATTCTCGAAGGTCGCCTAGATCGGTAGACAGTTGGGTGTGCCGAGAGCCACCGACAATGGGAAGTGGCAAGGTGATGCCGCGAGTAATACTCGTGCTACAAGTACATACCTACTTGGCCAGCGATGATCAGCTTGGGAACGGAACGAAGTTCCCGGTCACCAGATGACAGACTTTGGGGAGGATGGTGATGGGCACCCAGATGGACCTACTACTTACTGTATTATGCTGAGTGAATGGTGGAGACCGGTTCATTTGCACTGCCTCATTGTGCGCTCTACCGTTGACATGTCCAAACTCCAACCGTCCACGTTTACTGTACGAATACGCCCTAGGCCATGAGTCCAGGACCAGGCGCTCGTTCCGCGTCCCACCTCCATCCCTCGCCTGCGCTAAATCTCCTTCGCATCGCAATACGAGAGCGTTGGTCCAACAGGTTCCGGGGGATGATCACACTTTCTGTCTATCAGTCTGCCTCGGGCCAGTGCAAATGCTACCGACAGTATGCCGCCAGAGTTGCCCTGCATGACCACTCCACGATATGCGGCATATTCTTCACTGCCCTTTCCCCTCAACAGCCCACTGCCGCCTAGCCGAATGTGTGCACCACAACCTGGTCGCGTCAATGCACGAGCACTCCACCCGGAGAATATTGAGCAAGAACACACCCTCCCCCGGCATCTTTGCGTCGTGCCACTCCCTCGTCCTGTACACGCAATCATCAACACACCACCTCTTGCAGGGCCAGAGGACAGCAATCCTGCGTGATGCCTTTTCGGTGTCTCTGATGCCAGTTGAAGGAGTGCTGTAGGATTTTCAAGTGTATAGTCCGCACGGGCATCCTCTTTCTTTCTGTTCGGCCATCATAAAACACTGCCAGCTGCGAGTGAGCCTTGCCTTGGCAAATGTTAGATCCTTCGTGGCTGGGGGCACTGTGGGATGAGATTGCCCTTCTCCAGTTCAACCACGAGTCGGGCCCGCTAAGATTGGTCTGACCACAACGTTGCGCCTTGATCATTCGGTCGCGGAAGATTGTCGGGCCTTGCAGTGCTGGGCTAGCGTCCAGAACGGGGGGATAGCTGTGCAAAGGGATAGTCACAGTGGTCTGAAGCAGCATCTTCGCGCCCCGTGACTGAGGATCATAGCTGTACTGTAACAGGATTCGATGTGCGAGAAAGGGGGGATGGGGGGAGGGGGTTCCATGCTTCCAGAAATAGCGTGCCTCAGGATGAGTTTTAGGCGCAGGAAGCTGGCTAGGGAGCGATGGCACCCGTTATCCACAAAGCACCGGCCTGGTAGCCAGACCCTTAGGCGGCGGCGCGCCAATCACATTCCCCAGTTTCCCTCCCCCCCAGTCTCACGGCACGCTCTCCTCCTAGTCTCGCACTCTTTTTGCTGAGATCTCCCTCTCATACAATACTATATCAATCCCCCGTGTCATGACGACTTAGACTGACCTGTTGCCCTTCCTGTCTGTTTAGTCGTACGTTGTCGCAAGACCTGCCGGCGCATTACCCTCTTTCTCTCTCTTTCTCTCACACCGCACATATCCTCTCTTGTATCTCACCCCGTGTGAGTACATCTACAGAACATCCACCTATCGCCCATCCTGTCGTCGTCCACGCGTCCCCTAGTCTCCGAATCGGACCCTTCCACCATGGATTCTCCTCGTGAATCTGGCGTCGACAATGGCAAGACTGCCGCCACTCCGATCGGTTTCCGCCCTCAGAACGGTGGAATCATCAAGGTGCAGCCACCCCGACGTGAGGACTTGCAACCCTCGTATGCGCAAACTCTGCAAGACACCCAGGAGGAAACAAATGGCTGGTACGGTTCTATGAGTATGTGTCGGCGTCCGGATGTCAAGAGTCTCGGACCACCCTGCTGACATGCGGCGCAGTCAACACCCTTGGACAGTGCATCGGTTGTATGGGCGCTGTTCCATGCTGCATAATTTGCCCCAACCCATACAAACCTGTGTCTCAAGGAAACGTGGGTTTGATCACCAAATTCGGTCGCTTCACGCGCGCCGTCGATCCCGGTCTGGTCAAAGTCAACCCTCTTTCCGAGCGCCTCATTCAGGTCGATGTCAAGATTCAAATCGTCGAGGTGCCGCGTCAGGTCTGTATGACCAAGGACAACGTGACACTCAATCTGACGTCGGTCATCTACTACCACATCACCTCTCCCCACAAGGCGGCTTTTGGTATCTCCAATATTCGCCAGGCGTTGGTGGAACGTACCCAGACCACCCTCCGTCACGTGGTGGGTGCTCGCGTGCTTCAGGACGTCATTGAACGTCGCGAAGAGATCGCCCAGTCCATTGGAGAGATCATCGAGGAGGTCGCCGCCGGCTGGGGTGTCCAGGTCGAGTCCATGCTCATCAAGGACATCATCTTCAGCAACGACCTGCAAGACTCGTTGTCGATGGCAGCCCAGTCCAAGAGAATTGGTGAATCCAAGGTCATTGCTGCACGTGCCGAGGTCGAATCGGCCAAATTGATGAGACAAGCGGCCGACATCTTGAGCTCTGCACCGGCCATGCAAATCAGATATCTCGAAGCCATGCAAGCCATGGCCAAGACGGCCAACAGCAAGGTCATTTTCTTGCCCGCCACCAACCAGACCATGCCCTCCGATATGAACGCCATGCTGCAAAACCAAACCACTGGTGAAGGGAGCGGCTACAACTCCAAGTCAAACACGGGCAACGCTTTCAACATTGACAGCAACGATGGCTTCCAACAGGCCATGAACGCCCGAGTCATCGAGAACATCTAAAGAAGGTACAAGGCTCTCTGATCCTGGATCCCCAACCATCCGGACGTGCCCTGCGCGCTCGGCCGACCAGACTGATAGGGACGAGCGAGGACAGGGAGGGAGGGCTGCATTGGATGTTCCCTGGGATTTGGTGGGCTTGGCTTTGATTTGCAATATGAAAATCCGGCGTTGATCTTTTTTTTTCTTTTTTGAGATACCCCTTGATGAGTATCAACGCTCGCTTTTTAAGTTGTGTGTATCATTATTTCCTTATCCTCGCAGAGAGGCCAAGCCGGGGAAGCACAAGTGCGTAGCCTGACGGGCTGCTACTCTTCCTGCAAGTAATGACTATATGACATGGTTGTTTTTGGTTCCTTTCTTCTCCTCTTCCTTTCCCCTGACGCAGACCATTGATGTCGCATGTTCGTATTGAGCCTCAAAGGACCGCCGATCCGGTCAGTGAGAACCATCTAGAAGTGAATCGCTGACTATGTCAGCGCTTTGCTTGTCGGTTACTAACTAAACTCCGAGTTGCCAATGCGGCCACATTCGGCCGAATTGTGTGCCCGTATGCTTGGCCGTATTTTCAGGTTCTCTCCTTTCGATGCCAGAGACTGAGTTCGTCGAGTCTCGGCCGCAATGCTAATTATGCTGTTGCCTGATGCACTTCCAAAAACAAAAACACTGGCGGGGAGCGGCCGTCGCGCTGACTAACTGTGAGTGGACACAACGCAGCAGAATCGGTCGTGATGTCGGGAAATCCCAACATGGTAACATTGTCACTCTGGAGATTAGCATAACTCCAAACTGTTGCATCGAGGTCTGCCTGCTTTGAGCAGCTATTTAATGCTGCAGACAACGCTGCGTCTCCCATCAGACTTTCAGCAGTCGTTCAGCAGATATATCGCATTCCTACAAAAACCAGCTTCGCAGCCAGCTTCTTCGGCCGTCCAAGATTGACTGGTTTATTAATTACTATTACGTGTTCGCACCAACCCCATCGAGATGAAGACCTTTAGTCGAGAGACCACCGGGGACGAAGTCGTCAAGGAGTTTGCAGACAGAGTCGAGGGCAAGACAAGTGAGTGCCTCCCACCGTGAATGTAGGGGAATGCATCAACGCTGACCATCCGTTTAGTCGTTGTGACTGGCGCCAGCGAGAAAGGTCTAGGGGGAGAGACTGCCGTGGCACTCGCGCATGGCAAGCCTGCGCACTTGATCCTCCTGGCTCGCTCTCAGTCGCGGGTCGAGTCGATCTTGTCCCGCATCAAAGAGATCAACCCGTCCATCAAAGTCGACTTCGTCCCCGTGTCACTCGACGACTTTGATTCGGTGCGAGCCGCCGCGGCCACCATCAACAGCAAGATCTCCAAGCTCGACATCCTCATCAACAACGCGGGAATCATGGCGGTTCAGAATTACACGACCAACAAGAACGGGATCGAGCTTCAATTCGCGACGAACCATCTGGGTCATTTCCTGTTCACGAAACTCTTATTCCCCAAGCTTTTGGCCGCGGGCCCGGGAGCCAGAATCGTCAACCTAACAAGTCTCGGCCACAAAATCAGTCCCGTTCGCTTCGAGGACTACAATTTCTCCGACGGCAAAGAATACGATCCGTGGTCGGGCTACGGCCAGTCCAAGACGGCCAACGTGCTCTTCTCGCTGTATCTGGCCAACAAGCTTCGGGACCGAGGCATCCAGAGCTACGCCGTCCACCCAGGCGGCATCTACGAGACACAACTGGGAACCCATCTGACGGATATTTCAAAGGCACTCGAAAGCATTGAAACGTACGCGCAGAAGAACACCGGGAGACACTTCCCCATCGACCAGGATCCACCCAAGAGCATGGCCCAAGGGATCGCCACCACTCTGGTGGCTGCGTTGGACCCTCGGATTGAGCCGCAGAGTGGCATGTATATGGCAGATTGCGAGTGTCAGAAGACGTACGAGTACGCCGAGAGTCTGGAGGGCGCGGAGAAGTTGTGGAAACTGAGTGAACAGTTGGTGGGGGAGAAGTTTGAGATCTGAAGAGCCAACTAAGGAGATCGTAGCCAGAGCCTGTGGTAGATGAGGCTGAGAATAGACCTGTTGGAAGTCCACCGTCTCAAGCATGCATTGCCCAGAGCACCTATTGCAGTATGGTCATCTTCGTGCCTGGACAATGTGTGGGGGTGGCTTTCTGTAGGTAACCGAAAGGGCAGACCATTCGCAGCTTTCATCCGAAAAGGCCCCAGACCAACTACGAAGTCCAGATTCCCTCTCGTCGAAGATGGCCCAGCCTCAAAGAGGAATAAGACGCCACTTCGAATCCCCCGTGCCACAACATGGGGTTGCCCTCTATTATACTGTACCAACCTTCCCCAAACGGTCAGGTGGGGTCAGAGTGCCACTGCCGACGTGTTTGCAAGGGGGTTTTCCGATGTGGATGAGTCTGAGTCTGGCGGGGCTGTTGCTGCATTTGAAAGCTCCTCCTACGGGCGAAGGTACTGGAGATGAGCTCTTCAAGTCGCAGCCCATCCCTCAACACGCCCAATCACATTCAGGCGAACTCCCGTCTTTGCAATTGCCGCCCCCAGACGAGTCCCCGGTGTCGTCTCATTGGAGGAAATGCATGGGCACCAGGGGCGTGATATCACACGAGGTTCTCGATCGTGGGAGACAAGCCATCGGCAGAGCGATGGGCGAACGAACCAAGCCCAGTAGTTGCGCGGGGGTGCGTTTGTGGTAGATATACTGACGATGGGTTCATTCCTGGACGTCTTCTTTCTCCGGCCTCACCTTTGAAGTTTCACACCACGAGGGCCACGACACCGAGGACCATTGTTTCCATTATCCGGCACGATGAAGGTCGAGCACACCCCGTCTTCGGCAGAGAGCCATTCACTCGTTGCCCAAGCCCTGGCCCTCCTGAAGGCCAATTTGCTCCTGTTAGCGGTCGTTTCACTCGTCATCCGATGCCTCTATAAGCGTTATGCCTCTCCTCTGCGAAATGTGCCGGGGCCGTGGTTGGCTTCGTGCTCGCGGCTTTGGAAAGGTACTTTTGCGACTCATCCGACCTGTTGTCTTTATTGTGCGAGCTGACTTTCCGGGCCTGAACAGTGTGGAGTACGTACAATGGACACACCGAGTTGGACCATATAGCTCTGCACAAGAAATACGGTCAGCTCCAGGCCCCCCAAAACGCACCATGGACCCCAAAATCTCACTTCCTGCAGGCCCTGTGGTCCGAACCGCCCCCAACGAGGTGTCTTTCGGCACTTGCAATGCCGCCAAAGACATCTTTGCTGTGGGCAAAGGATTCCATAAGACCATGTTCTACAGCGTCTTCCCCCCGAAGGTAAGTCCGACGATGTCCTCGCGTTTCCCGACTGGGACGAGGAGAAAATAACTCCGACACCTTGCAGCATGCACCGGATATCTTCACCGAAGTTCGCGAATGGAAGCACGCGCAGATGAAACGCTATGCTGTCACTCCTTACAGCCTTGCGCAGATGCAGAAGCGGTCGGAGCCGATCGAGGGCATGATCCAGCTCCTAATGGAGCATCTGGAGAAGTATGCCACTGAAAATAAGCGGGTCTGCAACCTGGGTAACCTGTTGCATTACTTTGCTTTCGATGTATAGTTGTCCTTTACGATCCTTTCTTGTGCGGCGGCTAAGATCTTGTTAGGTTCTTGGAGAAGTCGCCTTTTCGCGACAATTCGGTTTCTTGGAACAGGAAGTCGACGTCGAGGGCTCAATCAAGAACATCGACGATGTCCAATGGTACGACGGAATCGTGGGTCACATCGCCGAGTACGACATCCTGCTCCGAAACAACCCCATCCGACCATATCTGGGCTTGCAAATGAAGCCGACCACAATGACAAAAATCGCGGTTGCCGAGCTCGAGAAGCGGAAACAGAAGGACGGGACCTATGATTCGACGGGGATCGATCTATTGGCCGAATTGCTCAGAGCACACGAGGCTAACCCGGAGAAGTTTTCGGTAAATGATGTGTTTAGTATTGCTCATGGCGCGGTGTAAGTGATGCCGCATCGGGGCACTCTTCTCCGTTCGACGTTCTAGAGGTGCTTATGCGTGCTTGCAGGTTTGCGGGATCCGACTCCACGGCTTCGACCATGCAATCCTTTTTCTACCTGGTCCTGAACGCTCCCAAGGTGTACGCCAACCTCTGCCAAGAGATCGATGAAGCTCAAAAGGCCGGCAAACTGTCCGCAATCGTGACCTACGCCGAAGCACAGGCTCTCCCTTACTTCCAGGCATGCTTGAAGGAGGCCATGCGAGTCCGGCCAGCAGTCGGACTGGGAATCTACCGCAAAACCCCGCCTGAAGGGGTGGAGATCGATGGCAAGTTTTACCCCGGCGGCATCGAAGTCGCTGTCAATGGATGGGTGCTGCACCGAGATGCCTCGATATTTGGGGACGATTGCGAGGAGTTCCGACCAGAAAGGTGGTTTGAGCGTGACGCCAAATTGATGGGGTCGCATTTGTATCAGGTATGTTTGGGGACCTTACCCTCATCGACTCACTCCCTCTTGGGCCAAAGCTTCATGAGGTGAGAAAATCCAGCCGATGCTGACTACCAAACAGTTCGGCGGCGGCAGCCATCTCTGCATTGGCCGGAATCTTGCTCTTTTTGAGATGAACAAGACCCTCATCCAGATCTTGAGGGAGTACGACGTCACCCTCGTGTATCCTGGACGACCGCTGGCGTATCACTCGACCTTCTTCGTGGTCCAGGAGGGGCTTGAGGTGTATTTGCGCAAGCGGAGTGAGAAAGCATAATAGATAGTGTGGGAGTCTCCTCATTCGTGGTCTCGTTTAGGAATACTCTGTGAGATTGTCCGGGCTGATTGTTGTTTTCAACCGAGAACACATTACACAAGTACATGAAAATACAGATTAGCAAGCACTCGGCACCCCCCTTTCTCTGCACCGTGGGATGTAACTGGATGATGCCAATGAGAAACCAACCACAAATGGACTGTAGAATCAAGCCATTTGAGCTGTGGTAATTAGTCTTGTCACATGGTGGTGCCAGAGGATGATGATATCAGAAAACATGCTCGACGTCGGTGGTCTCGTATTCAATTTGTATGGGAGTATCCGTGAGCTTTAACTATATCTTTAACCAACTTCTCCGTTCTATATCCCTAATAGAAACAGATTTACGATACTAATTCTTAGGTAGATATATACCGAATATATATCACTGTTAGCTCTCTCGATATGAATAATGTATTTTATAAACTGATCGAGTAAATGGAAGCTGAAATCTCGTCTGTTTGGTGAGTGAGGTTCCTCATACAAATCGAGTGCCAAGACGGAAGGGGCAACGTGCTCTACCTGCCTAATTAAGTCGGGGGGCAGATCCCCCGCCAGCCTCGTCGTTGCAACCTCGTCGCGTCCTTTCCCTCTACTTGTAGTTCACCGTTTCACCATCGTTCCATTCTGTTCACCCTCTCCGTCCTTCACCATCTGTCCTTCCTCACTGAACAATACCACTGCTCTGTCGGACCCTCGCTAACTCGTCCAGGATCCGATGAGACAATTCTACGTCTCTGACCATGTCGCCCTCAAACAGGATTACTCTCTTTATGGCAACATCCTCCTCACGCACAGTGATTCAGATGTGCCGCTCGAAACCAGCGAGAAGACGATGATAGCCCATGTCGAAGTCCCACCCGAAATCCTCCGTGAATTTCTCCTCACTAACAAGCCCCCTAGAGGGTACGTCTTTGTCGAGTTTGCTAATCCCGCCTGGGGCGACTCCCTCGTCAGTGAGGACGACATTGTCCTCGTCAGTCGAGCCTTTCGGTTCGGCGAAGTCGTCAAGCAAGAGGGATGCACCATGACGGGAACAGTCTTCGGTTTGTCAGAGAATTACATCCTGGAGCCTGTCTACCCGAGTGGCTCCTCTGCTGCTCCGGCCTGTTCGACGACATGTCCGTCCAACCTGCCTGAGTTCTTCGGACACCCGAACCCACACATCCTCCTCCACGATGTCCCCGCACAAGAAATCAAAAGATCACAGGATGTCGTTGCCGATGACCGCATAATATTGTTGAACCTTGTCGGAGTGGTGGAAGAGGTGGAGTACAACACGGTGGTCATGCTGGCCGACTCGTCCATCATGCTCATCTCGAACTCTTGGGGCTTGCATATGCCTTGGCCTGAACACCAGAAGCGTCTGGTCACACAACATATGCCCCCTGAGCTTGAGGGGTTCTTGCGACCTGAAGTTGTGGCGGCCCATGAAGGTTGGTCAGACGATGGCCCTGTTGCACGGCCACAGCGCGGCGACTTTGTCCACGTGGATCGTTCTGCGCTAAATACCGCAAGATGGCTATCTGGCGAACGGCAAACGAGTGGTCATTGTGAAGGCATCGTCCTTGACAGCCGAGCTCGTGAAATTATGGTCGATTGGATATCTACCCCTGCGCAGCGGCAAGACACGTCTCCCGCAGCGAGAGCGACCAGAACGGTCATGAATATATACTCGGACGTATACTCGGACACCCAGTGTTCCTGCTGTGTTCTGGAGACGTGTCTGAAGAAGGACGTCATCATCTACGACCCTGGCAGGATGCCCGAGCCACGCTCGGTCGGCGACGAAGCTGGACCTGCCGAAATCCACGGTAGCACAAATATTCATCCAGGGCAGATATTGGGGGTTGGCGTGCGTGTCAAGTTCCGAGACCCTTCTGCAGCTGCAGAGAAGTATCAGGGGATTGCGGGGACATCACACGGCAAGTTTCTCCTATCGACCAAGTATGCATCTCACGACTGGGATTTGAACGAGTTGAAGATTGTCTACATGAAACAGACCGCGGCCGTCCTGTGGCAGGACGGGAGTGTCACGACGGTCGACTCAACCCTCTTAACCATCTTTTCTCTCTTCGAGACTGATATCCTCCCCACAGACATTGTGTTGAAAAGAGAAGGAACGCGGCAGAGGCCGGCGGCCGAAAATGGAAAGGTGGGTGGCGCCGTAAAAGTCTTTGACGAAGCGACGTTCTTCGAGCGACCTCATGATCTGCTGCCAGCTGCTGTAGGTGTGGTCCAGTCGGTGGATCCGACCGAGAAAGTTGCTCGCGTGCGGTGGTTCAAGGACCCCCAACTTGAATTGCAGTTCCCCGATCAAAGTCTGGCGCCGGACTCACGGTTTGGCCCCATGGGAGATGAATTCGAGGATGTGTCGCTCTTCGAAATCATGTGCTTTCCCTCGTTGCTCAGGCAGCGGGGTGATATTTGTGTGGTAAGAGCCCCGGGTTCATTCGAAGTCTCGCATAACGAGCTCGGCGAATCACATCAGTCGCGTCTCGCCAGGATATCCTCGATAATTGGGACCAGTCCATATGCCGGCATGATTCCGTCGCAGCATTCTCCGGTTTCTCCTTCAGCCCCAGCACCTACTTCCAAAGGTAAAGAGAAACAACACACACAAGCGGACTGGGTGGGCCAAATCATATGGTTGGGATTCGATGGCTCCGTCATTGTCCGTCTGGGAGCAGCGCAGCCTTGTCGGGACGTATTGATGGATGCCGACGGGATCATTGCTGTTATCAGCCCCCGCCTCCCTCTTTCGTTCGACGAAAACTCTAACGACGACGACGAACACAGTATTCTCGGACTTGGAAGTGAAAGTAGCTCCCTGCGCTGTTTAATGACTCCGTTGCCCATTTCGGAGACTGTGGAGTACGAGGGCGGAAAGCGTCTTGACAATGACAGCGGCGATGAGAATTGGACGTCTGAAGAGGACGAGGCTTCTGCGGGGGCCGAAGAAGAAGAAGAAATCCCTGAGAAAGGCACAGATGTGGACATGACGGACGCTGAGGAGCAAGTGGATCATGCAGCAGAACCACCGCGGTCACTGTTTCAGCTGGAGAACCTGCTCGGATCTGAACCACCGGCGCAGTTTCTTGTGCTGGAGCAGCCGCCGCCACCTGATCAATTCAACCTTCATACCGCTCCGTCGACGCAAGGGATGGCACGCATCGTCAAAGAACACCGGATCTTGCTGAACTCTCTCCCCGAAGGTGAGATCTATGTTCGCACCTATGAGAGTCGGCTCGACCTCCTGCGGTGCCTCATCATTGGCCCGCGAGATACGCCTTATGAACATGCACCCTTTTTGATCGACCTGTACCTGCCTCGGGAGTTTCCCGAGGAGCCCCCGAAAGCCCATTTCCACAGCTGGACGAGTGGACTCGGACGCATCAATCCGAACCTTTACGAAGAAGGCAGGATCTGTTTGAGCCTGTTGGGCACCTGGTCTGGAAGACAGGCGAGCGAGAAATGGAGCAAAGACGCCACGTTGCTTCAAGTGCTGGTCTCCTTACAAGGGTTGGTATTTGTCAGAAGGCCATTCTACAACGAGGCAGGATTCGAAGGGTACGAGCAGAGTAATGCATATGCCACGGAATCAGATTCCTACAGTGAAAAGGCTTTTGTCATGGCCCGGGGATTTGTGAAGAGTGCTCTGCTCCGACCTCCCGGGGGGGTGGAAGACATTCTGGCCTGGTTGTATCTGCCGCGCGATGTCTCGCACCCGACTCAGAGCCTGCTTGGCACTGTCGTCGAACGAGGGAAGGCCCTCCTGCAGAGATCTGAAGAGGCTCGATCAAATCAAGACGACTCATTGGTCGATTCAGCGGGCGCCAAAGCTGACGACACCAAAGTGTTCTTGAGGCCATTGAGCCGTGGCGCGAGTATTATGCTGAGGAGATTGATTGATGAATTGCAGACCCAGTTAGACCAGTTTCTGGCGGGGAAGGGAAAAACAAAAGGGGATGACTGATGATAGCCCGTAAAGGAATGGGCAAGGCAAGGCGTGCAAGATGATGACTATTTTTAGAAGAGGGTATGGGCTTATAGGCTTTGTCCGCTTGCTGGAGACCTGCAGACACACAATAGGCGTACAAGGGCTCTAATGATGATTTCAGGATCGTGTATGAGGTTCTCTTAAGTTTCCATCCTGTATTATGTGTATACAGTCAATACGCAATATACGGCCCCGGAGGTATTTTTAACTCGGGGCGTGGGGGCAAAATTAGCCGACGTAGAGCCGGAGGAACAACGGCATCAGTCTCCTATCACCGTCATGTCCTTCCCTTTGTTCCTGATTTATCGTTCCCCTGTCCTTTGATGCCACCAACACCATTCCTCCCATTGTTTGTCCTTTCCGGTCTGGCCCAGCGACGGACTGACTGTGAACCGTTCCCGGTGACTGGTTTGTTGTTCTGACATGTCACCCCCATCACGTCCGTCGTCGTCTCTCCCCTCCGAATCCATGCACCTTGTTTCGTGCCTGGCGTGAGTTTCGTCTTCACTCTTAATCAAGGGGTTTCGACTCGACAGGAAAGCACACCATGGCGTCGCCGGCCATCCACCCGAGCAAGCCGCCCTCGAGCTTGGTGGATCCTCGACAGTCGGGAGACTATCCCATCATCCTGGGGGACAGCCTGAAAGCAGACGCGAAAGCACAGGACCTGTTTCTGAATATCCGCTATAACTGGCAACCGAAGTCCGGCTTCGACACTCGTCAGAGTCGACTGACCAAGGCTGGGGAGCGGTTCCTTCTCGATGTCTCTGACGGTGGTGATTCCGCCGGGGAATACCAGTACGTCGGCAAATCGCTTGCGGGGCCATCTGGAGAAGGGGCGTCTGAAGACCAGCCCCGGTCACTGGCGCTCGTCTTCGACCCGTCCAAGTCGGCTTTCGTCCTCGAAGCCATCTCGGCGTCTCTCGACATGAACCTGAAAGCGGCACCGGGCATGTCGTCTAAGGAAGCTCGGGAGTTGCCACAACTGCCCGGCCATGCGAAGTCGTCGACCAAACAGCCCTCAGCCGCAAACGGGCATACGGGCCCAGCACCATCATCGGACGACGAGACCCCCGATCCCGCCAACCCCTACGACTTCCGACACTTCCTGTCCGAAGCTCGTGAAAGTCTCGAAAAATCAACCGCCGCCGTGCCGGGCAATCGGACGCCCGTCCCGGGCAGTCGCACCCCCATGAGTGGCACATTCACGCCTGCCCCTGCAGGAAACAGATTCTTACCCACCACCCCACAGGCCCGACCGACCTCAGTGCCCGCCACATCCTCCAAAGCGTCGCAACAGCGCAAGAAAAAGACCGAAGACCCGCCTCGAGGACCCGCCCGTGCACCGGCGACCAAAGCCTCCACGAAACGAGACGTTCCCAAATCTACCAAACCACTCAGCAAAGCCCGCGTTTCCGACTCTGACGACGACGACGACGGGGCCGATGCGCCTCGAGCACCTGCACCGAAGCCGCCGAGCACGGCCAAGACCAGACCCAATCCACCAAAAGCTGGAAAAGGCCACACCCGCAACGTCTCGGATAATATCGGCAGTTCACCCCACATCATCATTAACGACGACGACGGCGACTTGGAAATCGACATGGGCAGTCCCCCTCCCGACAATGGACGCTTTCGGCGTGGGAGGGTGGATCCCGAGATGTTCCGCAGCCATACCGCGACACCCATCGGTGGCTTAAGTTCGAACGGGGGACGGTCTTCTTCAAGGCCTCTTTCGAAGCCACCTGTGGAGGAGTCTGCTGGAGGTCGTCCCGGCAGAGAAAGGGACCGAGATCGGGATGTTACGATGAAGGATATCGAAGCGGCCTCTTCTTTGGATGAAGATGAAGACGTGGAGGAATTCGAGCTGGGCAGTCCCAGAGAGAAAAGCCTCGCGGTGCCCAATCGAGGTGACGTTTCGATGGCGCAAGACGATGAGTCTGACAGTAGTGGTGACCGCGGTCGAGGAGGTCGGCGGCCACACCAGCAGCAGCAATCACAACAACCGCAGATCGACCAAGCCCCGCCAACGCCTCCGGAACCCATCGCTTCCCACGATGACGACGACGAAGACCTCCTCGAAGCGGCCCTGGAGGCGGCTTTGGAAGAAGAGGACGAGAACGAGGATAGAGGGATTGGGTTGGGCATTGGGATGGCGGGTGGGAATATGCAGGACGATGAGAGCGAGGTCAGCGAAGAAGAATAACCAAGAGTCAGGCGGCGTGAAAGGAAGGAAGGAAAAGGCCTTGGTGTGGGCAATATAAAACAAAGCGTTGCCTGGACACTTTTTTTTCGACGGAGGCTTTTTTAATACCCGGTCTCCTGGTGTTGGGAATAAATAAGCTGAACTATCATCTTGAGAGTCGCTATCTACTGGCCTCGGTCGTCAAATCTCACCGGCCAAGACATAGTCGTGAATACATCTGCATCAATCCGAACATCTTGGTAGTATGTTTCTACCGTCACGTGTACAGCCTCGTGACAATCCAGCTGGACACGTGACGAGGCTGCGAGGCTCTTGCTTGCTTGGCATACGTCATCGCGTGTCAGCAGCTGACAAGTTTCACATATTGAATACATCGATATATAACTTATATAACTACATCTTTCAGCATCATATGTATGTAATTCATCGTCCCCGGCACTTGACGAAACTCTTTTTCCAAACCTCAAAAAGTCGGGGTTGGAATCCAAAACGGGCTCTAGTCACAGCACACAAGAGAGAGCGCGAGAGAAGAGAGAGAGACTGGCTTGAGAGAATAGGATAGAATGCCTTCACTCTCTTCGCTCAAAAACAGAGTCAACGCCGCCATTACTCCCCAGCAGCAGCAGCAGCGTGGCGGCGATCATCAGCAGCGGAAGAGGGCCGACGACGACGATGACCAGTCGCTGGGAACTCTCCTTACTCGCGAAGAGCGCGCGGACTTGACCCTCCTCATCTCACAGACCATCGAGGAGATGCGGAAGAGTCTGGTGAGGTCGTTCGATGAGAGGCCGAGACCCAACCCGAAGGGAAACTCTCCAACAGCTGAAGTAGGCGAGGCAGCCATGGAGGTCTCGAAATTGAGCTTGTCGGCGGTTGATGAGCAGTCGAAAGGGACACGCCTCGAAGGAGGCACGGGAGACAGCGAGCCCCAAGTCGAACCAGAGCCAGAGCCAGAGCCAGAGCCAGAGCCAGAGCCAGATACATTGCTGACGACGCCCACTCCGGAATCCCAGGCCCTGAGGAGCGCGGCCCTGGCCTTTTTCGACGCCTGGGCCGAAAGCGTCATCCTCCGCGTCGGCGAGGTGGTCAACTCGCGCGATGAGGCCATGCAGGACAAGAACCACGAACAAACCCGCAGACTTGCCACCGAGGCCGCGAGGCAGCAGTTCCGACCTAGCCCCCGTGAACAGGACGTCGACGACAAACTCGCGGAGGTGTTCCCGTCCAATCCGACACCGCTGGCCCGTCTCAGCCAGGGCGAACGTTCCACCGTCGTCAAGGCAATCCTGCTCCTCCTGCTCAGTCTCGAGGCCTACCGCGCCCACTCGCGCGTCCTCCTCGTGCGGCTCGCGGTCTCCCTCCGCATCAGTGTCGCGGAAGTTTCTCAGATGGAGAAAGACACGGCGTACGGCCTACTGACGGCTGCCGCGAAGATGGACGCCAGCGAGTCCACCCGGAAGGCCCAACAGGCCTCGTCCACCGCGAGGAAGTGGAAGATCGGTGTCGCTGGTGTGGCGGGTGCGGCATTGATTGGCATCACCGGCGGTCTCGCGGCGCCTCTGCTAGCGGCCGGGGTGGGCACGCTCATGGGCGGGTTGGGCCTGGGAGCCACGGCCGCAGCAGGGTATTTGGGTGCACTGGCTGGAAGTTCGGTGCTTGTGGGGGGTCTGTTCGGCGCGTACGGGGCCAGGATGACGAGCCAGGCCATGGACAAGTACTCGAAAGAGATCGAAGACTTCGCCTTCCTGCCCATCAACGGCAAGGAAGATGATCCCGAGGAAATGCAGAAGCAATGCCGACGGCTGCGCATCACGGTCGGCATCTCCGGGTGGCTGACCAAGGAGGATCAGGTCACACTCCCCTGGCGTGTGCTGGGCGAGGCCGGCGAACCCTTCGCGCTGCGGTGGGAGCTGCAGGCGCTGCTGAGCCTGGGGTCGGCGCTGACGGACTTCGTGGTCAGCCAGGCGTGGTCGCAGATTCGGCGGGAGCTGATCAAGCGCACCGTCTTCGCCGCCCTGTGGTCGGCCGTCATGGCGCCGCTGGCCATCCGCAAGGTGGTCAAGCTGGTGGACTCGCCGTTCGGCATCGCCAAGATGCGCGCCGTCAAGGCTGGCGAGGTGCTGGCCGACGCCCTCATCAACCGCGTGCAGGGCGAGCGGCCCGTGTCGCTGGTTGGCCAGTCCCTGGGCGCGCGGGTCGTGTACTCGTGCTTGCTGACGCTGGCCAAGCGCGGCGCCTTCGGCCTGGTCGACCACGTCGTGCTGATGGGGGCCCCAGTCCCCGCCGACCCCCGGCAGTGGCGGGCCATGCGCGCCGTCGTGGCCGGCCGCGTGGTCAACGTCTACTCGCGGCAGGACTACATCCTGGCCTTCCTGTACCGCACCAGCAGCGCGCAGCTGTCAGTGGCCGGGCTGCAGGACGTCGAGGGCGTGGCGGGCGTCGAGAACGTCGACTGCTCCGACTCCGTGTCGGGCCACCTCAAGTACATGCACATGACGGGGCCGATCCTGAGGAAGATTGGCTGGGCGGACCTCGACGACGACGTCCTCCGCCGCGAGGAGATGTTGGTGCGTCAAATCGACGAGGAGGAGAAGCTCGTCGAGCAGCAGGGCGACGACCCGGAGAAGGCCAGTGTGTGAAAGGGCATACATATATATGTGTGTGTCAGACGCGGGAGCGAGCGTCGTCGTCGTCGTCGTTGCCGACGAATTCAACAGGGAAGGAAGGAAGGAATGAATGAATGTCTGCCTAGCTATTTCTTTCTTCCCAAAAAGCATATCCATCCTCATTTGCTCCCACCACCAATACAAACGGACGAAACTGAATGAAACAAGGACTCGTGGCCCCAGATACATATACATAGACATATACATAGACATCGGAAGGAGGAGGGAGGCGGGGAGGTACGTACACACGTACCTACATACCTATGTATGGACAGGGGAAGACGGTACATGTACATGTACATGCCTACACCCGCAAGATAGATACATCAATAGCTCAGCCCTCCTCCTCCTCCTCCAATAAGCAATAATAATATAAAGAGACGAACCAGATGCATATGTACTAGGCCGAAAGAAAGACCCGATCGTGAGAGAGAAATTATTTATTGTACAGCGTGTACAGCGTGTACAGCGTAGCATGTACATGCAGCTGTGTATATACTGTATATATACTCACTCACTCCTTCAAGTAGAATTGTGGGTGTATTGCGGAGGACCACCAACCGCCCGAGAAGAGCAATTACATAAAGAGATCGTGCCGTTCACGCATTCACTCTCTCACTCACTTCATCAGTCTATTAGTCCACTTATGGAAACCCATTAACTGACTAGATTTTCTCTCTCTCTCTCTCTCTCTCTCTCTTTCCCTTGCTGGAAAGGATCAGTGATCAATGCCCGATTCGCCATGCCATCCTCATATGAGTGAGTGAGTAGTGAGTGAATAGGTAGGTAATATCGGATACTAGCATGTGGTAAACCGCCTGATAAGGTCCCCAAGGTCGGGGATGACTTTTGTTGGGTTGTCAAGCCATGCGCACACACACACACGAGACCATTACAAAGTCGGCTTCAAGCCGCCTGTGTGTGTTGTTCTGTATACCAGGTACCTATGTACCCCGTGCTCTACGTGTCTACTTCTCTCCACACTTGCCTTGACTTCTCCCTCTCCCTCTCTCTTTATCTCGACCTCTTTGAAGACATCGTCGCAGAGACACATGTATCTACGTACCACATGTGACCTCAGACACGAGGAGGAATGACAGCAATAACGATGAACAGAACCTCATGACAAAAGGTGTAAATACTAACACAGCCGCTGATTTCCCCCGCCTCTTCAGATGGCAGAATCATAATCAGAATCAGAATCAGAATCCAAAACTATCAAGCAGACTGTCCGCGCTCGGCTCCTCGAACATGGTCGGGGGTGGCGCCTTCTTCTTCTGCTGCTGCTGCTCCTCCTTCTTTTTCTCCGCCTGCGGGATATTCTCTTCGTCTTCTTCCTTTTCGAGATCGTAGAATGTCTTTCGACGCTGGAGACTCACGTTGAGCGGTGGCGGAATCTCATCCACGGTTGCTGTTATCGTCTGCTTGCGTGGACTTTCGGGGACAAACTCCCAATCTCGAACCAAGGAAAGCGCAAGAACGTCGCACCCCATGTGGATATACTGCCTGACGCAGCGCATGACGAATCCCCATTCATCTTGTGCGCTGATGACCTCGCTGCGCCATTCGTTTCGCTTCGCCAGTTGGGCACGAAGCTGGGTGTACAACAGCGCCACAAGAGGGTCGTTGGCGGCGTAACTGAGAGATCCGATCATCCCTGCCCCTTCGTATCCGTCGAGCAGTGGTTTGCCCACGATCTTGTGCACAGGATGCACGAGGACCTGAATGGCCAACTTCTTGTGGTCCAGGATGGCCGCATACGCCCAACTTGCCATCCACCGTGCTTGCACGCTCTCAATAGCTAGAGGGAGAATGGTCTGTTCCATCAACCGTGCCAAAGTAGAAGACGGTTTGTGGCTTTCGCTCTCGTACACCCTTGCAATAGCAACGGCGAGCTGCAAATCTTGCAGCTGGTGGATGCAGACATTGATCGCGTCCCAAGGACTGTCTCCGAGCAGGAAGAAGGCCGCCGCATAGTGAAAGCGCCGCCTGCTCAGCAACGCATATGCATTCTTCAGCGCGCTGGCCTTCCATCTCGGGTCGTCGAAGTTGTTGGCCAACAGCTTCATGGTGTTTTCCTTTTCTCTGACCCCAATCGACATTCTCCAGAGCCCCAATAGGACGGGCTTTTTGCGCAAGGCAAGATAATACAGTGAACAGTCCACTGGGTTGCGGTCTTCGTTCTTTGTAAACTCGATTCGACCCACATTCTCCATTTGCTGCCGAAGGGATTCCACATCAGAGAGCCAGCAGAATAATCCCGATTTGCGTGCTGCCTCCCAACTGAGTTTACCACCATAAAAGCGAGTGACCAGGTCGACAAGAACTTCTTGGGATGTGCTCATAGAGGCGAATGCAATTGCACTCCACGGAACCCCTTCGTCGCCGCACGTGTATAGGGCCTGAAGGTAGCGCTGACCGTTCGCATCGACCGATTCCTCGTGTTTCTCGATCTCTGAAATCACCTCGACCTGTTTTAGTATGTTGGATTGTTCTCCGTTCGTCAGCTGCCGCAATCTATACCGTCGCAGGTTGCCTTCTAGACCTTTTGCATAGTCTGAAAGTGGTGGATCTTCCACATCCCCGTTCAGATCACCGTTCGTGGAATAATGCGACTTGTCGACCGACTGACTCGACGTTGCTGCACTTGTAACCCTGTCGGGCCGAATGTTAAGGAGGCTGGACAACTCATCCCCTTCGGTGAAGTACTTCAGATCCTGGTGAAGATGATATAACACATCCCTGGTCGCCTTCAGCCCTTCGGTACAGGTGAGTAGGGTAAGGAGTGTGGGGTGGAAAATAGGGACCAAGGTGTTCAACATTGCCATCATAGCGAAAGTTTCGTTATTTCGCGTCTTCTCTCGCAGATCCCGGAGAGGCCTGGCATCCTCGTTATGGTGACTGCCCGCATATCCCTTGAAGATAAACAGCTGAATGCCGGCTCCCACGACGAGATCACCGCTTCTCAGCCAGCACAGGGCTCCAATGGAGTGGGTGGTAAAGTCTCTGATTCTGATGTGCCGCAAATCTACCCATGCCGGTTCCTGGCCTCCGTAGGTGTACCGGACCTGACCGAGAATGACAATGTGGTAGTCAAAGCAGACGGCAACCAAGGCCAACCCTTGTGGTGAAACAGCCCACGCGAATGTGTGGATGGTGTCGGTCCCATCGAGCTCATGTTCGTACTCCCACGAACCGGTTTTGGCGTCCCATATGCTGATACTGGTGCTGTCATCATTGACAACGACAACCTTTCCGTATCCGCTCGCACTGATCGCTCGAGGCCGGCGCATATTGGTCTCGATCAAGGCGCCAGTGACGAGATGTGGCTTTGTGGAGTCTGGCTCTTCCTGAGACCTGACCATCTCCAGGGTGCCGTCTTTGGCCAATGCCGCGGCGAAGCCCAGGGCGTTGATCTCGCGCGGATCCGCTGGACGATTGTTGGTGCTCATATTGTCACAGACAGATATGAGGGCGTTGTACCGATTGTGCGCGTGCAGCTGGACGTCCCCCAGCGACCGTATCATCTCGCGGTAGCCATTCGTTGCACCGGGCTCGTTTGCTGGAAGGAGCAGCTCCCAGGCTTCAACAGTTCCATCCGCATGATACCCTACAATAACCCGACTGGTGAGTTCTCGTTCGCTGGCGATTCGACTTTGCGTTATGCGCGCCGGCAAACGACCCCCTTCAGATTCCCACACTCCCAGTCGTTTGGCTTTTGCTTGGCGAATATCCCAGAGCTCGAGACCGTGGCTGCTTAGAATTGCCGCGTATCTCCCACGAGACAAGATGACCGCGTCTTTGATTTCGACACTGACGTTGAACGAACTCCGTCGCAGGAGTGGAGCAGTGGACAGAGTTCCGTCATGCTGCCAGATGCTGGTGTGGCCCTCGTCTGTACTCGACAACACGACGTTACCAACCACGTTCCGGACAATTCGCAGGACCGGCGTACCGTGTCCCGCCAGGGTTGAAATCAGGGCGGTCCTGTCTTGCCTCACGGCGGTGTCAAACAGGTGCGTAATCTGACTGTCGTACCAATCGATATCACCCGCAAAAGAATGGAGGAGAATTGACAACGACGATGCCGTCGTGCCGCCCGCGAAGATGCAGAACTGTAGATAATCTTCCAATGGGTCGCTCAGCTGCGGAACATGGATATTCATGCCGTCGACGTGTGAGATGTGAAACACAGACGGAGGCATTCTGTTCTTGTACCCAGCATTTTCCAATCCCCACACAGACATATGGCCCAATCCGTCGAGCACGACGCAGATTTCTGGACTTCGATTGGCGATCTCAATGAGATGCTCGAGGGCGTGGTCCGCCGTCTTGGTAGTCGAGTTCTGGACCGCCTTCTCTGTGACCGTGGAAAAATCACGGCTGTCAATGATGAAGGCATATCGTCTGGTGCTGATGGAACTGGCACTCAGCCTCCGTGGCTGGATCGAGGCATTCATGTTGATATCGCCGACTAGTTGTAACACCGTCAGGGCGTGGGGGTCGAACGTGGTCCAGGCGCGGACATGGTTGTCAGAGCAAAACGTGTAGAGAAGGTTGTCCAGGTTCTGTTCTTCATGCCATGGCTTCCGCCAGTGCAAATTTGTGACCGCAGCTGGATGTGGTAGGTAGGAGACGTCGAATCTGGTGCCCTCCACCTCGTACGACAGCCGTCTCCATATCTTGACGAGTCGGTCATACTGGCCCACGGAGGCGACGAAGCCACTGTCGGGAGAAAGATATGCAAGTGCCGTGGGATATGCGAGCGGCTGATTCCAGACGATGACCGGTGAGCCATGTTCAGGTATGAACCACAGGACAAGCCTCGAACCTCCCAGCAAGAGTTCCTGAGAAGATCCCCATGACAACGATTCCACCCGCAGCTCAGTAGGGTTCTTCAACTCGTGCACCTGAGTCCATCGCAGCACACCCTCTTCACGGCCGACGGGTCTGTAGATATAGACATGAGTGGCATCGCAGAGGGCGATCCGACCGGTGGTCTCTTCGAGGGTGATGGCAGTCAGGGAGTCAACGGTGTCGACGTAGATGGTCTGGAGAATGGATTGAGGCCCGCTGAGGATGACGGCGGCATTGCCGGATATATATGCCTGAAGGTGTTTGTCAAGACTTGTGTCCAAGACTAGTAGAATGGGAGAGACAACTCACGACCAGACGCAGGCCACACCACTGGGCGGTGCAAAGGGCCTGTCGCTTGGATTGAGGTCGCCCAGGCAGGATGGCTCGCATAGGACCAGTGTTTGGGGAAGAAAGTGTTATTGTTGGAACCACATGCTCGAGCGCAGACTTGACTTGTCGTCAGCTCACCAGGTCGATATATCAATCAACGACGGGAGTCACGCAATGGGGAGCGTGCAATAATCATAATATCATGGGACGACGCGATAAGGCAGCGCCAGACCAGCTTTCTCCGCGTCGAGGCGGAGGGACTCCAAGTTGAGCTGTATTACTAACTTATTATTTAATACTCGCACTGGGTGCGCACGATACGTCACCCAAAGGCCGCCTTGCGTTTTCAATACTTCTTCGTCCTCGATTCAACTAAAACTCCACGTTTCATTCCTCAAGCCCAGACTGATTGATTGCACGGATCAGGAGAAGAGCCTTCAAGGGTTCGCAATCTACACCAATATGTCTGCTCAAAAGACATTCATTCCGCTCGGTGAACTCAAGTCCCAGCCATGAGTCTGTCTGTAGGAGAAACATGCTGATGTACGCCCTCTTCTGACATTCACAGAAAACAACCCACAAGTCATGACCAAACTGGCTCATAGACTGGGGCTGTCTCCGGCCCTCTCTTTCCACGATGCATACAGCCTCACTGACCCCGACTTGGTGTCCTTCTTACCTCGACCCGCCAGTGCTCTCTTATTCACTCACCCGTGTAGCACAACCGCTGAAGCCCACTATGCCAAAATCAACGAGGCCGAAGCAGACTATGACGGTGCAGGCCCCGGAGAGCCCGTCATGTTCTACCGCCAGATCATCAACCATGCATGTGGCCTCATCGGTCTCCTGCACTGCACCACCAATGGCACCGCAGCCGACTTCATTCAGGACGGGAGTGACCTAGACAAATTGGTCAAAGACACGACTCCTCTCAAACCCGACGACCGAGCTCGGTTCCTTCATGACTCAGAAATGCTCGAGATAGCTCACGCCACAGCTGCTCACTCCGGCGACAGCACCGTACCACCGCTGGGAGAAGATCCCGGCCATGCATTCGTGGCATTCGTCAAGGGCAAGGACGGTCGTTTGTGGGAGTTGGAAGGCAGAAGAAAGGGGCCGGTCGAACTGGGCATGCTCCAGGAAGATGAGGATGTATTGAGTGACAAGGCGCTCAACTTGGGGCCTCTTCCGTTCCTCAGACGTGAGGAGGCGGCAGGCGGCGGCGATTTCAGGTTCAGCTGTACCGTGCTTGCTCCGAGTCTTGATGATTGATGGAGAGGCACATGTGGCACGATCATTGCGCCAGCAGGAACTCGGGGCTCTTCAGGTCGACCCAACCTAGATTGGGTTCGCTCTGCTTCCACCCTAGACGTTCTTGCACAAGCTTCGAGTATGTTTTGACCTCGTCAATCGAGTACGACAGAAACGATATCTCTTCCTGCCGATGCACACCGGTGCATGAAAACATGGCATACACCGTCCTGCTCTCTGTGTCAGCGTCCTTTGCTGTCCCTAGTGGCTTCTCATACGCTCCGCCTCCGTGGTAGAGACTTCCCAGCATGATGAAGGCCTCTCCCCGGCGCATCTCGGCGTCAAGAACTCCCCGGGTTCCGTCAGCCCCAAAATCGGGCATGTCATCGCCCCATAGATGGCTGCCAGGCACGACTCTTGTGGCGCCGTTAGCCTTGGTCGTGTCGCACGCTGGGACAAACAGTCCCAATAGCATGTCGCGGCCCTTTGCGTACTTGTCGGCGTGACTATGGCGGGCATGGTGATTCTTGTCGTCGCGGTGGAGACCTTGTGCAGAAGTCCCAGGGGGAATATCAAACGCAATCGAGATGGAGAGGAGCGGGTAGCTAGTTGTCGTGACGGGCTTGTTGCCGTAGTAATGGGTCGTCTCAAGGGCCAGAAAATGTTCGCACAAGGCTTGATAGAGCGGGTCGGCAAAGAACTTCTCCCTCACCGTTGGGCTTCTCCCGATGAGTCTGGTTACCGTTCTTGTCTTGCCCTGAAGTGCTTGAAGCCAGTCAATACACAGAAGAGCTGCAGTTTCGCACAGAGGAGAAAACTTGCCGCCCACTTTTACTCCATCGGCTTGCTGATCAAGCCACGGCCGTACCTCCCAGTCCGCTTTCTCAAGCGTAGCCTTGTCCGTAAAGTCCTTGACGATCACGCAACCATCTGCTTCCAATGCTTCAATAAATAGAGACAACGGAGCCGATCGTGATAGCTTTCTGATGCTATGGCTTGGGCTATGATCACCCTTGTGGCTGTCCCATGCCACTCGTCGCGCGTGCTGCAGAATCGATGCCATCAGCCGAGTCCTAACTGTTCCTCAAAATCGGTGCCGAACAAGAAGAAGCCAGCAACAGAGGCTGGAGCACAGGGCGAGAGGGCCAAGATATAGAGGCATTCCTGGTAATTTCGCCAAATCGTTTCTCCAGAAACTTACCACGGTAAGATCTGCCATGATGTAGGACCAGACTCTGTGGCGTCAGACGCTCTCAGCAGATGGGATCGAAGTAAGCTAGCCCACTCTTCACAGAAGCAATGGCCTCACACAATGAATGATTTTCCGGCTTCACAGATGTAATCGAGCCACCAAAAGTCCAGGAAAGGCCGGGGACCTTTGCAGAGGCTGACGACGACTCTTATCGGAAACGGCCATGGTGGAATCCTCCGTTTCCCTTGGCAATGCAAAGCGGGAGCGGAAGTCATCATGTTTGTCAAAGACCAACGGCATAACTTCCCAAGGTTAACGATCATTCTGGGCACATGTAGCAGCGTGCATCCATTGGTAACGCTGGATGTACTTAGCACTCACCTTGGTTGCTTGGCTTCTTCCGCCGCTCGGATATCTCGGATGATGCCTGCGTGCGATAGGATTTGTCTGGACAATCGCAAATGAAAACTAACTGCCGTGTTGATCTCCGTCGCCGGTGCGAGCAACCAAATCCAGACCGATGAGCCAATCCAGCACAAGATTTTCCCGTGCTCCCTGGAGCGTGTCGGAATGGTGGAGGGCATTTTCACCTCGTGTTCACACTCAAAGGGTTGTCTAGATACCATTGGCTTTCTACACGTTGTTGAAGATCTAAGTCTGCTGCTGCGTACATGTGGCCTTTCAGAACCCTGGCAAGTTCGATACCCAAAACCTGCTTGCCTGCTCAACTCTGTCCTTTCCTCGCTTTCGCCTCCTTAGCCGCGATCTGGGCTTCTGTGTGATGAGGCTCACGGCTCTGATGCTTCCTTGCCTCTGCCGCCTCCTTGGCTGCAATCTGCGCTTCAGTGTGATGTGGCTCCCTAGACTGATGGTGCTTAGCTGCTGCTGCCTCCTTCGCGGCAATCTGAGCTTCGGTGTGGTGTGGCGAACGCTTGTCGATCCAGGAGCCGAATTCGTCTTCGGTGCTATCCCAAGGTCCGAATTCGTCAGGAGCTTGAGCACTTCGGGGCTGTTTGCCCTTCGTTTGCGCAGCCTCTTTAGCAGCAATTTGAGCTTCGGTGTGGTGAGGAGATCGCGAATGATGTTCTTTTGCAGCTGCTTCTTTGGCTGCAATCTGTGCTTCTGTGTGATGTGGGGATCGTTTATCGACCCAAGAGCCAAACTCATCTTCGGTGCTGTCCCATGGTCCAAATTCATCTGGAGCCTGAGCACTACGAGGATGGTTGCCTTTGGCCTTGGCTGCTTCCTTCGCGGCGATTTGAGCCTCCGTATGATGTCGACGCTCGATGTCGGGAACCACAGCTCTGACGACTTTCGACGCCATAGAAGCCAACGAGCCCTTTCTGCTGTCAATCCGGTGCACTCCCATTTCGCTCAGATTTCAACTTACCACATATCTCTTCTCCACATTGTGGCCACGAACCTCGACTGTGAATCCAGCGGTGAGTGGTGCGGAGGCCAAAAGGCCAAAGATCAAAGTTCGGGTAACAGAGAGTGCATGCATCTTGGTGACGTGAAGTTGGTTTGGTGTAAACTGACCGGCAGTCTTGAGGAATGGGGGCAAGAGAAGTGAAGAGTAATGGTCACAGACCTATAATGGAGTCAAGTGGAATGATTGATGACTTGGTATCGAAATTTACTGAGGAAGTCATGCAGATTTATATCAGAGGACGAACTTTTTGACGCTCGCACTGCTGATGGTCTTTTACAATGGATCTGGCTCAGCCGTCTGAGACAACATTCGTTCAGCGCGCCTACAAACCCTGACTGCTACAATGAAGGCGTTAGAGGCTGGTTGCACCATCGAAGCCGGAAATGCCTCATGGAGTCGAGATCTCCTGAAGATCTGCGACGAGCAGTACCTATCCACGACCTGGACCTGCGTTTGACCTTCGCCATTTTGCTAACGAAACCCAGAGTGAAACTCTCAACCAGTCTCAGCCTGAAAGAGGTATGTACCACCAATTGCCCCTTGGCTCTATGGGCACGTCGTTTCCCAGAGGGCTGGCGAAAACCCACTAGCCGCACCAGCAGTTCAGGCCACCCTCAATATTGGCTATTATGAGGGCTTGTTCTTCGTACTGCCCGCATCTCTATATGACGATCTATGGCTTAGCTCCAGTTTCGCGACCTTCAGCAAGGACAAGATCCTCCACAAGAGGATCTCGAAGAGCATAGAGGGTTGGATGTTTCCTCCTTTGGTTAGCAATGGGGCACCGAGTGTGGAGAGTCACTGACAACCCCACAACGGGGACAGTCGTTTGACCACTTCTTCCCCTGGCGCTACGCCATTGTGAAGCAGCTCGTTGTGGCACACCTTTCAACCGTTGTCGCGACGCTCTGAAACGGAAATGCGTTGCAAGCACAGAATGGGGAGAATCAAGATTTGCGGCAACTTTACGCTGCCCCTCTGATCTATGTCGTGCATCTAGCTCTGGATTATCTTCAAGGCAAGAGGTTTGAACACACGCCTACAAGATTTCTCCTCTGTTGTCGAACTTCTTTTCCTCATAGCATAGGTCTCATCCCATACGAAATTGCTGTATGCTGAGTGAGCTTTTCGACGGCGTACCTTGAAATGGATTGCAAATACCAGCCGTTGACTCCGATTACGGAAAAGCCACACGCCGAGTCTTTCGATTCCTGCTCGACACTTGGTGACTTGGAAGATTTACATATCCCATTGACAACCGGTTCACGCAGCTGGCCTATCCAGATATTGGACATTGCGCACCGTTTTCCAACTTCGAAATGGCTGTGGATGGTTCATGCGGTCCTGCTCCTGACATCATGCACATTATTTGCACTTTCTATTACACTGCGATCATCGACCTTGAAACACGTGCGAGAGTTTTCTGCTTGGTGTAAGTAGTCCAGTCATGCTAGGTGGCATGCAGACCAAAATACGCTTCACATGAGCTGACCGAGCATATCAACAGCCCCTGCGGACACGGCCGTCGTATTCAACTCTGTGAGGTACAATATCACTACGAGTGGCAATAGATTCGTCGGAGCTGGGCCTGAGGTGGATAAAGCCTGGCGGGAAATTTCCTACGATGGTGAGGAATCTGGTGTCGAAGGTCTGTTATCTTGGCTGATATCTGACGTGGTTCTCAAAACAGTCGGAGACCAATGGATATCGAAATCTGATATTAAGCACCTCGACATGCCGGAGACGTCGCTCACTGTCAACCATCCAGAAACCGGGGAGGAAGGTTATCGAGTTGGGATAGAGGTTTTTCATCAGCTCCACTGCATCAATCTCCTCCGTCGAGTGACGTACAAGGAGTATTACGAGCCGTTAGGAGGAGAGTTTGCAAAGGGACCTGAGGAATTGCAAAGACATACTGGTACGTCAAACCCACCTTTCTCTCCTGTTGGGGGAGGGGGACCGTGGCAAATATTCAACCGACCTGACAGCTTTGTAAAAACACTAGATCATTGCATCGAAGTCCTCCGCTTGAATATACAATGCAACGCCGATATAGGGCTCTTCACATTCTACATGGTCGAAGGTGATCCGTTGGCCTGGCCAGAGCTCAACTCGAAGCACGTCTGCCGGGACTTTGGCAAGGTGCGCCAATGGGCTGTAGAGCATTCGGTTGGGAATATGGAGGTTCTCTCGTGAAGACATCTGCAATTTAGATTATGTTTCGGATCTAAAGTAAAACTATAAGAACCATTACAAGAAAAAAATGAACAATTAAGTCCGTGTCTTCGCGTTCGATCATTGTTGTGTTCTTTTCGAACCCCAGCAGACGTGTCTGCTGCAACTGGATTCCTCTCAATACTTTGCAGGGGAACTTGTAGCAGCTTGGACTAACCAAGACAGAGAAACCCTCCGTGCTCTTCCGACTTGAGACAAAGCTTGAGCGTCGATAAAAAGACCCGTAATGGAGAATGTGGAAAATGTTGCATGGTAAAATGGAGTCGAGTTTCAGAATTGGCTGTATAGTCAACCCCTGCGCTTCAGATGTTGTGGGGTTATATGAGCCCAATTGGACAGGACTCCAGCAACGTCCACCGACTTCTCCTCTTTGTGATACTCCAGTCTCGACTATAGAGGAGACCACTCCGCTGCCTGACCCGTATCGAATATATGGCTCACCCGGCTCTCTGGAACAATGGTGCTGCTAGGCGATCGCCGGACATTTAACGTGGCATCGCAGACGAAGCCTGCGACGCGCTTTCGATCAGGACGGTATGCCATGCTTTCCATCTAAGTAAAACGACGAATGCTCAAACATGTATGGTGTACTACGGTTTCATGGTAAGCCTCCTTGGTGGGAGCTTGACCTGGGCGCTAGGAAGGATATGCCATTCATCCATTGAGAGCACATCCCCCCTTTCAACGCCCATTGCTTTTAGCACCAGCCTCTCCTAGATCTCGTCGATGACAGTTGCAATCTTGAGTCTGCACTGGTATTCTCTTTCAGCTTCTGACTACCCTACTATTTCGCCTCATTGTTTACACTTGATACCATGTCTCTCCCATCAGATGAAAGCACACTTCCCATGCTGTCGCAGCACAGAATCCGAGATGACGAGGAGGATATTCCACTCGAAGACAACGAGTCCGACGTCACCAGAGTCTGGCCTGCAGCTTCGTTTGGAAAGACGGCCCGTCTACGAGCACGAAGCCCCTCGGACATGTCAACTTGGTCCTACAGCCCCCCCAATCCACAAAGAAGAAGACGCCAGTTCGTCATTCTTGTCTTGCCTTGGTTTCGCTGGGGTCTGGTCGTCTTTTTGCAGACCGTCATTCTAGTTCTTTTGTGGCGGCAAAGCCTGAGAGGAGCAGAAGGAGAAGTGGATCCTACATTGAGAGGCAAAACAGTCGAGACGGGAGGAGATATCAATGGTCTCTACAAAACAAGTCAGTACTTCGTCTCTTTGAACACCGCCGTTAAACACAAAGTGATTCAAAATTGTGTATTTGAAGGCAATTCTGCATTGCCTACTAACCGTGTTCAGCATCACACACGTACACATTCTTGAAGCCCGACCCGGACAGATTCATTCCCAACATGACGTCGAACGATGACCGGCTACAGATACGGAAAAATTGGGACTTGCTCATGCCGTGTAAGTCACGGTGAAACACATCAATGGCTCCAAAGCGTTCGCTAACTTGAATGGCCGACAGTGGGCAGTGGTAGCGTCGCCATCCCAGAGTATCGCGACCATCCGCTTCTCGGAGACCCAATTACGGATGATCCCATTCGTTCTGGTCCCCTTTTCGAGGCGTCGTGGACGCACGCCTTGCATTGCGTTAGTTCTGGTTCGCTTTCTTTGTCCTGAGAATCCCGCATCTGACCGAAACAGTTATATTATGCCGTGGACAGCTACCATCAACTCATCGTCAACGGGCGCACGGACAACGACAACCCGTACCATGCCGCCCACTGCTTCGAGTACCTTCGCAACAGCATCTTATGCAACCTCGACATGACCTTGGAGGGGTCGATGTCGACCCCGGATGATAAGGAACGGGGCCAGCCTCACGTTTGTCGAAATCGAGAGGAAGCTATTGCCTGGATCGAGGCAAGGAGGGTGGACGATTTGCAGGACATTGTTGGGCCGTAGCCCTGAATAAATAAAGGTCCATCAGGACAATATGCACGTTATAGAAATTGAATGGTTCTTCTCCTCTTTCTGGCCGGGCTGGACGAAGAATAATAGGCATCCTCGACCCGGATGAGGCACAAAAGTTCGGGAAATAATATAAATTGTGAGATTTCCCCCAACGGCTAAACCTCGGACAAAATTTCCACTCCGCAGTGTGGCATTCCCTCCAAATTTTATTCTCCAGTGCTGCAGTTGTTGACAATCTTCATATTCCTGCGAGTCGGCGGCGGGGGTGGTGACGGGCCACGTAACATTATGGAGACACAAGCCAACAGGCCTCACCGGCCTTCCAAAGAGAAGAAACAGCACAAAAGAGGGGAAAAGAACGTCAAGGCCTTCGCCGTCGCACGACCTGGGCGACTTGCAAAGCAAGCCGTGCGGTCCAGCGACATCAAGGAAAAGCGCCTCCATGTACCCCAGGTCGACCGAATCCCAGAAGAAGCCCCGCCCATTGTCGTTGCCGTCGTCGGCCCTCCCGGCGTCGGAAAGACGACCCTCATCAAAAGCCTGATCCGACGCTACGCCAAACAAACCTTGTCGCACCCGACAGGACCCCTCACCGTGGTGACCTCGAAGAGACGGCGCCTCACCTTCCTCGAATGTCCCTCCGACTCCCTCGCTGCCATGATCGACGTTGCGAAGATCGCCGATATCGTCCTCCTCATGATCGATGGCAACTACGGTTTCGAGATGGAGACGATGGAGTTCCTCAACGCCCTGAGCGTCTCTGGCATGCCGGGGAACGTCTTTGGCATTCTCACACACTTGGATTTGTTCAAGAAGCAGAGCACACTCCGTGCGGCCAAGAAGAGGTTAAAACACAGGTTCTGGTCGGAGCTGTACCATGGAGCAAAACTGTTTTATCTGTCGGGTGTGATCAATGGAAGATATCCCGACCGAGAGATCCACAATCTATCCAGGTTCCTTTCGGTCATGAAGAATCCCAGACCCCTGATATGGAGGAACAGCCATCCGTACTGCCTCGCAGACCGTTTCCTGGACGTGACACCCCCCACCGAGATTGAAGAGAATGAGAAATGTGATCGGCAGGTGGCACTATACGGGTACCTTCGAGGCACAAACTTTCCAGCGGAGGGTGCACGAGTGCACGTTCCGGGCGTGGGAGACTTGACGGTCAAAGAAATTGAATCTTTGGCCGACCCCTGTCCGACGCCCTTTCTAGACCAGGCGATGGCTAAAGCGACAGGAAAAGCCCAACGACGAAAGCTGGGCGAGAAGCAAAAAGTTTTGTTTGCACCCATGTCTGACGTTGGTGGTGTGCTGGTTGACAAAGATGCCGTCTACATAGACGTCAAGACGAATACATTTGACCGGGAGGCGGAAGATGCAGAGGAGAGAGGACTGGGCGAACAACTCATGATGAGCCTACAGGCAGAACGAAAGTTACTCGGACAGGCGGACCGTGGCGTCCGACTTTTTCAGGGCAGCCGGCAGCTCACTGCGGATGATGCTACAGAGAACGACACCGGCCGTAAGACGAAAAGGGGGGTCCGTGCATTCGGTGATAAAGGCGACCTTGCGGAAGCCATTGAGGGAGATGAGGATGAAGGATTCGTCAGTGGCGAGGATGACAGTGAAGCAGATGATGAAGATGCCAACGGCTTCCCCGAGCATACGGGAAGACCTGGGTTCGTCGCAGAAGATGATTCCGCCGAGCATGAGGGCGAAGACGATGTTGCATTTGCTGAAAGTGACTCCGATATGGGCTCCGTCTCAGGCGATGATGACGGCAGCAGGGATCTCTCGGCTGACGAGCTTGAGGGGTTGGAAGACGAGGAAGACTTCGAGGACGAGGACGAGGACGATGGTGGTCTGCGTTGGAAGGAGAATCTTGCTGAAAGCGCTCGGAAGTTGCATTCCAGCAAAGTCGCATTTCGGGCTGCCGATCTTTCGAGACTGATGTATGATCTCACTCTATCACCCTCCCAAGTAATTTCCAAGTGGGCCGGACAAAAGGTGGAACAAGACACGATGGCCGGCGAAGATGAAGATGAAGAGGAAATTTTCTTCAAGAAAGCGAAGACTGATCAAGAGACCACCCTCGAGGACCGACAGACACCCAAGTACGATTATGAGGCGCTTGCTGAGAAGTGGGAAGATGAAGAACATATCCAGTCACTGAAACCCCGCTTCACGAAAGGCTCGATGGCTACTGGAGCCAATGCAGATTCCGAGGCCGAAGGCGAGGACGCCGAGGAGGATGGGGATGACGAGTCTGACGAAGGAGATGGCGAATTCGAAGATCTGGAGGCTGCAGCGGACGAGGATCCCAAAGCTACAGCCGAGCTCACATTGGAGGAAGAGCGGGCCCAAAATGCCAAGCGCAAAGAGGAACTGAAGTTACGCTTCGAGGAAGAAGATCGAGAAGGGTTCGCGAATGCTGTAAAGAAGGACATTGAAGCGACAGAGCAGGAGTTCGGGGAAGACGAATGGTACGACGCGCAAAAAGCGATGCTTCAGAAGCAGGTCGACATCAATCGAGCAGAGTTCGACAGCCTTGACCCGGTCTCGCGAGCAAGAGCCGAAGGATTCAAGGCTGGCACCTACGCACGGATAGTGCTGGACAAAGTGCCGTATGAATTTGTGCGGTCCTTCAACCCGAAGCTACCTGTCATTATCGGCGGATTGGCGCCCACGGAAGATCGATTTGGATTTGTGCAGGTCCGCATCAAGCGACACCGCTGGCACAAGAAGATTCTCAAGACGAACGATCCACTCATCTTCTCGCTCGGCTGGCGGCGGTTTCAAACGTTGCCGCTATATTCGATATCGGACTCCCGGACTCGCAATCGGATGCTGAAGTATACCCCCGAGCATATGCACTGCTTTGGCACCTTCTACGGACCACTCGTTGCCCCAAATACTGGATTCTGCTGTGTCCAATCTTTCTCCAACGCCAACCCAGGGTTCCGGATCGCGGCGACCGGGGTGGTGCTGAACGTTGACGAGACCACCGAGATTGTCAAGAAGCTGAAATTGACCGGGTACCCGTACAAGATTTTCCGCAACACGGCCTTTATTCGCGACATGTTCAACTCCTCTCTCGAAATTGCCAAATTTGAAGGAGCAGGGATCCGGACTGTTTCTGGGATTCGTGGACAGATCAAGCGAGCCCTCAGCAAGCCGGAAGGGCACTTTCGAGCGACCTTCGAGGACAAGATTCTCATGTCTGACATTGTTTTCTTGCGAGCATGGTATCCCGTCAAGCCACATCGATTTTACAATCCCGTCACGAATTTACTAGATGCGCCCCCTACAGGCCGTGCAGATACCGGAGAGGAAGGACACGGCGTCAACGATGGAGCTAGCGAATGGCAGGCGATGCGTCTCACTGGCGCCGTGCGAGCAGCGATGGGCATACCGACTCCACTGGTCAAAGATTCGGCGTACCACAAGATTGAACGACCAGTTCGGCATTTCAACCCATTGCGAGTGCCAAGGACTCTAGCCGCGGATCTTCCATTTAAATCACAAATCACACAACAGAAGGCACGCAAAGCACCAACCTATCTCCAGAAACGAGCAGTGGTCCTGGGCGGAGAGGAGAAGAAGGCACGCGACCTCATGCAAAAGCTGCAGACCTTGCGGAACGAGAAAGCGGAGAAGAGGGCGAAGAAGCAGGAAGAGAGACGGGCCGTCTACCGTAAGAAGGTGGCCGAGAACCAGGAGAAGAAGGAAGAGCGCGAGAGGAGAGAACGAGACGAGTTTTGGCGACGAGAAGGGCGAAAGCGAAAGACGAACGATGGTAGCGGTGGAGGAAGAGGAGGAGGAGGGAAGCGGGCAAAACGATGATCCCTCTCTCTCTCTCCCTCTCTCTCTCTCCCTCTCTCTCCCCCTCTCCCTCTGGTCTATTAGAAGTGACGATATATGCAACGTCCAAGATGATACCCAAAAGATAGCAATAGAATTTATCGCCAGCTGGACAGGTAGCCAGACGGTGGAGTCATGTGCCCAAAGAGGATAACACACCGGCCATTGGAAGAGGCAAATGACAAATGACAGACAAATGTCGAATGACTGACGAATGACTGACGAATGACGAAGCCCCTGCAGAGCATAGCGCGTGCTAAACGGCCGATGCAATGCCACGCGCGCAAAACTCTGCCATCATACAGTAGTAATTAGTAGTCAGTCACCCCCAAGCTGGCGCCCATCGCCGACATGGACACGCACAGCAACTACTCCTGCTACTGCCACTACTACTACCACTACTTGAAGCCGCCGTTGCTGCGCGTCGTCTTCCGTATTATGCCATAAGATTTCCATCCTCATCTCGCCTATCCCTCCCGATAACAACGCGTCGGCACTGGGCCGAACACGCGTTGTTGCAACGCAATCAAGGTCCTCTCGCCCCACCATCTCGAGCAGAACTGCGAACGAGGGTTGGGACGCTCCACCGCTAAACCACACGAGCCACGACCGCTGCAACACGCGACGACGCTTCGCTGTTTCGTCGTTGTTCCCTTCTCCTTCTCACTCCTGGTGTCCTCTTCCTCCTTGGACGTGAACGTAGCAGTCAGGTCCCCCCGTCTCCGTCCCATACTCGAGACCTGCTATCTCCCCACGAAGCGCGACTGCACGTCGCCGGATGACCGAGTCGAATATGCAGCATGCCACGGCGCATGATGCGGCATCCGCCATGCCGGATCCACCAGACTTGACGCCTGCACCTCAAGCGCCAGAATCTCTCCGTTCTGCTCTCTCTGCCGAAGACCTGAGCCCGAAAGACCTCAAACTGTCTACCAGTGACACCTCTACCGCCGTGGGTAAGCCGTCAGCAGAGCATGAGGAGGTGTCGCCCACGACTTCTGCCAGATCGAGTCATGGAGGGTCGCAGGCAACAGAGACTCTCTCACAGCAGGAAGAAAGACTGAACGGGGAGGATGCTCGAGTGGAAGGAGCTCGGCGGGAAAAGACCGACTCCATCTCTCAAAGCCCTCCACCGACCACCTCGTCGGGGATCAAACGAACCGCGAGTGGTGAAGTCAAGAGGCCCAGTGTGGACGCAGTGGAAGAGGGTCCTCCCAGATCTAACGGCGCGGGTCATTCTCACACAACGAGCACTGCGTCAAACCAAGGCAAAGGAAATGTCCTCGAAGTAAGTCAATCACGTCTCCCTCGAGACCTTTGTCGATCTAACGCAATCTAGCTCTCACAGCAGTTGCGCACCAAACTGAAATATGCCATGGTCAAAGTCCAGCACGGTTGGCAGACTCGCTCTTTGGACGAAGTAGAGTCTCTGGCCTCGCAATCACCACGGTCAACCGTGTCTGGATTTCAGAATCTCAATGACCAGCAATTGCTTTCGCCCAGGACAGCCATGTCGAGAAAATACCAACGCGAGTCGAGTGAAAGCGAATCGTCCGACAGCACGGTGGCTCTCGAAAGCCGCGGGCTGGTGAATATGGCGGGTAGTCCTCCGGTGCCGTCGCATCGGGCTCTGGCTCCCCCGGCCGACATAGTTCCTGGTTCTCGTCGGCGCCCGACTCCCAACGCGGCGTTCCAGAGCGTCAATGGAATCCACGTCCAGACTCGAAATTTGCAGTCTTCACGGCCGCACACGAGTCAGCGGACTCCCAGTCAGAATGCTGCAATGGAAGCAGATGCGGTGGAAACCCTTCTTTTCATGGCCAGCCCCAGCAATTCAGGATACAACCCACCCTCCCATGCTTCGCAGGAATCTTCCCTTCGGTCCGCACAGGTGTTCTCGTCACAGACCTCACCACTGCGAGCCCAGTTCAGCCAGACATCGGTCACATCCCCCAAGAAAGTAGTGTTTTCCGATGCCGGTTCCACGGAGCCTCCCTTTGACAAGGCAGCCCTCATTGACCGGATGCTGGACGAACTATCGGACGACAGCGACGATGAGTTGGAGCAAGCCTTCCGACTTGCCGAGAAGAGCAAAATCTCGGCGCCGGTCTCTACGTGATAATTCATCCATATCTACCCTCGTGTGCGTGTCAGTCAGCGGTGTGTTTGAGAAGACCTCATTCTGCATATCATGGGCAGTGAGGCTACGAGGACTATGACTTGTACAGCGATCTTGCATGTCATCTCGAAGGCGGTTTCAAGTTGGCTTACATATTGGAAAACCCCATGTTCTGTATATGCACATGCCATCTTTGCGTCGTCTTAAGCTTATGGATTTATCTCTTTTTTTTATCCTTTTTGGTTCTTCTTGGTGCACAGGTGATCCACCCAGCGTCCCCAAATCATTAGTGAAATGCTGGTTCAATGCTTTGCCTGCTTGACTTTCAAGTGACATTTGTGTTTCGAGGCTCCACAGAGTGAAGCGAACTCCTGGCGAACGACTCTCTGCGATATTGCTGCCCGTGCTGGGATATTACTGATGTTGAGGGTTTTGTCTCCACTCCCAGTGGAAGACCACGGCAGAACACTCCTGTAATGAAGCCAGGCTTCAAGGGACAATAGCCGATGCGAGGCCTCGCCGGTGTGGTCCGCATTGGCAGACGTCGGGGTGAGTGTGGCATCAAGCCCTTCGCCCGCGCTCTCGGCCACCCTCAGCTTCACAGCCGTGTGTCTCTGTCCCTGCCTCGAACATGATCTCCGAAGAAGGATTTATCCGGTGTTGATAACCCCAACACTCACGGTTTTTTGCACGGAACGTGAAGCAAGAAGGGTTCAGTCAATCGAAGACGCAATACATAGTTGTCGTGACATACCAACATACCCCATGGACCCTCACAAGCCGGGGTCGTGCCAGACGCTTGTTCCAAGGCTGGGCACATGCATCATTGAGGAAAGAAAGTATGAGGAGTGATAAATAGTAGTGGGTGACGCATCCCAACCAAGTTCATGGACGCGTGAGGCAGCTTTTCTTCATCGGGGAAGTTGAACATGTCTGTCCGTTAACAAGCTGAGCACTTATGTTCGAATCGACGACTACAGACGGCAACTGTTCATCTGGACTGTAGTAGGAGGGAGTTCACGGGGTTTTCTGACTACCGGTCATTGAGCCCTGTGTGAGGAGAGAAAGAAAGACACGAGAAGTGTCACTCACTCTCGTCCTGGTGCTGCCGTATTAGGTAGAGTATTACTTACGTAGTCTAGACTTACAACCACGAAAGATCCAATACTACTACAAGAAGTACTACTACTTAGCAGACCCGCTCAGTGATGGAGCAAGAGTCTGTCTGGTCTCTTCTCTTTCAAACTCCAAACTCCAACTTGCCTCAAAACCTTTGACTCTTGAGCCTCGGGTCCTACTCGGCAATACATACTCCACACGGAGGATCGATGTTATGTAGCTCCAAGAAAAAAGAGAGAGTGTGTGTAAGTGTGGTTTGGTTTGGATGTGGCTCCATAACATGACTCCTAACTGACTGACTGACTGCTTCACTGACTGACTCGGCACCGGCACCTCGAACGCACAGAGCAGGGCACAGGCAGCATAACACAATGAATGGCTTTCCCCCTCATACCCGAACCGCTTTCTGCCAATCTAGCTACCTACCTATCTATGCCTCCCTGAGGTGCACAAGATGTTGCTCCCCCAGATCCCGACGACGCCACCAATGGGAAAGGTAGGGCTCCAAGGTCTTTGGGATACATAGACCGAGTCGGCTTTCGCTCGAAGGGAGGAGCGTGAGGAGCAAAACACCAAAAAAAGTGTATTTCAATCTGCAAAGGGGTCATATACCCGCCCATCCCCTCTCTCCTTGCTCGGTATTTTTATGTTTATACTTTATAAAAGTACACTTAGTACGGATATCACTGACAGCCTTCGACTACATCCCTCTCTCTCTCTCTATCACTCTCTATATAAACATCGACTTGAGCATCGACTCATCCCGCAGTGTTAAAAGACAACCTAGCTACCTACCTGCCTACCTACCGCACTCTCACTGACATACATTGACTGAGATTGACTGACTGATCGACCGACTACCCATCTCGTGTTACTTACTCTGACTGGACCGACCATCCGGACTCAAATCCAACATGGCCCAATCGTCGTCGACACACCACGTCTTCCCGGCGCCCGACTCGCCGATCGGCAACATCGCGTCGCTGGAGGACAAAGTGGCCCTGATCACGGGCGCGTCGTCGGGCCTGGGCCGGGCCATCGCCCAAGCCTACGCCGCGGCCGGCGCCTACGTGGTGTCGGCGGACCTGCAGCCGCAGCCGCCTCCGCAGCCCACCATCGCCAACATGCTCAAGGACACCGACCTGGAGACCCCGACCGTCGACCTGATCAACGCCAAGTGGCCCGCCTCGACCACGGGGGGGAAGCCAGGCGCCGAGAGGGCCAGCTTCGTCCGGTGCAACGTCACCGACGAGGAGAGCGTCAAGGCCGCCGTGGCGTTCGCCGTGCAGAAGTATGGTCGGTTGGATATCTTTGTGAATAACGCTGGTAGGTCATTTTCCCCCATCGGTGATTTCTAGAAGCAGAGAAGGAGAGAGAGAGGCTATCAATCCGGGCCCCGTGCGTGGGCTGTGGCCCTTTTGTTTTGTGGCAGAATACATCGTGTCCATCGAGCGTGTGTGTGTTTTTGTTTCTTTCTCGTACACATAATTTGAACAACCCCCGGCCCTGACTCTCGCCCTCTTTTTCTTTCTTGCTTGTTTTTAGGAATCTCCGCCGAAGCCGGCTCGCGCGAATACACGGGGTCGTTCCCGCGCATCCACGAGACCGACGTGGCCGCCATGGACAAGACATACCAGGTGAACATCCGGGGCGTGTGGCTGGGCACCAAGTACGCGGTGACGCAGATGCTGGCGCAGGAGCCGCACCCGCGGTTTTCGCGGTCGGCCGGGGGCGCCGGCGACGTGCACCGCGGCTGGATCATCAACCTCGCCAGCATCCTGGCCAGCGCGGGGCTGGCCGGCACGTCGCCGTACTGCGCCAGCAAGGGCGCCGTGCTGAACCTGACCCGCGCCACCGCGCTCGAGTACGCCAAGGACGGCATCCACATCAACGCCATCCAGCCGGGCTTCACCGACACCCACATCCTCGAGAACATGTACACCAAGATCGGCCGCGAGAAAATGGACGCCATGATGAAGCTGTGGCACCCCTGGGGCCGCACCGGCAAGGCCGAGGACATTGCCCGCGCCGCCGTCTTCCTCGCCGGCGACGGCGCCAGCTGGATGACCGGCACCTCCGTCGTGGTGGACGGGGGCTTTCTCGCTCAGTGAGAGGACCAGGAGGTCGGAAAAGAGGGGGCAACGGGGAGTGGGAGCAAGGGGAGGAGGAACCAACACCTCGTGAATCTAATCGCCTCCAACACCTGCAAGGCCGACGCACCGACCACCTCAGCGTCCTCTACAAATAAAAGCTGAGACACGCAGAACAGAACAGAGGATGGCAGATTCGGACAAAGGAACGAACGAAGGCTCATCTGATTATGCATACTCAGTAAGACCAATAGGGACTATGATGCCGTCAATGGTGCAGAACCAAGTGTCAATCCGCTCGCTGGGATAAGCTCCATAAACGCCTCGCCTCATACCTCATGCCTCATTCCATCTTAGAGTCTCCCTGGAGCCCGCCTCTGTGTCCCTTAGCCGTGCACGCTGCCCGTCCATCAAACACGGGTGCCCGCCGTCATCAGTTACAAGCATGCGATCAATCGCCAAAACTCAATTCCCATTCCAATCCGTCCCTTAGACCGACCAGCGACCGAAGGAAAAAAGAAGACAGACATAAGAGGTGAGCCTGGATCTCCTGGGATGCCGGAAATGATCACTGTATTCCATATCCGTGCCAACTGAGGTTATAGTCTGGAGGAAGAGAAACCGCTGCGACTGCGTGGTAGCCCTGTTGACAACTCCTGGCCTCGTGGAGTGTCGTAAATATGTCGCTTCACAAAAGGGGGCATTAGGTATAACCTGTCAAAGTCAGTACGAGATCTCGTGCCAAGCGGGTTCACAAATAGAACTCACTTCTCATGGCGTCCGTGTATCCAGTCCCACCTTTGAGATCCATCTCAAAGCTCTCAGCCACATCAATCACACGCTTGATATGCACCATACTCAGAGGCACTTCTTCGTGCACAGCCAGAGCTTGTGCGGCGCGCACAAGGTTCTTGATCTGTCGCCCATTGACTTCGCGGCGCGCGAGGTCGTTGTAATCCTGCTCGGTGATATTCGCAAGTTGCATCCCTTCTTGATTCTTGACCCGGTCAATGAAAAGCTTCCACACGGTGCGTTTGGCCTTGGTCGTGAGGTTCTGGAAGCGCAGCGACAGGTGGATCCGTGACACAAAGGCGGCGTCAAACGTCTCCACGCGGTTGGTGGTCAGGAAGAGAATGCCTTGAAAGTATTCAAGCAGACGAAGGAAGATGCTGACGAGAGCATTGCGATGGATGTCATGGATGGACCGTTGTTCCAAGAAGACATCGGCTTCGTCCAGCAAAAGGATCGCACCCCAGCTGTGGGCAATATCCAGGATGTTCTGGAGTTCCTTCTCAAGTTTGGTGGGTTCCGTGCCCAGATCGCCCGCGCTGACCATGTACAAGGGACACTTGAGGAGATCCGCGATTCCTTCGGCGGTCAAGGTCTTGCCGGTGCCGGGAGGACCATGGAGAACGGCCACCAAGCCACGGCCTTTGCCAGAGATGATGTCGTCAATGCTTTTGTGGGCTTGGAAGGCATGGCTGGAAACAAGGGCCTTGACGATGGACTTGTGGCTGTCCGGAAGGACAAGGCTTTCAAATGCTTGGTCGTTGAAGACAACGTCGGTGATGCCGGAGACGGTGAACTCGAGCCAAAGTTTCTCACCAAACGCGAAGCCCAAGACGACCGGGCTGGCAATGAGCAGTTCTTCCTCGGTAAACTCGTGGGTAGACAGCTTGTCGTCCTCAAGCGGTTCAGCCTTTTGGCTCCAGTCCAGGTCCTCCTTCGAGTTGACCTCGATAATGACATTTTGACCATCCGGCGTCTTCACCACTTTGTATTTCTTGGTCTCCTGCACCTGAATGGTTTCATCCGAAGGAGTGGTCTGGTTGTTGCCCCCCAGGTCAGAGCCACTATCAAAGCCGCAGCCACAGTCGTCATCCGAGTCGTCCAGCAGGAGTCCTTCTGGATCGTCTTTGGGCTTGATGACACTGGCAGGATAGTTGGGGTTGATGCGGCGATGGATGGCGGGATCGACCATGACACGCCCATCGATGTTGATCTTCAAGACTTGCTTCTTGCGTTTGGTGTAGGCCATGCCCTTGTGATGGCGGTAATTCATGCCCTGGAGGGACACAAACTGCTTTCCACGCTCAATCAGCTGAGACCGCATCTTGTCGGCGTGTTTGTGATACTGAATCGGATAGCAGTCCAATGAGGTGATCTTGCGCACGCCTTGGAAAGACGAGATTTCTGAGTGCGTGGTGCCCATTCCAAAGTTCTTGCCGTCGTACTCCAGGTATCGACCTTCGACAATATACCAGCTACCCCTCATAAAGTGCGACTCCTTGGTGGTGAAGTCGATCTTGAAGGCGCGAGGTTCGTCTTGATCTCCATAGGTGGATGAGTAGACAATGGCGTTGGGCTTGTACAGGGCCCACAGGAGATCAAACGTGATCATGCCACTTTCCAGCATGGGATAGAGATTCTTCTTGGTTTCAGCAAAATCTTTGTCTAGGTATTTGACCATCACGCGGAGGTGTTTGGCTTTGATCTTGGAAGCTTTGGCCTCCTTGCGCTTCTTTCCCCCCGTGTCGTCCTCGAGCGTCCTGGCATACTCTCTCATCTCTTCCAGATACAGGAAGAGCATGTTGGGATCAAGATGGGGGGTGTCTTCCACGAGACTGATGCCCTTGACGCCGGCCATGACGTGTTGAAGGCATTCCTTGAGAGGTTCGGATTTGATGTCGACGACGGTGGTCAGATATTTGTGCTCCCAGTCAAACCGACGACGAACAGTAAAGATGTATTGGTCCCAGATGGCCTCGCCAGTGTTTTTGACCGTCTCGGTGAGCTTGAAGTTGTGGATGGACTGATCCCAGAGTTGGTCCACTCGTTTGTAGGCCACCTTGGAGGCGCGCTTCGGCTTCTTGTGCTTCTTCGGCTTGACTTCCTCGAGGTCTTGAAGAAATTGATCATCGAGGACGACATCTCTACGCCGGCTTCGTCGAGGCTGGCCATAGGTCTCGATGGGCAGCATGGGCTCCGGATTGATTTGACCTCTAGGCATGCCAAAGACAGCAGACGGAGGAGGAAGCGTATTGGGGTCGAAGTCGAGCTTGCGCAACGAGGATTTCAGCTGGCGTAATCTTGCAGAATTGGGGTCTTCACAGATATCGATCACATCACATTCATCTCGGTCAGGACTGGCATGTTTCCTGGACACCCTCTTGGACGACTTGACTCGGACTCTCGATCGAGGCTTAATGACCTCCTCTTCCAACTCGGACTCGCTGAACGAGTCCTCCTCCGTAGTAGTTGTAGTTGTTGGCTTCTTTTTAGATTTCTTTCGTTGCTTCTTGAGCTCCTTCGCTAGTGCTTTCGCCTGGGCTCGCAGTTTCTTGACTTTGGCCTTCTTCTTAGAGGCTTCGACGACGGAGGAAGAGTCGCTGTCCGAGTCACTCGAACCGTCACTATCGGTCGAGGCTTCCGAAGGGGACTCTGAGTCTGAGGATTCGACTTCTGTCTCGGTGACGTCTTTTTTCTTGCTGCCATGCTTGTGCTTAGGCTTGGGCTTGGGCTTGGGTTTTGCCTTGCTGGATGGCACAACATGCTTCTTGCATTTCTTCTGGTCTTTGGCTGCCTCGGATGCAGGAATCTTGCTGGCGGCAGGGCGTTCGGCTGAAGACTCTGCCTTGTTTGTTTCCGCCGTGACACCAGTAGTTTGATCCATGTTGCTCGGAGGGGGGTCAAGGTGGAGAGAGGTAGAAGGTTGAGGTCTAGTGGTGTGGGAAGGATAAGACTGTAGGGCAGGTCACTGACAAAGACCTGCGCTCTGGAAGAGATAAACCGCCAGCGCCTCAAAACATAAGGCAGGGAAGGAAAATATGAAGGAGAGAACAGGATGGAAAAGGTGGGCTTCTCAGGCAGAACCGAGACTGAGGCTGAGGCTGAGACCTGAGGCAGCGGCCAAGGGTCGAGTCACGGGCGGCAACGAGGCAGGAAGGTCTGCTTCTGCCTTCCCTGAAGTCAGCCAAGACAGGATATCAAGTGCCAAAGAAAGAAAACAGGCCAAAAAAGAGGGACAGGCAGAAACCTGGCATGGGCTGATGAAGGCCCTCGAGCCACGAGGTCAGTGTTGTTTGATGCCTTGTTGCAGCCTACCGCAGTCCTCTGGACCAACCAAGTCGTGTGTTCGCCTGGGAGGCAGGTGCTAATCCAAGGTTTTTTTAGTCAATGACAAGCAGCCATAGCAGCCTGACGAGCGAAAGAGGCCATGCCATGGGCAAAAAGCATCGCAATCCATGGGGAAGAGCTACGCCGACGTGCATGGATGATGGTGCTGCTGTGTGGTCTCCTGATCAGCGGCGGGCGGGGAGGCCGTGGGCGGTGAGTGGAGGAGGCGCATTCTTAGCTACTGGATGCCCAATGCCAACAAAGGTGAGATGACCAGGCGAGCCCGACTAGCCAGGGAGCTCTCATCCGTGCATCCGATCTGTGGAGGAACAGCCCGTTTAAACCCCTTCAGGCTTCCGTTTGGCTTTGCTTAAGACCCCTCAACCAAGTGGGCACACCGTGCAGCCCGTTCCACTCAAACCTTCAAAAGGCCATCGGGATCCGCCACTGTGGTGATATCCACTTCAATTGGAAGAAGCCCTGACGATGGCGGCCCAGCTCAAGAAGTGATGTATTGCGTCAAGGACTCGGTGGAATGGGCCGTTGTACGCCTGGCATTCACAAATAAAAATAAAAAGCCCCAATTGCCAGTTATTCTGCTGTCTATCTCGGTTTCGACCCGCTTGCTTCGTCCACTATTAATAAGTAAAAGGAAAAGGAAAGCAAGAGCCGAAGAGAGACAACATGCAGGGAACTCCTCCAAATCAACTCCTCCCTGCTCCATGCTTCCACGCACCCACGTCCATACATACAGATTGCTCAATAATTCGGAGCCGCTGGAACAAACTTGGCAATCTCCAGATCCTTGATGTCGTGTAAACCAGCTTTGATAAAGGAGCACTTCAGATTTCCACAGTTGTTATTACCCCACTGCTCGAGTGTTAGCAGCTGACCACGACAATAGGTCTTCACATGACTTACCGGACATTGATGCCCATAAAAACAATCATTCCGGCGGCACTTGGATCCCTGGGTACACGCAATACTCCTCGCCTTATAACGCAAGGTGTTCTTCATGGCAGCGTCGATCGGTTCATGGTCGTAACGACAGTTGTACGATTCACAGTTATCTCGAAGATGGTGCTCGTTACAGAGCTTCCGGTAGGCGATACGCTCCTCAAACTTGTCCATTTCGGCAGCGGAGGGCATCCTCATCTTTAAATCAATCCTCTGCCCCAGGCGGTTGACGGGAATTCCGCTCTTGCCATCGGTCGATCCGTTGACGATCGCAGCAGCATGAGCTTGAGTCGTGGGCTTCGGTCTAGCTACTTCGGTGGGTGGCGTGGACGCCTTGACTTGAGCCGGGTTCCTGGTACTGGTATTGATTGCTAGCGCAGCTAGTGGTGTTGATGCTTGCGGAACAGGGTTGGATGAATGGCTCGACCTACTGATGGCCGGGGTCAAATCCGAGCTGCCATTGTCGGTGGAGGACGAAGCCAGACTGAGAGCCTCGAGGGCGCCTGGGGGATAGAATGGCTCCGGCCTGGGGACAATCTCTAAGGGGGAGGACTCGAAAACATTGTCGAATCTGGTCGACTTGAAAGGTAAAGCGCTGTAGGCCCGGGCAGCCGGCCCCGTCTGTGCGGCGTGCACCAGGACAATCTTGAGTGCAACAGGATCATGACGATATTTGTCGAACTCGGCGATATAGCCATTATCGTGAGAACAGGCCACGTAGAGGCGTTGACATTGAGCGTTATTTGCATAGAAACGGAAGGTATCTAAGGAGGGCGGTCCGATTAGCCATGTCAATGCCGGAACAAGCGCAAGTGGTGGTTACCTCGTAATTTAGCATCGACCCTCTCCTTTCCCGGGCCGCAATCAATAAACTGAAAGAGGCTGCGGCTTTGGGTAAAGGAGCAAAAGAAGGAATCGATGTGAGAAGGTTGGGCAAGATATCCGGCGGCGGCAAGGCTTCTCGCCAGGCCTTGCTTATTCGCATAGATGTTGACCAGCACGTCACAATCCGGGTTAATGCCTGAAATCGCATCGGCAGCCTTTACGTGGTTGATGACTTGGTTGTAAAGTTCATTGGCCGCCATGGAACCACCAGACGTAGCCAGGGCATCAAAGAAGGCCTTGCGGAATATGAAGCCGTCGCCGTCGACGAGGACGACGGTATACTTGCGGGCTATGGCAGCTTCGGCGTCTTCGGCACGCTTCTTCCACGTGCGACGGGTATTCCTCTCATCGTCTAGATCGGATTCTAGGGTGGAGCAGCGGTCGTTGAGTGTAACGCAGCTTTGAATCAAGAACTCGATTTCTGCCTGGCGGTCTTCGTCAAAGGTACGATACTGGTGGAGACGCTCGAGCAAGTCGTGTTGGGAAGGCAAGGCAGGCGTGACGGCCGGATTGTTGGCCATGGTAACGTGTATGTAACGATGATGATAACGATGAGGATGATGATGGTGACGAGGTTGCTGGGCGGCACGAAGCAGCGCGGAATCCGCAGAGAAGGCACAGCTCCAAAGCTTCGCGCAGACAAGCGCAGTTAAGCGGGACTGCGTGACAAAACGATTGAGGATGACGACAACAAGAGACGACAACCACGACACCCAGTAGCAGCAACAGCAGCAGCAGCAAGTGTAACTTCAGTGACAAGGCTAGAGCAAAGGAAGAATTAAGTGCACAAAAAGCCTCTACTAGAAATAAGTAGCTCACCGCCCAATGGAGGCGACGCTTGGGCAAGTGTGGCACAAAAAGAGGATGAAAAGGGGGTCAAATGAAACAAGAAGCAGTCATGCCTGGCAGAGAGATAATGGCCTACCGTACCTGTGACGACCAGCAGAACGGAGACAGGAGAGACAACAAGGCGACTTTGATGGAAGTTCAATCTTGATGTTTCAATTGTGTGTGAGAGTGGAACGTTTAATTCAGAAATCTCAGAAACAAAAAGCGTCTGTCAGTCAAAGCCGTGTTGGGAGTTCTGGGCAAGGAAAAAAAACGTGGTCAGTCAAGTCATTCGAGTTCAGGCAGCCGCGGAAGACACGCTGGAGCGGGCAGCCAGGTGGCAGGCATGACATTACAGGCGATAATAATAAAAGATAAAGAGAGACAGAGGACGGTTGCTACAAGGTCTTCTTCAGAATATTGGTGCCCTTCATATTGAGTTCCTTCTATGAGAATCAAGGTATTCTTAGGGACGAACCTAGGTACTGGGAATAATACCTAATTGTGCATCATGTGCAGGTACCCAGTTAGCTAAGCACCTTGCCCCCGTTGGTGCCCTTAAGTTCGTCCCAAGGGATGTTAATAATCCTCAGCAGCTGTTTAATTAAGGAGACCCGCCCTGGCTGCCACCAAAGATGCCTAGTGACCGCCTAGTGAGCCCTTGCTAGGCACTACACCCTTCCCCCCAGTCCATCCGCTTCTTCATCATCAACAAATCGTCCCACATCCAAGTCACGCTCTGTACTCGGTATCGGAGTTCGATTCAATAATAATGACAATCTCCTATTGCTACAAACAGTGTAGCACCACTCGACAAGTCTCTCCGCCACCCTCTTAAGCTCCAGCGATCACTGGCCGCAGCAGGACAAAACCGGGGATTTAACAATATATCCCGATTACTCTTAACACCAAACTCTCCGTTGTATTAACAATCAATTAATCGCACCATACCCGCACGAAACACATCTACCGAGGCAAAATCTGGCTAACTTCTCGCATGAACCTGCAGATGGTTGGCTGTGGGTTGATGCCATTAGCCAGAACCACGAGGCCACCCTCCAGCAGCAATGAGGGGACTGATACTCTTTATGGACGGTGCTAAAGGACTACAGGTATATTATGACGACCATCTTCTCCAGGACAGTAGGCAATTTCATACGAACAACAGCACTCAACTACCATCTTCATCTCTTTAGGCATCACTCCTCTTGTTATTCCTCCACCACCTCCCTCCTCCATAGCAGAATGGTGCAGAACAAAGCCTTCATCTACAAGGTGCGTCCACGATCCCTTCCCTGTTGAGGCGCCCATCGGTTGGTCAGAAGTAGATATCACTAACACCACAACTCACAGTCCGTCCCCAACGGCTGGCCCGTCCCAGGCAAAGACCTGACTGTGGAAGACATTGGGTTTGACGAAAATGCACCCCCACCGAAGGGCGGCTTCACCACCAAAAACTTATACGTGGCATACGATCCCAGCCAACGCGGCCGAATGCGAGACCCCAGTATCCCATCGTACTCGCCGGCCATGACGACGGGCAAGCCCGTGATCAGCGTCAGCGTAATCGGCCAGGTGCTGAAGAGCGACAACCCCAAGATCAAGCCGGGCGCCATTGTCATGTTGCAGAGCTCTGGCAGCGAGTCGTATTCGACAAAGGAGGAGTCGGCCGTCGCCACCACGCAGATCATCGAGCCAAAGGACGGCGTACCCCTGACCGCATATCTGGGGCTGTTGGGCATGACGGGCATGACGGCCTACGGCTCGCTGCACGAGATTGGCCAACCCAAGAAGGGGGACGTGATTCTGGTTTCTGCCGCCGCCGGGGCCGTGGGCCAGATGGTTGGACAGATCGCAGTACGAGAAGGTCTACACGTATGTCGATTTCTCTTGCTGTTCTTTGCTCTTCAAGAATCAAACTACGGCTTCAAACCCCTCTCTGTGAGAATCTAATATTCACAAAACACAAACACACAGGTGATCGGCTCAGTCGGCGACGACCGTAAACTCGACTTCATCCTGAACGACCTCAAATTCACGTCTGGGTTCAACTACAAGAAGGAGTCGATGGCCGAGGCGGTCAAGCGGCTGGCGCCCAACGGGCTGGACATCTTCTACGACAACGTGGGCGGCGAGCTGCTGGACGTGGCGCTGACCAACATGAAAGACTTTGGGCGGATCGTGGCCTGCGGCTCCATCTCGACGTACAACAACGGCAAGGACACCACGCCCTACGGCGTCAAGAACTACAGCCAGGTCGTCCGCAAGCGCCTGCGCTGGCAGGGCTTCTTGGTCTTCGACCCCAACATCGCCCGGTGGCGCCAGGAGCGCGACGACAATATCACCCGCTGGATCCAGGACGGCAGCTTCAAGTCCGTCGACTTTGTCACCGAGGGCATCGACAACGCCGTCGAGGGCTTCCTGGGCATGCTCCGCGGCGAGAACCTGGGCAAGAGTATTCTGAAGATTGCGGATCCGGAGTGAGTGGAATGAGGCGAAGCAAGGAAGCCAAGTAAATAATTAGTCCTCTCGTTCCCTAGGGGAGTGGGAGAACGAATCACTCACTCACTCACTCACTCACTGTATGGGATCAGAGCAGCAGAAGGGAAGGGAAGGGAAGGGAAGGGAAGGGGAATCCCTGAAAAATCCGACTCCATCGATGATGGGACGAACAAGATGGACATCACATCACAAACTCCGTCCAGTCCAGTCAATAATACACAATAGCGTTCCCTCAACACATTCTTGCACCCCCCTCTCCCCACTTCCACTCTCGCTGCGTTTGTTTTGTTACGTGCACGCCCCGGTGTTTCTAGTTTACCGCTCTCCGCCGTGAACTACCCCGAGGACGGAGGACGGTGGGAGACGGGAAGCCCTGAGAGAGAGAGCGAGAGAGAGAGAGAAACAGAGATCTTTGGAATCTCCAAACAGTTGTGATTCCTTCTTCAAATAAAGGAACGAACACCAACACCAACACCAACACCAACACCTTGCGTTGAGTACATATTGGCCGACGGCTCAGATCGAACAGAGAACAGAGAACAGACAAGCCCCAGACAGATAGATAGCGAAGTCTTCCCTCCATATTAGGTTTCCCCGTCGTTTCCCCAAGGCTCTCCCTCATTCCCATTGCATTCCTATCGCATGACTCAACATACCATAGCATGCCATAGCATAACCATAGCGTAGCGCAGCATTGCGTGACATTGCGCTGATAAACGCCAGTCGCAACTTTGCAGTTCCCATGACACACACCACCGTTTTTGTTTTGTTGTGTTGCTGTGCTGTGCTGTGCTGTGCTGTGTGTCCGCAGAAACTCCAAGGGAGAAGAAGAAAAGGGGAGAATATCATGACTTCGTCTTCCATGGTTACTGAAACCCTGGTATCCGACTTCTCGTAGCGTTTCTCTCGCTCTGCCCCCCCCTCCGGTCCGGGCATGCAAGCCTCAGACGCTGCAGCTTCATCACAACCCTGGAAAGCTAGCCCGGCTGCTGCTGCTGTCCCCCCTGAAATATCTCGGTAGAGATGTGGGTGCCCTCCACTCTTCGTAGAATGCGCGTCGAACGATATCGTACCACCGGTTGATACAGCCCATGCACAAGTGCGCCGTACAACTGGAGCACCTCACCATCCCGGTCGGCCTTGAACACGTCTGGCAAGAGGCCACCCCTGGGATCAAGGCCACCGTGGCAACGTGCAAACATAGCGAACTGCCAACGGGTCCAAAGGCGGCCGCGGGACCGGGCCACCGGTCATCGGCCAGAAATCCATCGAGATCCCACTCATCCTCTTCTTCATGCTCCCCCTCCTCCTCCTCCTCCTCCTCTTCCTCGTCTTCTTCGTCCTCTTCATCGTGGCACCCACAGCGACTGTTTTCGTCGAAGAGTGTGCCGCAGACATAGCAGAACTCGACGCCGCAAACGCAGTCCATGTGCTTACATCCTTCGGTCTTCTCCACCATGTTCCCACACGTGGGACACTGACTCCATTCTTCCTCGACCCCCAGCTCAAAGAGCTTGACGACATCTTCCTCCTCTGCAGGACACTCACGCTTTTTCGCGTCCGTGTCCCAAGCAGGGTGATCACTCTCGAGCCGTTTGCAGGTTGTGCATGTCGTGTGGTGGCATCGAGGACAGACCGCCACACCTTGGTGGGAGCAGTGATTGTTTTCTGGGATGAAGGCGGAACACTCCGGCGCAGCACAGTAAAAAGGGCGATGTGCCCCAAACTCGGCCTCAATCTCTTTGTAGCGCTCGACCACATCGTCGTCGAGCACGCTGCCCAAAGCAGAGATGCGTAAAGGGACATTGTGGCACCTGGGAGGGAATGACGCTCGATCCTTGCAGGCCACTCGAAATGCCTGGTTGAGACAGGGTAGGCAATAGGCACAGTGGCAGTGGTGTAAGATCACCAGCTCTCCGGGTTGGTGTTCCTCAAAGCACACAGTACACTCGTTGGGGGGTGCCAAAGGCGGAGCCTGTGGGATGGGGACAGGATAATCAATAGGAATATGAGCATGACGACGGCCCTCTTGAGAATACTCCTGAGGGTCGGGTGGTGGAGAGGGCGCCGCATTGTCTCTCCTGCGTTGGTCAACAAAGCCCTCTGCCTCCCCCGTATCCCACTCGTAGGACAGGGTGTGCAATGACGGGAGGGCTTCTCTTCTGGGTGCAGGCAAGCTTGCCCCAGCCGCCGTGACTTGCTCATGGAAGAAATACGGATTACCAGGGGTGATAGGTGCGAGACGCTGCTGGGAGCAGGGGATGACAACTTGTTTGGTCCAAAGTTTCTCGTCGAGGAAGCTCCGCCCTTCCATCGAGGTGATATGGGCCTCTAGAGTGCGTCGCTCGTCATCCGGGAGACTGGGAGCACACCTGACTCTCCAACTATGAAAAGGTGTGGTGGTCGTAGAGACCTCGGCCATCTCCTGGTCGCCATCGGCATCAATGGTGCTGGAGATGTTGGCCAGCGTTGTCATGTTCAAATAAGAATACTACAACGTGTTTTGCCGTTAGTGTCGAGACCATATGAGGGCCTGTGTGGGCCAAGCGTAGTTGCTTGTCCCAAGGAGCTTAGTTGGGTGCTAAGAATGTTGGGGGTGGAGGTGATTGCGGGGGAAGTGGTGAGATGCAGTCGATCGTCGGGATGCTATTCCGACAAGATTGAACGTCTGAAGGATGCAACACTCACATGAGATAATCAATGGGAATGTGGACGAGATCGTCGCTCTAACGGAGAAAAGAAGCGAAGGTGCCTGTGCCTGTCGAGTCGAGTCAATGTTGTCACGGACATGTGCCTTCACGCGAAAACTCGAGCCTAGTAGCCTCAGCTGGGCAGCAACTGACAGAATCGGCCTGGAAAGGAGTCTAGCTGGCTCCCAACAGGCAACAAACTGGAGAACAAAGGTGAGGGGCGGTAGGCAGGCAGAACAAGTGATGGCAAGGTTGACAAGAGCAAGTCGACCATGCAGCAGGGCAGAGAGGGGTATAAATATGCCCTCCAAACACCTCAACTTGTCCCATGCCTTGCGGATCGTCCAGTTTCCTGGTGTTATTGCTGGTGATGCGGCTGCTCGGACTTCAGCACCATCTCTTACTTCCCATTGTAACGAGCCTCCCATGCCCAAAGAACCCGCCCATGCCCTGTCCGGAAGCTGTCAAACTGCGACCATGGCGGTGCTGGGAGTGCCTGATTGGATACCGGCTATCGAGCCACCCACCGCACCGGTAAGGTTTGTCTACTCCCTAAGGTAACCTTTGCGCACCTGGGAAAGGGCCACGTTGAGTTCGATGCACATACTGGCCCACGATTCCGAGGGACCTCGAAGAGACAGAACACTGGGAAAGGGGGGCACACACCACAAGCATGGGCATGAATGATTAGTGTCTGCAAAAGGACCCATCGTCGCATCCGACTAGAACGAGTCGATAAATGGGCCAACTCGGGATTGCATTCCGCAAGTCGGTAGTTTGTACATGCTAGCTCCAGGGCCCCCGTAGATCCATCTCATTTGTTCTATGGATTCGCCTTGACAAAGTCCACGCCCTTCTGAATGTTCTTCTTCAAGTCTGGAAAGGTGTGTCAGTGCTGCAATTAATCAGATTTTCGTAGGGCTTGACTCACCTCCCATGCATGCCTCCAGTAGATTTTCCTCATACTTGTTGATGCGGCCGACCGGGTGGATCTTCTGAACTCCGTCGGGGCCAAGCTCGACTTTGGACGAGAAGAATTCGATGCCTTGGTCCTTGTACAAGGGGCTGTCCACGAATGTGCACTCAACCACGCCCTTCTCGCCCTGTGCGGCCTTGAGCAAGCTCTCAGCAAATCTGGCACCGGCCATGGCCATTGACAGAGTAGCCGAGCCAGCACCATCCTTGGCCTTGACGACTTCATCACCACCGAACTGGATTCGGTTGACCAAGGCGTCGAGCTTTTCGCCGGTGATGTCTGGGTGGCCAGACTGTGAGATCAAGGGGACGATGGTGACGCCCGAATGGCCACCAACAACCGTGATGTTCTCGTTGGCCGGGTCAGTTCCCTTGACCTCGGAGACGAACTTCGAGGCACGGACGATATCGAGAGTGGTGACACCAAAGAGACGCTTGGGGTTGTAGACACCCTTGCTCTTGAAGACCTCGGCGCAGATGGGGACGGTCGAGTTGACCTTTTCGAATCGTTAGCTGCATATCCTGTGCATGCGATGCAAAGGCTATTTTCAGTGTTCACATACAGGGTTGGAGATGATCAGGAGGTTGGCATTGGGCGCCGCATCAGCCGCAGCCTTCGCGAGGTCCCGGACGATGCTAGCGTTGGTGTTGAACAGATCTACCATCCGTCAGGAAATGCATCTGTGGTGTGTGCAGGCCACCTTCTTACCATCACGAGTCATGCCAGGCTTCCGGGGGACACCGGCAGGGATAAGGATAACGTCGCTACCTTCCAGACATTCTCGCAGACCCGAGGGGGTTGGGTCGTAGCCCTTAACGGTGCTCTTTGTGTTGATGTGGCTGATATCAGCTGCGACACCTGTGTAACCCAGTCTTGATCAACATCTTTTATCTCATGACCATGACAAGGTTGTGGGCAGACGGACCTGGACCCAGGCGGATATCGTAGAGGGCTAATTGGGAGACACGGGGGTTGAGCTTCATCAACAGCGACAGCGGCTGTCCGATACCACCGGCGGCACCGAGAACTGCGACTTTAGAGGACTGTGCCGGGGGAGTTCACACATCAGCAGGACGTCACAAATTGATGAAAAAGAGACGGCGGTGTGACGGGGAGGAGAACAAACCTGTCTCGCAGACGCCGAGAAAGCTCGACGCTGGACCTGTCCGAACATTTGCCTGGCGACCGACATCGTTGGCAGAAGGCAAGAAGGCAATTCACAGAGAAAGAGAGGAGAGGATATAGACAATGAGACGAGATGTCAAATGGAGAGAGTGTGTGTGAGGGATGGATGAAGCAGGTGTGATATTCTGCGACGAGATGTGCTTCTGTGAAAAGGTTTACACACCCCGAAAGCTCCCTTTGCTACGCAGATGCATGGACCAACGAAGGCCGGCACCCCGGGTACTGGACTCCGTCAACTCCAATCTCCAATGGACGGGCCACGCCACTCTGGGCTCGCTTGGGTTACCGTAGCCGCAGTCCCGAGCTACTGAGGAGCAGGAGCTACCAAAAGCTCCCCTTTCTGGTGGCGCCTCGTGACCTGGCTTGGCATCCCTGCTCCGGGTGTCCGGCCTTGTCCACCCCGGTTGATCCGCTGCTCCATTGAGCCCTCTAAAAGGAAGAGGCGACGGGCAATAGAAGGGAACCTGATCGAGTTACCTTGTTCCACTCATTCTACAAATGCCTCAAGACGACGGTACAGGAGCCGCACAATCACAGTCAGCCCTGAGGATGACGCACCCTGACGTCTCATGGCACATATACATGTACGATGCCTGGGCGAGACATGAATTGAACGAAAACAATAGCGCACGTGCTGGGTCAGCTCATCCTCGTCGAACAGACCTCTCAGCATAACAAGACTCTCTCAGAGGCAAATCTGTGCAAGTCGAAGTTGGGTGGTCGGTCCATGTTCGGGGAGGAGTGCCTGATAGCCACCACTGCTGGGGAACTCTGATGTATAGCGAGTAATCTTGCATATGTCTTGTGCTCATTATTGGACGCATGTCACCCACTTTGCGCTCCATTAGATCGTGCATCTCTGTAAGTAATGCTCCAGCTCATGGGTCTGGTCCGAACTCACGTAACCCTCTCCCAAAGAGTTAACCCATATTGCTCTCTGGCCCGGTGGCTTGCATCCCGAAGAAGATAAAGAGATCATGTCTGGTCCACCAGCTCCTCAATCTCTTCCCGTACATATATACCGGGATAGCAAGGAGACACATGGCCAAGGTGGTGCCTCCGAACGTGAACATCTGCGAAGACATTAGCACTTCCATCCTTGTGGCTCTAGAAACAGTCAGGCAAGAGCAGCCTGAATGGACTAGCAGACCGAGAGACCGCTCTTATCCGGACGCATGTACGATCTCGCCGGTAGGATTTTAAGGCCAAAGCTGGGCGACTTACGATCTCCTCAGGACCTTTCGCGGCGACCCAATTGTTTGCAAAGTTCGAGAGGCCATAAAACATAAAGTTCTAAATTGCCAAAGTCAGCATGACACTGCTCCAACTAGACTTATTGGCGATGGTGAGGAAAATCACATGCCTTGAAGAACATGTTCATCACGAACATCTCGTTACTCTGGCTACGGAAGGCGTCCAGCCCATAGGACATGGTCGACCACACACCTATGAGGACACCAACCATCATCAAACCTTGACAGAAGGCGCAGAGCACCGCGTTGGAGCCGTGGGCCATGGTATAGCCGAAGAAGAACATTCCGAAGCCGGAAAACACGGCGCAGGGAAGCATGAATACCAGACGGAATTCGGGTTCACTGTTTTTCGTTCAGTCATTGAGTTGCTTGTCTTCCCTCATTTCGAGGAAGTATGGCAAACTTACTAGGTCCCTTTGTTCTTGATCGTCATCCATTTTACCACTCGATCCCCGAGCAACGCCACAATGATCGACCCAATCATTCCGCCGACGAAAGGACCTGCTCCGATATAGCCGATCTGGGCGGGATTAAACAGCCAGGGCGGGCCCGCAAAGATGCCTGCCAGAATGATCGCCGAACCGACATACCAGGCGCAAAGCAGACCCGAGACGATGATCGAGTAGCATCCAGCTGGGTTGAGGAGGGTGAGGAACATTCCCAAAACCCATTTGAGGATATTGTCGTGGGAAAAGATGCCATTGTAGAGCTTAAGTTCCTGGACAAAGGTCTTCTTGCGGGGAATGCGCGAGGAGGCGGCAGGAGATTCGTTGAGCTCTTTGACAGCAATGGCGTGCTCGCGGTGTTGCTCATGAGCCTTTTCAATCTGCTCGAACGCCTCCACCTTGACGATGTCGGTCTCATAGATGGATTCACGGCGGTATGTCGTCTCCGGGACGAAGAGGAACATGAGAACAAACTGGATGACCAGGAAGATCTGGAACAGGTGGAAAAGCCAGAGAAGACCCAGGTTATTGAACACCTGGCCGCAGATGATTGAGGCCAGACTGGATGCCGAGTTCAGGATGAAGTTGATGGTTGAGATTCGTAGTCCTCGTTGATGTACGCAGTAGAGATCTCCAACGGCTGCGACAATGAGCGATTCAAACGCGCTAGTCGAGAAACCCTGCACAATTCGAGCCGCGAGGAGGTAGTTGTAGCTGATTTTTGACTCGCCGATGGCTGTACCGATGATGCAGAAGAGAGTGGACACAATGAAGACAGGTCGTTTGCCGTATCTGCGGCTGAACGCACACACGAAGGGACCAGCACAACCGGCTGCGAGAATATTGTAGCCCGATATCAAGACCGTGGTGGTCAGATCGGTTTTGATTTCCTGAGCGATAGCAAAATATGACGCGTTCAAGAAAGGACCCTATCAGACGGTTAGCAGACGTATACTTGGCCGCCGCCACCACGGAAGGCGTACATTCGTTGCCGCATTCAACATCGAACCGAAGCAAAGAATCCAAATAATGGCCTCTTTCTTCAGGAGGGGCCAATTGAGCGGATCATTTGGATCATCGCTCGGTTGTGGAGAAAGCACGATGTGGGAGTTTCTTCCCGTCCCATGCTTAAGGTTCGCTGTCTGTGCTTCGGCATGAGCAGCCTCGTCGTTCAGCAGGACGGTGCCAGGCACATGCGGAAGTTTGGTATCTGCCTCGAAGAAGGATCAGCGTCGAGCAGGGGATGCCGAGTAGGAACTCCGTGTGATATGACAGAGCATCATAGGGAGCAAATATCAAGAACCAACCTTCCAAGACACCGAGTCCCATCTTGTTCGCTGGCACTCGATGGATTTCTGGAGGCAAACTCTAGGGGGATCAAGAGCTGTACAGCAGCAAGGTGTTGACCACAGCGCGGCACGTGGAAGAACGCAGATCACTTCCGGGAGCTTTCGTGCTTGGGAGCGGAGGGAGGTTATATGTGCGTGCTGAGACCCTCGTAATGTGTGGGATAAAGCCCCAACTTCTCCATGTTCATCACCACTCCACATGTCTCGATCGAGTTGGTTCTTCGGGTGTGCCGTACAGCAACACGAGGTCGAGTCATCTGGAATCTTTGGGCGTGACCAAGAGCTGCCAAGAGGCAAGAAAGCAGGAAAGGCACACTGGTATAGGATGAGTGCAGATTAGTGAGTTTTCGGTGACGCACAAGATGGAACTTTCCCTGGGTCTGGATGGATGATAGCCTGTAAGTGGAGACGCCAGACGAGTCTTGGGAACGTGGTACAGGCACACCTCCGCCGGACATGGGGTGGATATTCGAGGGACCCCCAGGGAAAAGGTTGGGGAATCCGGGGAGCATATCCACCAGCTGGTCCCAGGAAATGCGGAGGTTCTCCACTTGCCTTGTATCTGTAGAGACTTCAGTCCCGCAAGAAGGCATCAGGGCACAGACGGTTCAACAGCACGACACGCTTTGATTCGCTTCTGTCATTGCCAGGTCATAGTTCCCAGCGAGGAACCAGATCGGTCGGTAATAGCCGATATCCACGCAACGTGGCACTGGAGCACGTTTCTAGGATGGCGACCACGAGAGAGCGACATTGGCGCCGTGCGGGAGCCTTGTACCGAGTAGATGGACTGCTACAACCTTCTGGAGTCCAGTCGATGATCGGCCGGAAAAATCCCACCCGAGCCCAAGTTGCCGATGCTTGAGGTGGGTGAAGTCCCACTGAAGGGGTGCCAGCAGAGCGCGCTAGGTAGGGGCTTTTCTCGATGTCTGCGTGGTGCCTGTGCGAATCAGCTGGCAACCGTTCTTGATGTTGGAGTGCTTCTCTTCCCTATCAACAGCTCGTGGAAGTTGTAAGCGACGAGTACTCTGTTCCATTATCGGGGAGTGTTGTCCCAACGCGGGTTCCCATCGATGTAGACTATGACCTGTTTAGCATCAGTGAGTATATCGTACCCCGTTCTCAAAACACAAAGGAGAATACGAGGGCCTCCACAATCGACATGTGGAGCATCCAGTTCTCTTTTTTGGTACATATGTCTTGTCTTGTCTGTAATCGTTGCTTTCCCCAACCCATTACTCAACGTGAAGAAAGAAAAAGGGTGGTGAAATCTGTCTGGAAAATAGAGTCGGATGCCTCGCACTGCGCAGCACAGCGATGGAGGAGTTGATTCAGACAACATCCCAGCCAGAGATAGATTTATGAGTCTCTGAACGGCGCAACGGGCGGCAGCCGATGAAACGCCTCCTTTGAATCATGCATTGGCGAGGAGATAATAGTAACTTCAAAGGGACACGAGTTTGGTTGCTCACGGAAAAAAATCTTCTCCAACGGAATTCCGCCCTGCGAGAGAGGATATAACCTTGCCGTAGGGGTGTTGCCTGATGCACTATATATATTCCAACCATGTCCTGAAAACATCTGCCTCTTCATTTGTGCTGTTATCCTGTTTCCCGTCGTCCACGCTATCCTTCTAAGCAATGCCTCCAACATCTTCCCGCCCTTCCAAACAGTGACATACTCCAAAAAGAGAGCCGTCGTAAATGTGTCTCTGTTCCCAGTGTCGTCAAGAATGGCTATCCATTCTCATGCCCGAACCCTGTTCAACTCCCCCCTGGCTAATCATCGTTGGCGGGGGTAGCCATCATAACCATCACCATCGTAGATACTGGAGTCCATCATTGACTGTCTCCGGTCCGCCATTTCTACCCCGTCGGCCCCCGTGGGCGCCATCAACCCTTTCTGTCCCGACAATAACTGGGGTGGTGACCTCAGGAGGGCAGCCGTGGAGCTGTCATCCGTCGTCGTACTTTCGTCGCGATTGTGCCCCATTCGCTGCCTTACATCTTGCATTCCTGAATGTATCCTTTTCACCCCCATAACTTCAAAGCCAGCCTCCGTATCTTTCTCCTTGGTATTATTATTGGCGAAAATCATAGTTTCTCGGATTGCTTTCGGTGATAAGGATTCTTTCGACCATTCAAACATATTCAACCAAGGGAGCCAGGCCAACAGGACGCGATGTGCGAGGGAACGTCTCTCTTGACGCCCGCCCCTTGCTGACACAGCAGGAAGAGTCTGGGGTCGATTCAATGTCCCGAACACTGCAATCTGGTCCTGGTCACCTGCGCTTCCCATTTTGAAAGCAGATGGATACGGGTTGAGACCTAAGCCGCCGATGGCCGTGTCGGCACCCTCGCCGGAGGAGGGGTTGCAGCAGTCATCGTCATCATCTTTTTTCCGCAGCCACGAGACATGCTTCTGTGCCAGCACATAAAGCACCCGCACAAGACTGATGACTCCGATGGCCAGCGGGATCAGTTGACCAGCTCCCGCAGTCGCGGAGCTCACAAGGACGTTGCCCATGTGGTTCAAGTTGAGGGTGAACTCGATGCTGAGCATGGCGAACACAATCCAGAACAGATTGAAACAAGACAGGCAGATATACCATACCGTCAACCTATCAGCAGTAGTGTTAGCAGGAAGATGTCGGTCGGGAAGTTGATCTAGTTTGAATGAATTGCAGAATGTTACTCACTCTCTCTTATTGAGCGAAACATCCGCGTCCGGGTGCTCGATCAACTCCCAGTTATCCGCCTTCCTGCTCCATTTCCTCGCCACGTAGACAATGCCGGCGATGCCGGCCACAATCGCCATGACAGCATAATACAGTGCCGAAACTATGGCTATGGCCAGATTGATACCCCTGGTCACCCAGGATTCAACCCGCATTGGACCCAAGAAGAATGTTTTCAGGCCGCCGCAGTCTTTTCGGCGATCACACGGGGACAAGACGTCGATTCCTTTGGCCCAGAACCAGACCCCGTAAAGGGTGATCATGCTCATGAGGATGAGGCGGAAGTGCGTGCCAAAGCCGCCAAAGTGGCGGCGTCCGCCTGGGCCTTCCGTTTTGTAGTACACTGTATAGAGACGAATGGTCAGCCGTAAAGCTCGGAATGCTAAAATAATATCCAGCCGATCCAGTCATATTACTGATGCCAAGGATAAAAGCGACTTACTCGTGCGATACCCCCAGAGGCTCATGATGCTGAATAGAAACCCGATGCACAATTGATGGATCACCAGGACATCTACCACACGAATCTTGTCCTCCTGGAGCGAGTAGAAGAAGACGGTCGAGAACAACGCGAGGAGGAAGATAGAATTCGTTTCGAGAGAACCGATAATCTCTTCGCAGAGGAAGTTGTTCGCGACCCAGGACGTCATCCATTGGGTGTCTGCAAAATGGTCCAAACGTGTTAGTAAAACACAAATGTATAATTGATGGCATTGGCATCCGGGTGTCGGATGGATGGGGATCGCCGAACATACAGATACCAACTCTCACACCGAAGCCATAATAGTCGGAATTGCCCTTGATGGAACACCCCTGCTCTTTGGTTCCCTCGGAACTGCAGACCGGGTCGGCCTCCGCATCACCTTCTTGAGCAGCATAGGCAAGAGTATTGAACAGCAAGAACACCATGAGACAGAGGCAAAGCGTTCGTACGGGTAGAGGCATCTTCGAAACCCGCAACGCTGTCCTCGCGATATGAAGTGGGGAACCTCCAGAGTACAGAGTAGGTTGGAGGTCAGCCAAAGGAGGTTGCTCAAGACAACGGCACGAAAAGCTGCGAGTGCTTTCGAGAGCAAATCCGAGAATAAAAAGAAAGTAGACTTGAATTCAGCTCGATCAATGAGGAGAGAAGGGAAGGCTCTTTCGAACAAGATGCCAAACTCATCAAACCCAGGGACGGCTGGTGCGGCTGCAGAATACACCACGTTCACCAGCCCAATTCACCAACCATACAGCCTCTTTTTCTTGCAAACGCTGCGCATGTGCGCAAGGGTCTGGGGCGACAGCACCCATCTTGGAAGAGGGTGTGGTGTGTGTGCCTCTGTGTCGTACAGACGTGTGTGCTGCTGCAGCAGCAGCTGCATCAATCGACGGCAGTGGACGAAATGTCGTTTCCGGAGTGCTAGAATCTTTCCTAGTCCAAGGCCCAGACCGCGAAGCTCAGCCGGCCTCAATTTCCAGCAATCAGAGGCGGTTCGCTTTTTCCAACGTCCCGCGGGAGCCCCGCCCGACCTTCTCGTCCTCACCGCTGCCCACATGTGGCAGAGCTGGGACTCGAAAGAAGAGGGCTCGGATGTTCGTGACATGTTATTCGTGCGTGCAGGTGGACAGATGGGGACAGGTTCGCGTGCTCGTGGGGGGCTTGCGAAGATTGCTGATTCAGGCCGCCATATGGCTCAATGCGGTCACGGTGGAGGGTAGGCAAACGGTCGGTCTTCTCGGTAAATGCTCAGCAGTGTGTGTTTAACGAAATAGGCAGTCATAGGAGAGTTTGTCAGAACAGGTGATAATGACCAGAGTCGAAGTAGATGGAAAATCCGTCAAGATTGGCGTGGCATGGTGCATGGTGAGGGACAGCCAGCCACCGCGTAATTCTAGTTACACTGCCAATGTGCTCGGTATGGTCTTCCATCCTATCGACAACGACGACATTGATGACATTGCCGACACCACCCTCAGCCTCATCGTCTTCTCATCTGTGCCTTGTTCCCGCCATCAGCGGTTCATCTCACTTCATCATTGTCTCGACTTGTGATCTATTTCTGCAAAATCTTGCTGCACACCACCTGCAAACTGCAAATCACTTCGTAACATGGCGGCATTCTGCTCCCGCAGCTTGTTCGACACCCTGCCAATGGTGTGCTAGAACACGTTTTCGGGGACTCTCGAATGCCTCCTGGATATCCCATTCCTTTTCCATGTGACCCCCTTTTGGCCTGTTGTTTTGATGGTGACTGCCTGCTGAGCACATTCAAAAATAGCCTGTGCATTGACATGGGACGAGGCTGCGCCTATATCAGAGGACTGGTCTCAGCCGCAACGCCAATATCCGTGGACTCCAAAAGAATTCACCCGTCTCTTGGCTCTTCCGATTAAGTGGCAGGGTTAAAGCTCAACTCATGATTATTCGCCGGATCTGCCTGCAATTCCATGACTGGTGGATCGTCGATATCATCATTGTCATCATCCACAATTATGGTCACCGGCATCGACATTCCACGGCCAGACGTTCCTACCTCCGATACGATCTCATCAGGAGGGGGGGCGCTCTCTCTGGCATCACGGCCATGTCCGGGCTCTTCATGGGGCAGAACGCGCCCAGCTTCACTGCTGTAGAGGGCCATGTCACTCTCGCTTGGGTCGTGATGAATCGAACCGTCGTCCTCTAAATCCGTGAAGCTTGGTACTGGGCTGCAGTCATTCCCTTCGACGCGCGTGCTGTCATTGGAACTGCCTTTGTCACCAAACACCCCCTCGACCTCGGAGTTCGCTGGCGCTCGCTGCGACGTGGTTTCCGTACCATCCAACCGTGCAAAGTCCCACGACTGCCGTGACCACTGAAAGTCCATGCCGACTCCTTCGTCAATTTCTGGAGGGGGGATGTCATAGGCCGGAGGCTGCTCGTACTCGCCACCACTACTGGCTGCTGTTGGGAGCGTCAAGTTCGGTGGACTTTCTGTTCCGGCTAACAGACCTCGAGCCTGCCGACTTCCTTCTTCCTGCGCCGAGCCACCCGGTCCCGCTCCCACGCGGTGACCGTGACCGACTGGAAAAGCGCCCGAAGACCCATTGTGGGAGGAGTCGCCGAGACGCTGACCTTCCCCCGTCATCGGAGAAGAGTCACGCGAGTCTTGCGGCAGTTCAGAGTCGGCTGCGGCATCGTTGCTGTTGGGATTCAATTCTTGGAGGGCTTCCTGAAGTTTGGGCCCGCCTAAAGGGTGGTCCGACCGTCGACGATAGAACAAGAGATACGCCGCACTGGTCACGACCGATCTCGGATCCGGTTTTGACGAGACGTGAGAATCTAGCCCGGTTAGCAGAGCCGGGAAACGGGTATGGAGCAACTCACCATTGTATTCATACCAGCTATTGTTGTAAAAGTTCTTCGCGAACGCCGTGTAGTGACCGCCTCCCAAACCCCCGTAGTGGTTATCAACGGCGATCAAGTCGTAAATCATGCTCTTACCGTCTTGCTGATCCCTAACCATCTCTGAAAGATCGAGCCCTTCGGTGGGATAGTCAACCTTGACTTCAAGCTTGTCGCGGAAGCTTCTGTTAGAACTGAACCGCTTCAAGTGCATGACCAGGATATCGGGCGCTTTCCACAACTCGAACATCTTGTCGGCTCTGCGGTGCTCTTTGCACCGAGGACAGTACCAAGCATTCTGCTCAGACAGCGTTTCGGATTTGCCAAACTCGTTCAGACAATCTATCAATGTGATGCCATTCTTCTTACGATTGTTGCGTTGTTCACGTTTGGCCGATATCTCTGGGTCGGGCAAGAGGCCCACGCTCTTCCATGTGGGAAGACCACGGAAGCCCTCACTTCCGTCTTCATTGCCGCCAAATAACGCATCATAGCCCTCTTGGCTCCAGTCAAGGATGATGATTTCACCTGGTCGGACGAAATCGCCAGTCTCGGCTTGGGGAATCGGCTGAGGCGGCGGCAAAGGTGATCGACGGTGTGGGCGTCTGGCCGACACCTTGCCTCTGTTTTTGTTCTTGCCGTACTTGTGTGCCTTCTTGTTCCGGCTGGGCAAGATCTCCTGGGGTTCTTGGAACTCGGATTCGGACTCAGGACCAGAAGGGAGGACTGGACTGGCTTCCGATCCGGACTCGTTGCTGTCCATCGGAGTGTCGTCATTCTCAATGTCCGCAAGCTCATCGTCGCTCTCTGCAGAGCCACTCTCGCCGTTGGCAAAAGCAAGAGCACCGGTGGGCCTCATCGTGCGAGACGTTGGTTTGGGAATTCGAGTTTTGATAGACACGTATTCTCCCGTCTCTGAGAGCTGGCTCCAGCCAGTAGGAACGCCCTCCCCGGTGGCGACGACCTGAACATCGAAGAGTTGTTGGAATCGGCGGGGTAAGGGCGAATTAGATTGCAGGAGCTTCTGTAAACCAGCCTCAGCGGGCTGAGGCCGCAGTTCAGGAGCTTGACTAGCATCCCGCATCGATACATCTACGAGACCATCTTCGCCCTGCACAGAGGTGGCGGTCGGAAGGCCCGAGCCCGAGCTAGACATGTCGTCCGTCATAACCATGGTGTCGGATCCTTCTGGTGTCCCAATCCCGTCGTCGGAGGGGTTGTATTCCTCATCAAGGATGCTCTTAGTGGTCATTCCCATGACATTTCCGAGAATCTTCTTCAGGACACCATCGTAGGTAGCCCTGTCCTCGCGGCTCAGCACGAGATACGTGGGCTGGCCAAAAAAGAGTTTCGAGGAGGTGCGTGCGGGATGTTTGACGAGTCGGTTGAAAATTGGCACAAGAAGACGGTCGGCTTCCGGACTGTCTGCATCCACCACGTCTTCGTCTGCATCACTCCTGGACATGTACAAGCTGAACTTCCGCGGCTTGTTTGGATTGTAATTGGTTGGGACGGATTCCAACTCATACACGCAAATGATGTCGTTGGCTTGAATACTTGCCTCGGAAATGACGATGTTGTTGTCAAAAATCTTATAAATCTTATTTTTGTAAGATTCAGCAACAAGCAGTCGGTCCACGTCGGCGTGCGTCCTCAGAGCCACAAATTCCTTCAGGGCTTTGATGGTTGAATGTTTGTCAATGTCTATGTCAATTCGAATGGGTCGCTGACGGAGCGGAAAGTACAGAATCTCTTTCTGCCAGTTGTTCTCGATGGGCAGTTGCAAGGTTAAATTGTTGAAAGGGTCGAAGATGATGCTGACTTTGTTACAAACCGGGCAGGTCAAGGTGGATTTGTACATCCCAGCAAAGAGATCTGTGACGACAGAGTCATTTCGGGCCTTGTAGATTTCCCAGTTCTTCTGAGCGAAAGCCTGAAGGGCTGCGCTATCGTGGACCATGTCGTCTGTGGAATCCGGCTTTTCGATGTATGGCTTCTTTTGGATGCGGTTTAAATCTTCCTGAAGTCCGTCAAGGAGGAACAACAGAAACTCCTGAGAGTCTTGTTGTGAATACCCAGAGAAGTTGGACCCGTACTTGCCCACTATGGCTTTGAACCTGCTCGGGTTCGTCGAAGATGCGTTCTCGTCGTAGATCTGATGAAGAAGGTTGGCGTAGGCCTTCGCAATCTCGCCATGGTGACCCAGGGGATTATCCACGTTAAGGTCCTGCTTCCATTGGTCATGGAGGAAGTACTGGGTCAATTCTTCGACACTGCGAATGCATTGCAAGGCCGAATTCATGTAACACGTGTTTCCCAAATTGCTCAGTCCGGTGATGCCTCGTGGTCTCCCGTCCCGTTTCTGCCGTCCCCGCGTCATCATGCCAGGAGCTGGGCTAGATCTTCCACTGGGGGTGAGGTTCTTAGCCGCACCTCTGATGCCTTTGGCGAGGTTGAGCTTGGAACTCTCGCTTGGCCACTCATCCTTCCCAGACTTTTGTTCCTCGAGCACAATCACTTCTTCGTTCCTGCCCAGACCCACGAAGCTCAAAGTCGACGTCTTCCCGTTGTAATTAGGGTTCGCAGTGTTGTCCTTAATCTCAGTAAGAAGCTCACGGTGCTCGCCTACCTGAAGATGTACGAAGGTGTTGACATCAAGGAGCATTTTGTCTCCTGCCGTGGCCACGATCTCGACACCAGGCGCTGGGGAAGCACTTCTGGAAGCGGCAGGAGTGAGGCCACCCGAAGCACTGGCATTTTTCAGTCCGCCCAGGATTCTCCATACTCTGACTTTGGTGTTCATATCGATGTGCAGGAGCTTCTTGCCTTCTTTCAGCCAATCGTTGCACAACGTCTTCTTGCTCGCAATCATTCTTTGAGGGGGGAGATCGCTCTCGCGTTGGGTCTGGATCGTGTGCTCACTGGGCACCTTCAGGAAGGAGAAGAGTGGCGGATTCAGCTCCCACGTCACATTTGGCATTGTTGCGTCGGCACCGCTCCAGTCATGGGCGTATCTAGTGATGACAGGAGAATCCTTGGCCAGCCCGTACCATGATATTATCAGGTCCCAGGCTTCCTGAGGGAACACTCGATAGTCTTCGTCCAGTGTCAGGCCTGGTCGGAGAGGCACATATTTTTCGCCCGCCTCGTCCGTCAACCTGGCATCCTCGTCGATCACCATGGCAATGTCCGAGTTGTCAACAGGTCCGATTTCACCTTCTGTCGCTGATTTTTCCACCCTCCCCACGTCACCAGGCACAGAACTACGTGCCTGGACTTTCTGAAACCATTTTGCAGAGATGAGGTAACCCTTCTGACCTTCCTCCAGCTCTTTCTGCCACAGCGCCGTCACTTGCGCGATCTGGTCATCGATCGAGGGTATGGACGTAGCGGTGGGAGGGACATCAGCGTCTAGCGAAGTGGCCGCCGTAGAGCGATTCGACGGACTGGGAAAGAGGGAGTCCGTGGTGGTCGAGCTGGCACTGTTGTCGGACGAAGAAGCCGCGCTTTGTTGGACGGCCCGAGCATCACTAGTGTGGGTGAGTTGATCTGTCGTTCGTATGTCGCGGTGTCTCAAGCCAGTGTCTTGCTGTTTTGCCTTCAGAGTGTCTTGAGAACCCGACGGCATGGTATCCGAGTTGATGGGCGTGAAACCGGACCCGGAGCCCGGTATTTGACCCTCACTCATCTCTACGTCGCTGTTGTAGGACTCTCTATCCTGGGCCCCCATATCAGACGCCGGCCTCTTTACAGCGGGGGAAGCGGAGCGCAGATGCCTGCCTAAATCATCCTTGGAATGCGAGAGGTGCTGGTTTCGGTGATTTCGAAGTTTTTGAGAGGAAGCGGGCATGTCCCGGGCGGGAGTGCTCGGAGGGACAGGTAATAAGGAGGTCCAGATTCGCGACTTAAGCCAGGACCATGGATTAGAGGGAGCAACAAGGCGGAAATCTGACTGTCGAAGTAGTGAACGTGTCGATTGTGAGGGTCTGAAAATGACGCCGCAGAATGTGAGGGCCAGCGTCGCGGGTGGATACTGGCCTACCTCACTGGCGGTTTGCCTGCGCTAAGAAAATGGCCTGGTGAGGCAGTCAACTGCGGTGAAGAGCTTGCTACTTGACAATGCCTAGTCCTCAGCCACGACTTGTCGGGGGGATGATTACGGGATGCCTGCAGACTGGGGTCGGAAACTGTCTGAGTCTTCTAACAACCGAAACTGAACTGATTTTGTTTGTCAAGCTTATCCACCCTGTTTGGGAGTCTGTCTACATATGAGCCGAGCCGCGGGCTGCGCTCGTGTGAGGCTCCGGGTAAACACCAGGCCATCCATCTTCAGTGACAAACCTATTCACCACGACAGCTCCAGGGTACGTACTAGTGAGCCAATGATACATTAGGTATTTCGTCTGTTTGCATGGTCCATCATGATTAAGCAAGGCTTCCACCGCCTCACTCGTAGCCTTCTGCCTGGCCCATGGAACAAACCAAGGCCTTCTGTGTTCGAATCATCTTGCGACAATCTTGTCTACCTCATCCCTCGCCTCCGACCACGTATCAAGGTTCTTCCTCGCCCATTCGATATGGCATCGTGCATACGAAACCTATTGGTGTGTGAAAAGTTAGCTGAATGGACACGATCCAGAATCTGGACTCCGGGAGTCCGTTTGGACCACACGTACCATGTATCTCTGGAGGTCGTCCTCCTTCTCTTTCTGGAATCTCTTGAGATCTCGCATCACTCCTTGAGTTGCGTCGTGTACGTCTTTCTCCGACACTTCGAGAGCCTGTTCCAGCTGAGATAGGCTTTCTCGCGTTTTCCCAATCTGATCCCGTCTCGTCCTCTCCGGGTCAACATCGACAAAGCCGTTCACGGCATGTCTGAAGCTGCCAAATATCTTGTTGGTCACAAAGTTGCCGCTGGGAGACTTTCTGTGTGTTGTTGGAGAAGTTGGATTCTGGTGTGGCTGTCCTTGAGCAGCCGACGGAGGTGATAATGGAGGCTCACCATGAGTGGGTGGAAAGTCGGAGTCAACAGATTCGGTCTCTTCATGCTGCACGTCCCTCCTCTCCGGTGGACCCCTTGCAGAAGCACTCGATGTTGAGCGACGCGGGGGGCTTGCCAGTGTCGTGCTGCCGGCCAGATACGCATCAATCCGTTTAGCCTCTGACTCACTGCGTTCGAGCTGGTCCAAAAGGTAACGTTTCTTCTCCAAGTCCTCCCTGGTCATTTCTTGCTGCACTCGTTTCAGGACTCTATATTTCAGAACATTCCGGACGACACCCGCAAATTGCGCACTCTCCCTCATAGGCTCGGCAAATGTGGCTCCCAAGCTGAGCGATAGCTCTTCGGTTGAGATATAAGTGCTGTCCACGGCTTGCCCAATCCGCTCAATGGCTGCTGCCACAGTCGGGGACTGCTCGGAGAGTGAGAAGCCATTATACCGCGCCCCCAACTCTGCAAGATCCGCCGAAAGCTTGGTGAGGTGCTCAATAGTACGGCGGTTTACTTTTTCAATACTGCCTTGCAATAGGATCTCTAGTTCCCGCGTGTTTTGTTCAAAATTGATAAAGTAGGGGTCAAGGTCCGTTTCGCTCAGTCTTTCCGCATTCACGGGAAACCGTCCGAATATCTGGGGACCGGGTGTCGTATGGGACACAACCGAGGGGAAGGTCTGGTCTGGGGGAGATATAGGCGTCCCAGTACTTGAAGTTGGTCCGTACGGCCTAAGCTTGGCCGAGGAGGAAGGGATGGGTAACCAGTTGTGAGCAGGTGTCGGGTTAGCAGGGTCCAGAGGTGGTGCTTTCAGATTATTCTTTGGTACCGACGAGACCGGATGAGCATGCAAGACTTCATTCTGCACAGCAAGGTCAGTATCCTGGTAGTGCAACAAATAACGGGGTTGGCCATTACCCAGCTGGAGTTGGGATCCAGGAACCTCCACCAGACGCCGTCCTCAACCACCTCCTTCATTCTCCGACAGCGGTTCAGAAAAACAGCGAGCATACGTTTTCGCTGATCAATTATGCCAACGTCTTCCTTTGCTTTTGTGGGTTTGGCCGCATAATCTGCCATTGTGTGTTTCTCGGGGATTGGAGGAATGATCAAGGTGGGATGGAGGTTGATCAGAGCGGCGCGCAGTGAGCTGAACTCCGAATATCTCCTCGCGACCTCAATGTCCTGCAAGATCCTGTCAGCTACCCAACCAGTGGTTCCAACGTCCACGGGAGGTGCATACTCCAGTCCGAATCTTGTACACGATGTACCCTCCATCTGCGCTTTTGCCTGCGTCCGTTATGACAATTTCCAGGTCGGGTTGTTCATAAAGGATTTGCTGGACTCTGCTGTCATAGCCGCCTTTGGGAGGGACGGGACCACTCTCCGCTTGTCTCTCGTCCTCCTCCTCCTGCTCCTCATCGTCGTCATCGCGGAACTGTGATGCCTGGTTAGAGGAAGTGGAGTATGAGGTCGGCGACGTCGGCTGGACTGAGTCTGGGTCTAGTATGTCAGCGACAAGCTCAGGCGGTATGAATACAAGCGCATACAGGAGGTGCTTAGAGTTGGATTGGAGGGCTCAGTGGCAGAGTCCTGGTTGTTAAAGGACCCGTACGGGTTGTTGTCCTCGTCGTCCTGCCACATCTTGTGCTGACATGCAACGGAGAGGCAAGGGATGCGACTGGACACGGGTCAGGAAGAAGGACGAAGGCTTATCGTGGAGGTTCCATTGTTTCAAGAAGAACGGTAAGTGAGAAGAACACAACCTCAGTTGTTGGAGGAACTGGAGATGCTGGGAACGTTAGATGCACTCGCACCCACCTAGCCACGTCATTGGTTGGTTTCTCCAAGACGCTCGGACCAGCTCAGCCTGTGGGAAGGTTGAGAAAGGATATATTCTTCCTATAACTCCATGACCTCCATGACCTCCACGGTTCTCTGCTCTTCGACCACCCTACAGACTTCATGCTGGATGTCAAGCCCTCAACATGGCTCTATTGAACTGTCGGCAACCGTGACTGGTCTAGCTCGCTGCAGAATATGTTGTGCTCTGCGTTCACTGCTTCGCCTGTAGCATTTCCTAGACATCCAGTATGATGCTAACAAGCCCCCAGTGCTGCGGTTCATGATGAAAGAAAGAAAGAAGCCCTTTGATCCTCAGCACCACAATTCATATCCCTGCCATGGTTGAATGTAATTGACCTCTCTGCTCTCTTCCATCGCACCTACCACCACTCCCTTGTCCATCTTGGTTTCGAACTTCTGCCGCCACCACCACCCCTTAACCCAACACTGTACCCATAGCCATAGCCAGATTGATATGGCACCATCTGTCCGTTCATGATTGCTGGATGTACCATGGATGGGCTTCCTGCATCCATCGGTGCTGCCCAGTGTGGCCATGCATGTGCGAACCACCACTTCCCATTCGCCCTCTTTCGGACACACCAAAAGATCATGGCAGCAATGAGAATAGCCCCGAGGACCACACCAACGATCATGCCCGCCTTTGCACCTGTGCTCCAGTGATCCCACCCACCATCATCAGGGTCAACCACGTAGACCAGCTGACCCGGGTCCCCAGTGTGGGTTGCATTTGGGAGTGGAGACCCGGAGAAGGGAATGATCCAGGTTGAATAAATACTTCCCATGTCGTCTTGGAGGTAAATTTCAAGCTCGGTCAGTGTGACTGTTGATGTCTGCGTGGTTGTGGTGGGGATCGGCGTGTACTTCGTTGTCGGCTCAGTGACTGCAGTCGTGGAAGGTGAAGCAGGTGAGGAGATCGTGACGGTTTGGCCAAATGTTGCAAAGAGAGTCGTGGATACATGGCAAGTGACGGTGGTAGTAGCGTCACTGATGAGAGTGGGCGAGATCATGACCGCCGTGGTCGTGGTCTCTGTGACTGTTTGGGTGGTGAATGACATGTTGGAATATTTGGCTCCGATCACATTAGAGAGAAGGTTGAGAGGAAGGAGACACCTTTTTGAAGAAGATAGAGTGGAAAGCTCAAATATTCAAGAAGAGCCAAATCGGCGAGATGATCAGCCGGCATTCAAAGGTGAGGTCGAGGCATCTTTCCTCGTCAATGTCTAGAACTCGTTCGAGGGGGCCAACCAACAAAACACAAGCCAGCCCTTCAATCTCCAATGCTGGATATCCTGGTGAATAATGAGGGTACAGCAGATCACAACCCATCCATTACGCGCCTGCGAGATCCTGCACCGCCAGTCCCATACACATACGTGTCAAGCTCAGCCTTGACACCTCTGACTCTGTCGTTCTGGCGACTGCCGTCCATCAACCTGCTCCGACGGCTTGTGGATGTCCTGCTTCACGACGTCGTTCACCTTCCTCCATCATTGCCATGTGTTCCTGCATCATCGGCATGAAGATTTTCCATCCTGCCCAGACGCAGACCGGCGTGATGACCACAAAGCAGATCAGGATTGCTAGGCCGGCATTCATTTTGCCCGGTACCACCGGTCGAAGATTTGAATACGATCGGGCTCGAAATGACGATGCTAGTTGTAGAGATCAGCCCAGCTGACGAGTGGAAAGGGAACATATATCACGTACGAATGATGTTGGAGGATTCAGCCAGGTGCTTGAGGGCGAAGGTCATGGATCCAAGAAGTATGCGATATGCATGAGCCAATGCTAACACAAATATGATCGAGTTGCACAGACTGTCCGTCCTCGAATTAGTATCAGGCTGGATGTTCTGTACTGCGGAGGCAGTGTTTGTGGGTCACTGCCTTTGCAGAGCGCGTTCAACCGCACCCAACATTGCAGGATTGGCCTGTGAATCCAAGCAGATTCCCTTGATTTTTTCTAGACTTGCCCGTTGTTGCTGGGTTTCCACGCCCTTGTCGTGGTGAATGAACACTCCGGACAAGCTGACCACCTGAATCATTAAAACCAAGATTGCATGGTCATAGGTCAAGCCTAATGGATGGACGAACAGCGACTCGAGAAGCCCATCTTGTGGCGGGGTCTGCTGGTGTTGTCTCTCATCTCCGTCGTGAGTGCTGGTTCGATGTCCAAGCGTTGTGGTATGTTCTGCTTCAAGAAGCATAAGGACTTGACTCAACCCTTCGAGCGTCCAGTTCATCGCCGACTTCCAGAGCTCCTGAGCCGTCGATACACCGTTGCCGTTGTAAAGGACTTCTGTCCATTCCTTGATCTCCCGAATGTCGTCCATGTACAGGTTCTGTCTTTCCTCTGCAAACAAATCATTCTTCGACCTCGAGATACTCTGTAGCCTGGAAAAAAAGGATGTATTGAAGAGAGAACCAGCTCCGGCACGCGGAATAGAGTCGTTTGTGTTTTGCCCGATACGCAGGATGTTGACAATGGCGGCTTCAGTAAGCTTCGAAGTCCGGCCGAACTGGCGTGAAAGTTCAGACAAGAGATTTTCCCTTGCGGAGAGGGCGCTGCTGCCCAAACTATTCATGGCACTCGGCTCATGTAGCCGGAGCTTGCGAGCCGCATGAATTGCTTCGAGCCGGATCTCTTCGTCGTCGTCGTTCAATAAATCATACAGGACCAATAGCAGATGAATCCTGAGACTAGAGGGGAGCTCCAAGGTACCATGAGACTTGAGATGCTCAATGAAAGTGGAAATTGCTGTCACAGCGCTCAGTCTGGTGGGAAAGTCCAGATAGTCGGTTGCAATATCCTGTATTGCATCAAGCCATACTTCGATTTGTTGTGCATGTGGAAAGGATTCAACATGTGCAGTTTGAATTCTTCCCAAAAGTGATGCTTGTAGTTTCAGAGCTGCATTCCTTAGATCCCGCGTTGTATGCAGTTGGGATAAGCTCAGGGCGCAGAAAAGCTCTCGGAGAATATGAATAGAAATATCTGTAATATGATCGAGGCATTGCGCCAAACATGTAAATATCTGCTCAAGAATGGCCGGTGGGAGAGACGAAGACCTGCTCCCGTCGTCGATGAGACAGATAAGCAAGTTGACCAGATTCCGTGATGGTTTGTGACAATGCTTCTGACCCACGACGTCGAAAACGAAGCCCAGAGCATCGACATCCTCGACGTATTGACTGGCCAAATCCTGCAACTCTTCGCTTTCATGAACAAGAGGCGCGTCCCTAAGTAGAAAGTGGTAGGTCTTGCAAAGCAGCATCCTTCGGGATAGGTATGAATAGTGTGTGGATTCAACCCGCGCAGCGGACGGCAGGAGGCCTTGTAAGCGCTGTATTCCGGACAACCCACATGTCCACCTATTTTCAAGAACGTAGGAAAATGCATCATTGAGCAAATCCAGCCAAGCAGCATAGACGTATGGTGAGTGGGATGACAAATCCCCATCGGAACGGATCATCTGGTTGATGAGACACTCAATGATGGACTCGAGCTCTGCAGATGTAATGAGGACTGTGGCTCGCCCGAACAGATATCGGCAGCAAAGCAGAACGCCGTGGACTTGATTCTCCGAACCAGACACACCGATGTCTTGCAAGAGCTTCATGATCACTCCTGCTGGATTCCCACCGAGTAAGCGGGTTGCCAGTAGCAGAGCCGCATGATCTCTGACGGCCCACGTTGAGTGCGTCAAGTATTCCATGATACGCTCCGCGGCTTCATCTGCCTCCGAACCCTTGAAAGCTGCATGGCCAAGAAGGTCGAGGCCAGCGAAAACGAGTTCTGTATCACTAGCTTTACTGTTGGCAGCCTTATCGGTCTCGAATGCTGGTGCATTAAAGAGACGGAACGCAATTGTCGACGTAGTATAACTCGTTTCCTGCTCAGTGGATCGATCTACCGGCGCAGCCCTTGCACCCATGCTCGAAGAATCAAGACGATTGATACAAGCACGCAGAAGCATGAGTCCGCAGTTCCGAATTGCCCAGACTTTGGACGATAGGCATGTAGCAGCAAGTTCCATCATTCTCTCAAGGTGTTGGACCACGACTACCGCAAACTTTGAGTTCGTCATTATGTCTTTCAGGCAGTTCAACGCGTGGACTTGCGGCAGTTTCACATCTTCGATATCGAGGATAGAAATCCGATCTGTTCCTCGCTCTGCGATGATCATAAGGTCGTTGATCGAGGAAGAAAATTCAATTGAGTCGGAGGGGTTGAGGAGTGCTCCTATCATGGCTGGAAGACCAGCAGAACGCCGCGTTAGCCGACTTGCTTGCTCGGTGATTTGACTCAAGGCGACCTGTAAGTATAAGTCTCCCTAGGTCTAATACGACTCTTGACGTACGACTTACCTGATACCACTTGTGGATGAGGCCACAGATCGCTGGATCAAAGGATAGTCTGACTTTATCGCAACATTGACTGAAGGTCTGAGCGACCGTTGAGAAGGCTCCTCGATGCCGTAGTGAGATTAATTGATCCATACAAAGGTCGCCGACCGCAGAAAAAAGCTCCCGAGAGGGCGCCGCAACGAGAATCAATGATTGAAGAACAAGACTACTTGTATCAGTTTCACAGTCCGCAACTCGGAATCATAACATACCTTGAATCTCGAAGAGCCCTCCAGGAATAAGCAAGCAAATCCTTTGGCCCTTCACTGGTGATTTCGTCCTCAGCTTCGGAGGCGGTCTCTGGAGAATCCACACAAAGCCGGAGTCGCACTTGTTCCCAGACGTTTTCACAGACTTTGATAATAGTTGGCCCAATATATGTAATCTGTTCGTCCTGGCGGTCTAGGCACCGTAGTCGATAACTCGTGGCAAGTAAAAGTGCATGGATGGGAATAACACAACCAGGCCTCAGCTGGATATCTCCTTCTCCAGTTGTTGACTGCTTCAAGAAACAAACGTCTTTCACCAGTTCTGTCTCATGAAGATCTGGCTGTCGTCCCTTTGGCGACGAATACCTGCTCTTGAGAGCACAAAGACGTCCCATCCCGTCTGCATGATCAGCGCGCAGTGTCCTAACAGCCAGCGCCTCTACCCTTTTGAGAAGGATGTGGTCTATGGCGAGGTTAACCAAGCTTCCGTCTTCGACGATGAGCGTTTGGAGAACAGCCGCTGCAGTGCTCCGAACGTCCTCGAAGGGGTCGAGCACCAGACATGTCAAAGCCTTCAACAGACCATCATCCCCCGCAAACATGCCGGGATCCAAGCTCAGATCAAGCAGGCATTGCAGAGAAAGTAATCCAAGAATGTGACGAGGGTAGGATACTCCTGTATTCAACTCATCCTTCAAGAAGGCATAAAAAGACTTCGTGAAAGAACTGTACGAGTCCAACACGGCTTGGACATCATTCACATAGGGTGGGAGTTGTGTCGACTTTCGGAGGGTCGGAATACTGCCCTGGAGTCTTCGCAACAGTCTCTTAGTGATGCTCAGAATCTCACCACGCTCGTGGGCGGCTGCGTCATCATGAAGATATCTCATGCTAGTAGCAATACATTCTAGTGTTTCTGGTAAGACAATGGCATTTGTTGCAGGCGATGACACCAGCAGTCCGTATGTAAGAATGCGCACTTCATAATCGGCGCTCATCAACACTTGTCTACACCAGTAGAGACTTTTCGTCTCATAACTGAAGGGAGGAGCAGGTGGAGGAAATGCTGATGCGAAAAGGTCCAACGCTTCTGCGTAGAGCAATATTAGTGACTTTTGGAACATCTAAGACTGACAGCACACATACCAGAGTCTGTTAAGATTGATTTCGCCCGACCGACTTTGAGAATAGCAATGAATAAGGCCATCCTTGACCCGCTCTCGTGACAGGATCTGGAATAGGGTTGAATGAAAGCCATGAACTTCTCCTTTCTGTCCAGAATAACAGGTAAGATATTCTCTGCAAATTCGCCTAGGGCTTCGCGATTTCTCTCCAGATACAACTTTATGGCAAGCTCAGTCAGAGCTTGCAAAGTTGATGATGCCGTGGGTTTGGAAGCATCGCTGCAGAGCATGGAGCAAGCCTTCAGAGCCGCGCTTCTTGTGTCTAGATCGGTCATTGCAAAGATCAATGCAAGTATAAAATGGGCGATATTGCGTGGTCCAAGAGAAGAGACATCGCTCAATCTGAGATTATGCTTGGATAGCCGTTGTGTCCACAAAAAGCGGTTGTCATCCACGCAATGCTGGACCAACTGGTCAAGCTGCTCGAGGAGTGGCGTCCTCCTAAGTAGGTATGCCAACATAAGACAAGATTTCTTAATCTCTGAGCGAGGTAAAGATAGCAAGACGATCCTCACCAAGGGCAGTGAGGCCTCCCGCAGGATCTCAGCGAGGACAACTAGGTTATTTTGCTGGTCAAGCAGGTCACAGAGAGTTTCCATTATTTGATTTGCTGGTTTGGTTTTGCCATCATTGAAGGCCTTGTGGGCACAATGATACGTTGCAACCCACACATCCCTGGACAAGACAAAATCTTTAAGCTGGAAAGCAGAGCTTGCGACAGCCTCATGTAGGTAAACACAGAGAGCATTTGACGCCGCAGTTATGTGTTTGTCGGCCACTTTGGGGTTCGTTGCTGTGAGGACAAGCTTGTTCCACAGAGTCAGCATCTGGGAGACATCCTGGCCGTGACGGATACCGCGTAGGGCCTGTCTGAGAGAGCCTCTCCCTAGTTCCGAAAGAAGGGAAATGGGAAGAGGAACTTCTGTATTTATGGCGCGAGATATGGAATCCATGTTAGTCATAGTGAAGCGTGACACAGGCTCCGGTTTGATGTTCGTGTTAGATGCTGCGAATCTCCTTCATCATGGCCTTCGTCGAGGCTCTCTCCTGTGAAGAACGACGATAGCAACAGTCGGAACAGTCTTCATTGTCTATACTTGGCGACAGGTTCAAGAACTGCTGTGATTTTTTGCACGAAAAATGGGTAGAAGGGGTATAGCTGGCGCCATCCCTGATCTGGTCTAGCGTGGAGACAATGGATTCCACCCTATCCTATCACGTGCCTATCTTTAATGATCCGCATTTCGAACATTTTCTTCCGGCCGGGTTCGAGTTTCTGTCTGTCCTTCTGCGCCAACCTGCGACTGCTGTTGCGACCGCCTCTCGCCTTCTCCCTTCGAGCCCATTGTTCCTATCCGTGTCTTCTTCCGTTCGGTACAGCACAACATGTCGGTCTGGGACGCTTTCACTGGGAGGAAGTCCTCGAGGCAGCAATCGGAAGCCTCCACCCATCCCCAATCTTCCTCTTCATCCTCATCCTCGTCTTCATCATTTACGCCGACACATTTCGATCCCACTACTGCAACAGACGTGTCGTCCTTTCTTGGAAGCGCCTCTTTACCCGATGCATCGAAACTTCACCCCCTGGCCGGCTTGAATCAACAGACACTCGACTACCTCACACTCGACGAGTCGCAACTCTCAGACCTCCCCGGCTCTAGGTCGATATTACCATCGCGCGGCTGGTCTGATGACTTGTGCTACGGCACGGGAGTCGTCTATCTCGCTGCCTTGACTACAGGAGGCATGTGGGGTTTAATAGAAGGACTGAATCGAACACCGGCATCCGCACCTCCGAAGCTAAGATTAAACAGCGTGTTGAACAGCATCACGCGAAGAGGACCTTTCCTGGGCAACTCGGCCGGAGTGGTGGCAATGGTTTACAACGGAGTAAACTCGACGATAGGATATTACCGCGGGAAACATGATGCTACCAACAGCATTCTGGCTGGTGCATTCAGCGGAGCCATTTTCAAGAGCACCCGAGGCTTGAAACCAATGTTGATCTCAAGCGGCATCGTAGGATCGATTGCGGGAGCGTGGGCTGTAAGTAACGACTTATTTTACGGACTGTGACAGTGCTAACCCGTGACTCAGTTGACTCGAAAAGTCATTTTCGAACCAGGCGAACCCGCGGAGGCGAAAGAACATACGATTGCTCCCACACACGCGAGCATCTAAACTGATGACCTTTGGAGAAGTCCCGCTTGTATAAAACCTCCTTTCTCTGTCGTGCATGTCGCCAGAGCAGTGCACCTTTGCGACCGACCGATGTCTGTTATACGATCCTCACTCTTCGAATGTGGTAAAGCATAGCGGGAATGGTATGATACAGGGCGTTCTGGGAGGTGGATTGTGTATGATAGATTTTGGCAAGAATGACGCCCCGTGGAAGCGAAGTCCCGGGTCCCAAAGATCGATGGCGACTAATGGTCCAGGAGAGACAGATCTTTGGTTCGTCAACTGATGTCTTCATATTTGTTGAGGAGAATTCATCCACTAAAAATGTTAATATCAAACAATATGCTGCCCATCATGTCCATCAATTTTTCTATGACGCCAACTGAAAAGGTCTCGGATGCTGGTGATAAACCAGCCCAAACCACCGATTCCCGGCTATTAGTCTTTTGTGTTGTACAGGTCATGAGCAGTGAATATGCCTCACAGCATTGTCTTCCGCCAGGCTTTTGCAGCGAGAGCCTCGATGGTCTTCGTGTCCAGAACACCCTTTGTCTCCTCGTCGGCAATGGCTTCAACCACAGCGTCCGCGACCAGGTCCACCTTCAGCGGCTTCTCAACAGCTGCACCGAATATACCGGTTAAGTTGCCTCCGACCATGCTGTTGACCGTACTGCCCACCATCCCCGACGCAGCTATAGGCAAGGTGAACTTCCGACTGTTGTCCCACAGAAACCCCGGTCTGACAAAGATGCTCCTCAACTTCGTCATCTGGCTTGCTATCGTGTTCTCTGCCTCCCGCTTCGTTGTGATATACCGTGAGGGAAGAATGGGTGCACCTGCCGCGGCGGAGATGTAGACGAATGTGTGTGCACCAGCATTCTCAGCTTCTTGTGCCAGTGCGATGGCCGAGTCTCTGTTCATCAATTCATATGTGATCTGCCCGTCTTTTTCACCCTTCTCCAGGCCTTCGCCGGGTTTGCGGTCGAGTGGGTTTTTGGAGCTTCCAGCCTTGGTTGAACTGAACGCCCTAGACAGGCCCGAGATGATTGATTCTTTCCCAGACAGCACCCCCTTGTAGTCTGCCTCGAGTAAGATGCCCATCGTATGGACGACAGCATCGGCGTCCTTGAGGTGGGAGGTGTAGGTTGTGGGCTTGAGGATGTCACCTTTTGCCCAGCTCACGGACTTGGACCAGGAGGGAGCCTCTGGCGAGGAGGTCACTGAGGACCATGTCGGTTCGCCTGAGCGACTAGAGCGCTATAAGCCATATTGCAACACCGTGGATTGGGCACAAACAAATACCTGATGGAGGTAACGTCCCAACCTCTAGCAACGGCAGATTTGCAGATGCGCGAACCCAGAAACCCATTGCCTCCTGCAACGACCAACTTCTTCTTGGCAGCCTGTGCCATTGCTGGAGTACGCAACGGTCTACCAACTCGATACCCTCTCGAGAGGAACCCCCTTCACACCACGAACAAAGGTTGCTTGTACTTTTTGGGGAGAGTCAAGTGCGTCATTGACGAGGGCGTCCAGAAATGGAAGGTGCGGCGAGATACAGGCTCTCGAACGACCATCCAGCGAGATTTCCAAATTTCTCCATGCAATGAACGAACAACGAACCTTTACCTTTTTCAACAGTCGTTACACACTGATCAAAGTCCTACAGCCAGTATGTCTCCTTCGAAGCGGCGCAAGCTCAGCCCAGAGCCAGAGCAAGAAGAAATCCAGGGCAGTGCAGAGAATACCACAGAAATGTCACAGAGGACGCCACAGACGACACAAGAGTCAGATCGCGATGTGACACGAGCAGCGACACCTTCGGTCGGTAACCAGGCAGATACCGATGGACAAGACTCGACTGCAAAGCACAAATACGCAGCTACGGACGGTGCCTCAGCTGCCATCGCCATCCCAACCACCATAAATGCAGACCGACTCGCCCGTTTTGCGGCCCTCAAATCTCGGGCCACGGAGTCCGCAAAGTCCAATCTTGCCGAAGCCAAAGCGGAAGCCAACCGCGCAGCGATGGATCCAGCCTTGCTCGCCAACCTCAACAGACGCTCGGCCATCGCGCAGCACAACCTGCTGAAAGCAGATACCGAAGAAGACGAGGGCAAAGGGGCCTTCGAGCGCAAGCGAGCTTGGGACTACACCATCGAAGAGAGTGAGAGATGGGACGAGCGCCAGGAACGGAAAAAGGCCGCAAGGGACAACAATGCGTTTTCGGACTGGAGTGACGAGGCGGCCAGAATGTATGATCGCCAGATCCGCGAGTTGGAGAAAAGTTCTCTCAAAGATGGCGGCCGCAACCGTGAAGAATACGAACGGCAAAAGGCCGAAATCATCGAAAACGCCGCTCGCACCGGCGGGTTAGAAATTGTGGAAATGGACAACGGCGAACTCGTTGCCATCGATAAAGACGGCCGATTCTACGCGGACCACGACAGTCTGGGCTTCGTGGAACAGAAGCCCAAACGAGAGAATGTGGATCGCCTGGTCAATGACCTAAAAAAGGCAGAGGAGGCACGGTTCAAAAAGAGAAGAGAAAGAGGGCGCGACGTGGAAGAAGGGGACGTCACATATATCAATGACAAGAACAAGCAGTTCAACCTCAAGCTATCGAGATTCTACGACCGGTACACGAGGGATATCCGGGAAAGTTTCGAGCGAGGAACCGCCATGTAACGGGGACAGGTTGGAGTGTATTGTGCAGGAGAGAGGCAGAGATGCTGCTCAAATAGATTGCCGTTGGTCTATCCCTTCCAGGAGCGGGCAGGTATTATACTTGCTTTTTTGTTGCACAGGAAAGTGAGCGGGCGAAGCGGACACTGGTTCGCATTCTGGAGCATCTTCCATCTATCTGTCTCCTTCCGAATTCCAAAGTGGATGGAACCACATTCTCTACTGTCCAGCCTGACCGTCCATCCTGGGATACCTGAGTAGTAAGGGTACTAATGATGGGGATCGTACCGGTGCCCGTTTTGTGCACCAGTGAATTTGTCTGTAGGTATCTACCTACAGTAGGTCCGTGATTCAAGGAAGTTGTACTGAACCGAGTGGCCATGGCTTCTGGCAAGTCGAGGTCTATACATGTATATATATACATGTAGCTGTGACTCTTCAACACGGGTACGGAGAGACAGGAAGGAGGAGAGAGAGGAGAGCGGAGTTGAACGCCCCCCTGCGTACGTGCGCCCTTTTACATAGAGGGGGTAGTTTTATTTTATTGTTTGCACGCGACATCAAGATTCGTTCGATGCCCACCCAATACATATGTCTTTGTCAGTCGATTAATTATTATTCTTATTATGATGATGTCTCTTTGTGGGTTTCTCACCAGCCTTGTTCTGTTCTGAATGAGGAATACGTATCCCGCGAATCAGTGAGTCGGTCGATGTCAAGGTTGACTGACTCCCAGACCGTTCCCTCCCATCCTTCATTCACAGACGCATGAGTACAGAGTGATAGAAGGACGGTGAAAGAGCAAGACCAAGCAGGGCCGGATCGACTTTTCGTCGTCCACTTCGCTCGGAAATTCTTGAGAGACGACTGTGAAGCTCGTCTTGAAAGTAGATTGACGGCTCAAGCAGACATTCAGTGCGAAATCTGCCAGTACGGCCACCAGCAAGGGAAAGGACTTCGAGAAGTCGATCGACGGAACAAGCTTGCGCCAGTTCGAGCGTCTGCATTGAATTCTAAGGGCTATTCCGCGATTTGCACGGTACGAGGCTAGTATCGTTGAGCAACAGGGCCGTCCTTTCACAGGAGTTATCTTCAGGTGGTAACCCGTAACAAGTCACGAACTCCTCAGAACAGCTATCTCATCATGCCACACCACGGCGCCACTAATATCCTTGTTATCGGTGCCGGCGTGACCGGCCTGAGCACAGCAACTCTCCTCCAAAGGCACTTCTCAAGTGCCAAAATTACCATCATTGCCGCCGAAACGCCCACGACACCATGCCCATCGGTAGACTACGCCTCCATGTGGGCAGGTGCCCACTACCGTCCAATCCATCCACTCTCCACCGAACAACTCAAAGCGGAATACAAAATGGGAGTTCGGACGAGGGAGGTTATGATGGGTATCGCCCGGGACTTTCCAGATTCGGGGGTAGAAGCCATGCCTGGGGTCGAATACCTTGAGGATCCCCCCTCGGAGATTTTGAATATCAGGACCGGTGACGAGTATGCGGGTCCAAATGATGAGTTCCGCGTCCTGCCGCAGAATGAGCTGCCGGACGGAGCCAAATGGGGATGTGAGTACCAAAGTTATTGCGTCAATATTGTGGAATACTGTCGCTGGTTGATGGACCGATTCCTGGCAGACGGAGGACGAGTTCTTCAACATCGTCTGTCCAACGCGACTGAAGCGTTCAGCTTTGCGGAGCGTAATCAACTTGGCAAAGTGTCAGTGGTGGTAAATTGCTCCGGGAGAAATTTCGATCGAGATCCCAAAGTGAAGATCATCCGCGGCCAGACTGTGCTCGTCAGGCAACAATCCCCGAAGACGATTACTCGGCAGAACGCTGATGGGAGTTGGACATTCTTGGTCCCCCGACCTCAAGGTGGTGGCACAATCGTGGGCGGAACGAAGGAGGTTAATGATTGGCACGACACCCCTCGGCCAGAGACAAGGGCCGAACTGCTTCGAAAGTCTGTCGAGATGTTTCCCTACTTTGTCGACTCGATCGAGAAATTTGAGGTCATGCGGGATGTTGTTGGTCGCAGGCCGTGGCGGGAAGGTGGCTATCGAATCGAAACCGAGTCGTTTGGACCCGGCCAAGACGTCGTCCATGGGTATGGTGCTGGCGGTCGAGGCTATGAGCTAAGTTGGGGTGCAGCTGAGAGAATCCTTGTGCTGGTCAAGGAGTCTGTTGGTACAGGTGCCCGGTTATGATGGTCGAGGCATGACGAACAAGGACCACACCCACATCGCTTTATTTCTTCTTCACGGGCTTCCCTTCTGTCTTTTCCAGGTCCTGCAGTCTCGCCTCTTCCTTTATGAGTTTCGCTTTTTCTTCCGCAATCAACCTCTGGACTTGCTTGACCGCTTCTCCCAGACGATCCAGCTCCTTACTTTCCTCTTCTCTGCTGAATTTGTTGCCAGGAGAACTTTTCATGGGAATCTCCGCGGTGGGCGGCGGCTTGATTGTTCCCTTTCCTCCTTTTCCAGCCTTTGGTTTGGACGTTTGAGCACCTCCCGTAAGGATCTCGTAAAAAGCTTCCACGGGCTCATTGAACAGCACCTCCTCATAGCAGACGCTGCTGATCATAGACCTGTCCCTCTTCTGCTGTTCAATATCCCCATAGTATGGATGTAATTTCAGTCCGTGCCAGATCTGTTGTGGTTTCTCGGTACTCTCGGGCACAAAATAGAACTTGATAGCGATCTCGAATTCACCCCAGCCTGTTTCTTCCACCTCGAACGGAGGACTTTCGATCATGCGAACGCTGTTTGCGTATGTGTCGTGGAGTTTGAATTGTACCTTTCGCAGCCAGTACGAAATGTCTTCGTTGTTGATCCCACGCACGAAAACTTTCCATTTGTGTGTATGATCGGGTGGCGCGTCTTTCGGGCGGTTTTCTGGGTCGAAGGGAATGGCTTCGGTGCCGTAGATGAAGGGACGATAAATTTGGACCCCGCGCACGCGCTTGGTTCCGGCGGGAGCAGGCATTTTGAATGTGGTGTGTCCTCGGTTGCGAGCGATGTTTCAAGAGACTCTCCAGCACGGATCGCGAAGGTAGACCAAATTTGGGCGTGGTAGATGGGGCATTTGGATATACCCTTGTCCCTTCCAACACGAGGTGGAGAAATAAAAGGTGAAAGTCAGAAAGAGGCTCAAGAGCGGAGTGGAATGGCGCGAGGGCGCATGCGTGGTGTCCGGTTTCCACCAACTGAGTTACATAAGCTTGTCACGGGCAGGCCGCCAAGAGTTGTTCCTGGGATCCGCTACGCCATCCGTAGTTGATGGACCGGCACTTTCTTGAGTCTTGACACGTTCTGCGACATGTACGTGGGGCCGAGGAGGATTCTGCTGAGGCTTACATTGTATCCTTCGGGCCTTCGTTCCCAGCTCACATATCGCCCATGGTCTTGCACTTCTCGACTGGCTGCGAAGAGAAGCCGGCCGCCGACATACGCCAAACCAGCCACACCAAAGACACCCGGTGCAGCACTTGAGACAGCGACCAAGTCGGAGCAGAAATTGGGAAACAATGGTTCCTACTACATCTCGCCCGACCTTGCCAGTGCATTGCACGGACTGGGCTTCTCTTCTATTCCGGATGTGGTCAAGGTGCTAAGGCGACTGTGTCAAGACCTGAAAAAGCTTCCTCCTGCGAGTGCCTTGGTGTCTGCAACCACACAGCATAGTATGTGGGTAGTCTGATCAGAAGACCGGCGTCGTCTGCTGACATCTTGACGCTCAGGGTTCGTCCAGCTTTCAGAGGAAGTGCTGGGCTCTGCTGAGGTTGCTCTGATGCGAGATCCACAGATTCTGCGCAAGGCGTTCCATTCACTGGGAAAGAATGCATTCCATACTCAAAATCGCAAGGGCGACGAAGGCTGTGATGCTTTACGAATGGCCTTCTTTGCGGGAGAGATCGACGCGGGCGTGGATGCGGCTGCAGCTGAGATCGCTCTGGGTAGCGCACTGGGTCGGCAAGAGGCTCGTCTGTCCCCCCGAGTTGCCGAATTCATCAAGACAAAAGCATTCGAAGGGAGTGATTGGCTAGCGATGTTACTGTACTTGGATGAAATGACGAGGAAACCCGGCAGCGAAGCAACTGCAAGAAAGAACTATGAGCTCGCCAAAGATTTAGTCGGCATGGTCGAACCCAGCAAGCTGCTCCGTCGTCAAAACTCGTCTCTCCTGCAGCATCCCAAATTGCCGTGGAGGATTCTTCATGATGCAGCGAAAAATTACTTGTCTTACCTCGGTGAAGGTGCGGTCCACGATCAAGTCCGTTCGGACCTTGAAGATGCTATTCGAGACGGCCTTTTCAAATACTCTGATCTTTCGGCAGCTCCTTTCGCGTTGCGTCAGCCGGGTGTGATCAAGAAACACTCAAAGGAGTGGGTTGAGCTTGCCACGCAATCCGCCAGCGCTGGCGATCCAGACTCTTCCCTGCAGCTGGCATTTTATCATCTCCGTAAAGATGGATGGCGTCCTGCAGAGCCGAACCGGAAACCTCGAGATTGGACCGGCATCGAGTGGCTCGCTGTCAGCGCCGCTCTGTCAGCTCCCGAAACGGACTCTATGGCGGCAAGGTATCTTGGACTCGCCCACCTTCTGCGTGAGCACAGATATGTGGACGAAGGTACCTCCTGGATTGACTTTGCGAAGGAAAATATGGGCGAGGCGGGACTAGACCCTGACAACACGTGGCACCACTATTTCAGCGAATTTCAGCAGGCTTGGGAGGGCACGGACGAGTCCTTGAAGAAATACGAGAAATCCAGCGAGGAGTTTCTTGGGCAGTTGGAGTGAACTTGATGGACAGCAACTGTGCTCCAGGGCGTGCTGGTCGACAATGGAGGAGACCTTGCGTCTCAAAGCTCTACAGGACTATCTTGTCGTGCCAGAGGGCCGATCTCTTTCGCGCCAACCTTGCGCAGCGGACTGGGTTCATTCCCGACATCTGTGACGAAAGGTTGGCTTTGCGGTATTCAGCCTCTCCCCAGATCCACAGACCAGCACCACATCCATCTGCGTGACGGAAGAATCGTCTTTGCTATGGAGACTGCGATCCATACCGGTTTCGACAGGGCGGCGTCTGGCAGAGGCGAGGTAGAGGTTTGCTGTGGTGGACAGACCCGATAGGAAGAGGACGGTCAGAATCATGCCAACTGTATTTACCTGTATCTTGTAATTATATTAGACTCGGAGAAAAAGGGGGTGGGATCGGCCCGTAAATGTTCCCAAAGCTTGCTGCTGCTCCCGTCGCCGTCGTTGCAAAGTGTATATAAACGTGACCCGGCACACGAAGTAATACGGCAAGTGCCACCTCACTTGGCTCAAACCCGTGGACGGAGTGTCTCCAGTCCACACGCCCCAAGTGACGCTGCTGCACATATATATGGACCTCACTCTGTACATAGGTGTCAATGACCAAGGCATATCCTTCGTGGTGGTGGTGATGGTGATGGTGTTCTCCAACTCCTCCGTCTCTGCGCTGCGTTCTCGCCTACGACTCCCTCAATAACCTCGTGGCTACCGCGCGATGGAGGAGGAGGAGGAGGAGGAGGAGGAGAAGAAGAAGAAGAAGAAGAAGAAGAGCGCAATGCAAAAAGACCACACATGATATCGGGAGTTCAGGCAACTCCCTCCCTCTCCCACGAATTCAATAACAGCAAATAGCAAAATCAACCCTCTTCCCCAATTTCATTCGGTATCAGGGCTCCTCTTCGGGAGGAATAGGAAGGAGGAGGGCAACACCGATCGATCCCCAGTTCATCCATCGTCCCGTCATGGGCATAGTAAAGCAGTAGTACCATGTGTCATCGTCGCGTGCTCGTTTTCGTTCTGCCCTCAGCTCAGCTACAGTTAGTTTAACCTTCTCCGTAAATAGCCTCTTTCTCTGTTTTTGTCTATCTCTTCTCGGCTGTCCTAATTCAGCATACCCGAAAAAGAAAAGGGCTATGTACGTAAAAGAAAAAAAAGCCTACTACCACAACCTCCCATTGAACTACGCGCGCAGACTAACGACCTAGATCGTAGCCGTGGTCGTAGTAGTAGTAGTAGTACCGAATATATTATTTCGTATCTCTTCATATCCCGGAGCCCATGGACGGAGGACCGAGCACGACCTGACTCGTACGGGGAGGACGGAGGATGACGGAGACGGGCAGAGCTAAGCAGGAGCACGAGCAGAGCAATCTAGACCCGGGCGACGCGCTACCACCCCGGGCATCATGGAGCATCTAGACCGTCGCATGGGCCCGTGCGTGGTTATTATGCCTCGCTCCTTACTACTCGGTACAAGCTCCTCCGTCTCCGAGCACTACCCCCAAGCCAGGGCCAGGCCAAGCCAAGCGGGAAATAATCCCTACTGTACGAATTTATCACTAACGGGAGCACGGGTGGGGTGGGTTATTCGTCACGAACGCACAAAATACGCAGAAAGTCAGGCTAATAACGACGACCTCGCCCCCTGGACACGGAACAAAAAAAGGGGGGCCCGGTGTCCCCCATTTCCAATTTCTGTATGTTAATCTTGGTAGTGGGGGGAGGGATGGGGGAGGTTTGTACGCAGTAGTCACCCAGTAGTATTGCGTGTAGTAGTGTGCGAAGAACAGTACGAGGCACTAACTGGTGCTAGTAGATGCTGTGGGAGGAAAAGTGGAAGAAGGAAGGTTTTGGTTCTAGACCGTTGGCACCTAACTACGGTAACTCTATCAAGCTTTTTGGGGGCCTCCCGGGCTGTACTCTCTACATATTACATGCCTTAGGTTGGTGTTAATGGAGCAGCTAAATAAATATATCGGATCGCGGGTGGTATGACCACACGCTCATAAATACATAGCTGAACACATGCCTCGTACATACATACCACTAGGCACAGCGTAGGCACATGGTCCAGAAAAAACCCCGCCAATAACCTCGCCATGGATCACCGTCTGCCCAACATTTCGGGAGATGCACACCAAGAGATTGAGACTCCATATTATTGCGTGCGTGCATTCCTTTCCTGTGCTTCCGTCACGGCTGCACGATGTTGATGATGACGATGATGCTGTCCAACCATCGTTGCCTAGAGAAAGGGCTGTGACATTCAGACCGCCTTACCTGTCGCCCCATCTACCACCTTACCCGTCGCACCACCCAGCACAGCCGGTCCAATACCATGTTGGACACCAGATCCCAACAGTCTGGCTCACTGGATACCTCACTGGATACCTCAGACGGCGTCTGGCGTGGCTGTCTCTTTCACTTTTCCGATCTCGTTGCCGAAGTTCCGGCTTGTCTATGCCGACCGAGTGAGTACCTTGCACTGTGCACATGTTGGATGACACCTTGTCCACCGGTTCGCGTTTCCCAGGCTTGTAGCCCCTTGAATCCCATTGATAGCCCGCTTGTTCTTTCGAAATAACCAGACACCCCGGCGCTCCAGAACCTGCATGCCTTGCATCTTAGCCTTCTGCAGGCTTGACGAGTTAACCTGGCTACCAATTTCTCCATCCCCATGTTCCGTGTCGCTCGCAAATGCACTCCGAACTTCCTCGGAAAATCAAATCGTACTTTTGCCGTGTTACTGCCCGGGCTCCTGATTGCCCGTGTCTCATTAGCTAGGATCCTAAACACAGAGTGAAAGTTCGAGAGGCATGTCATGTATTGAAAACACCAGTATTAGTTCCAGCACGACCGTCCACAGCCTGTCAGCCACGCCCCCATCTGGGAACTTTCTCACACGCCTTCACAACAAGGTCAACGAGGTCGACCGGCTGCATCGCGTCCACGGCCAGTACGAGGTCATCTTCCCTCACTCGTTGTCGTAGTCACCCGAATCATCGTCGTCAGAGTAGTCATCCCAATTTCTCCGTCGTCTTTGGCCTTCTCTGATCCCTTTCTTCAATTTGAGCGGGAATCCTGCACCTCGGTCAAGCAGGCCCTTCACCAAGTTGGTGCTGGGCTGCACCTGATCGAAATCCTTTGCGTTGACAGCTCGGAAGACTTGACTCGTGACGACATGGTGAGCAGGCACCGTAGCCCCAACTTTGAGCAATGGAGGTTCCATCTTCATCAAGGTAAACTGTAACCGGTATTCGCCCGCTCGGCGCACGGAAAGATCGGCAAAGATGAAGAACGATCCCGGAATGTTGTGAGGAGCTCTTGGTAGTCTCCCAGAAGGCGCGCTGGGCAAAAATCTCGACGTAGGACTGGGGGGCGCAGATACCGCATCTCTTGTAACGGGATGCGTGGGCATTGTAGGGGGATCGGGGTCATCAGCAGTATGAGTAGGACTCGCCACAGTCGTGCCCAAGAGCAGACGCTGCACTTCCTTTTGCCCGTCATCGGTGTAATAGGACTGCGTGCTCACATCTGACTCGACAGAAAATGCGCCGACTAAACGGCAGTGCACAACCCAGAAGGGACATCTTAGCTCTGCAACATCAGCCTCATTGTCCGGATCGAAGTCATCCATTAACAACTGCACGACCGGCGGGGGATCGACCGCTCTGCACGGACTGATCAGCCACGAGCAAACCTCCGTAGTCGAGAGTACTTACCTTCGATCCTTCCCGTCCGGTCCAGCACGCGCGGCTCTGGGCTGCTGTCTGATGTGCAGGTGACACCGCTTGGCAGTGTCGAAGGAGGATGGGATGGAGTTATAGGCCGTAGTCGGAGCCGCGTACGATACCGCGGGTGATTCTGTGACTGGAGCAGTTGAAGGAGTAGCACCGTCATGCACAGAGTCAGATACTGGACTGGAAGTCCTCAATCCAGGTTGGGCCGTTGGTTCGTGAAGTTCACCGAACGAAGATTGAAATGGGGAGGGGTCATAAGACATCCTAGAACCACAGTCAGTTGAGGGAGACTTGGAAAGGGCGTTGCTCCTTACCTTCGATCACTGAAAGTAGTCGCTGGACTGTGAATTGTAGCACTGTGTGCGGACGGTTGTGACGAAGGTGAAAAAGCAGATTCATTCTCCGAACCATGCATTGTCACAGGACGAGAGTGAGGTGTAACGAATGAAGACAGATAGGGTGCAGGTGACCAGCGACTGGGACCCTGGGATTGAACAGCTGGGGCCGAGAAATATGAAGGACGGTCTTGACGGTCAAAACTTCCTCGAGATGGTATCTGGGAAGAATTGCCGTACATAGCGTCTGATGGCAATGCATCCGTGGATAATGAGAACGAGCGGGGATGCTGTGAGCCACTGAGCACACAGGTAGACGAGAACGAACCATGCGTCGCCGGATTCATGATACCTGGAGAGGACTACGCGTGAATGGTGACGGTAATAGCGCTGATATATGGTTGTCTCCTTAAACAGCAGCAAAGGGCACCAGATGGCAGTCGGTCAACCTCAAATGGAGTTCTGAACCGAAAATCTTGTCCAGCACCACCCCTTGGCATCGCGGATGGCATTTAGCGAGGGCTCAGCTGGCGCAATTCGAGACCGGGGGGGGGATCGTGCGCCACAGACATTACATCCTGGCAAGTGATAGTCGCGAGATGATGGGGCACAGAAGGAGTACTCGACAGATAGCCGTGGGGAAAGGGAGGGAGGGGGTGGGAAAGAGAGCGAGCGAGCGAGCACCGAGATTCGGAAAGGAGAGAGAAGGATGGAAAAATGGAACGACACGACAGGGTCGGACTTCGCGCGGATTCTGGGACGGGCAGGGCAAAAAGAGGTTTGACGGTTTGTGCAGTAGCGTTTGCGACAACACGCCAGCGCTGCACTGCCAGTGGTGATGGTGGTGGTAATGGTGGTGGTGCCAGGGCCTTTTGCTCTGCGCAGTTTGGTGAACCCCGCCCCTCCGGGCGGGCGCACAGAAGATGTGTGGCCAGTCGCAGATTTATCGGGGGGTTTGCAAGGGTTATACGAGACCCTCTTTGTCATGTGGGTGTTGTATCATGCCGACCACAGACTCCCTCCTGCGTCAACGTGTGAAGGGGGCCAGCTAAGAAGCCGTCACCTGGGTGTGTGTAATGTCTTCCTGGGCCCTTCCTTCTCTTTTGGCCGTGGCCGAAGCGGTGGTAGGATGGACTGGAGAGAGGTTGCAGAGGTTGCAACTGGACGGATGGATCGCTTCCAGGACCGAAAAACCAGTGTCCCAAAGCGTGTAAGGGCCGTCCGCAATTCCGAAACTTGGATTTCAGCAGAGCCCACAGCACAGAAATCCAAGAATGAAGATGTAGCTTTCGGCATGCGTGGAAGGGTTAGTTTAGGCGAGCATGCCTGTACAGTTGGGTTGGAAGGTTTGTTGGTCAAGGAAGGTAGCAAAGTGGAGATAAACACTAGACGGAGGAGTAGAATCCACGCCAGCCCCCAACCGACCTGCGAACTAAGGCAAGGGTGAGTTCGGGGGCATGCATCGTGATACGAATGAGTGAGAGAAGAGCCAGCGACCACCAGAGGTCGGTCGGTTGGGGTTCCGAGTCCTATGAACAATATTATTAGCCGACAACCCAACTACTGAAAGAGAAGGGAAATCAATGGAGTCGTTTGTGGAGGATGATGAACTGTTACAATTGCTGAACACAGGAGACAGGAATGGAGGCGAGCGAGCAGGTAGGAGATGGAAAGAATGATGAGAGAGAGAGAGAGAGAGTTCTCGTTGCTGTCATCTTGGATCTCCAACTGCAGACAAGTCCGCTGCAATGCTCCATCTCTCACCTCTGTTTCTGTTCCAAAGTCCATCAATCACACTCCATCACTCCATCACTCCATCATCCCATCACCCCATCACCCCATCACCTGTGTCTACCCAACTCAGGCAAATGCACACATGCCTTCTAGCTTTGGTTTCATTAGCTGCGAAAACGCTGGCACTACTGTGTAGGACAGTGACCCAACCCGAAACCGAAACCCGTCGCCGTTGAACGAGCAGCATGAAGCCATACGAATTCGATGCATTAACAGGCGCGACACCCACACCTCTGATATTTTAGTTTGTCCCAGCAAACGAGCGCTTGTTACCCTCTCCCTGTGACTCGTCGTGTTAGAAAGTGCCGGGCACCGCACGTTGAAGATCTGTTCCCAAAGCACCCCGGACAGGGATCCTCCTTCCAGCTCGACCGGGGTTTTTACACACCGTGAGTGAGGGCTGGATGGCAGTCAGCGACATGTCCGGCAAGCACCACTAATGTATGGATGACCTCCCCAGCTCCATTCCCAAGCTGCAGAAAGAGACGGCTTGCGAGTCTCGGCTCCGCATGACCGGTAAGGTGGTAGTTGACTGCCATCGACAAAGGTTGACTATAGCTAAGCTCACCACCAGCGTCAATAGATGTCTGTGCAATCTGCAGGAACCCCTGCACGACTCAAGATAGTCAAATTCCAATCACATCCGATTCCGCTGACAAGCAAGCAATGGCACACAGATCGAGTCACACCCCAGCCATGGCAACAATTGGCGGAGTTCAAGACCAAGGTTCAAGCCATGACCCATCCCCTTCCGCCGTGGAGCTGCTCCTAATATTCGGGCATTTTTGACTATTGGAGCATACTCGTACGCCGTGTTGCCCTACGCATTTCCCATCGCAGAGAATGTGCTCAGAGGGAGGGGAAAAAAGAATGGACAAAAGATGGAGGTGCCGGGGAACAGACCGCGGACCAACAACCCGATCGCTCTAAGCGCTGAATGCAAAGCTAAGTAGGACCACATGCCGATGGCTCAAGCTCTGCATGCTGCATATGAGTAGTTTCGGACGACCCCGTTTCAGCAACCATTGAACATGCTTCTGTTGATCCATTGCCGCCAAGGAAAAACGACGACTAGAGGCGAACCACCTGTCAGGTCTGCTGCGGAACAATCAGGAGAATTGATGGCACAAGCACGGCCCTCCTGACACTATCCACCGGGCATGAACACAAATGAGATGGTCCGGAAGCTGTGATCTCGGTTATCGATTCCAGGCTCAAGATCCCCGGCCGGCGACGGCTAATAATTAGGCCCTCACCGAAAAGCCAAACACCAGTCCTCCAGACGCAAAACCTACATACCAGCACAGTTCTTCAAGGCGGTCATCCACTTATCCTGGCTCGTGCTTGACGCCTCGATACGGCAATGATCCGCACGTTCGGGCTTCAATCGCCATCAACACTAATTGGACGCCACCGGGAGGAACTCATGGGCCTCGAAGTTATTGGATGTAAACCTACACCATCGACAAATCAGATCCTGCTCAGCTGGCTTGAGTCCCTGCCTTGTTTGATAGCAGAGCTTTACCCTATTTCGAACCATGCGTTGCAGGGGTATTACGTACCCTTTTGCCGACCAGGTGGCGAGTGAAGCAAGGAGCTTGGACGACAATAGCTACGATTAGATGGAAAACCCCCACACGCAAACGGCAAGAAGCCAATCTGAGCTATAAGGTTGGCCATCTACACAGCTGCGCAACATAGCCCAGCAATGAAGTGACCCAAGCACCTGGTCTCGGCTTCGACAGGCTCTCTTGTCTCTATGACAGCCAATGTTACTGTCCTCGCATTTCAGGGTGCTTGCCTTATCCGACTTGGCCACCCTATCAGATCATCTACCATAACCTACCGCCCCTGCTCAGCTGCCGTCCGCCCATAGCATAAACTTTGCCCATTGTTGTCCACTGTGCCAATTTCTCGGGGGATGGGGAAAATGTTTGCTCGACCTCTATCACGGCTTACTCTGTCGACCAGCAGCTGGGGACGTGTCTTAGTGCACCCGCTACATTGCTTCACACGGCTGGAGAGATTAGATGAATAGGAAGGAGGTCCTTGAAGTCTTGACCGTTCAGCTGAAGGCAAAAGGCAGATTTTGATCCTGGGCCTGGGAAAATTAGGGCATCAAATCGACGATGGTTCCATTTTCTAGCGGGTGATGAGAAGGTCGACCTGCTGCCTTGTCTCTTCTTACCATGGCCAATACCGTACTTCCCCGCTTACGCGTTCTCGATAGCTACATCGAGTTCGACAGTCTGGAACACCCCAGAAGAGGGCAAGATTGTCAGTCAGGGGCCTCGGAAATTCAAACTCCGTGCGCGAGGACGTGGTTTCGAGGGAGGCAGGACATGTTTGGTGCGAGCGGGCACTCACTCGATCAAATTGCCATCAGGATCCCTGATGTAAACGCTCCGCAGCTTTCCCTGGGCTCCAGCCCTCTCCACCACCTGGGCGCCTTCCAGGACCGTGATGTTTTTTTCCTTGAGCCGTCCCAGGACCACTGCAACATCCTCCTCCACCAGAAAGCACAGGTCACCAGTTCCTGGCTGGACGTGCTCCGCCTTGGGTTCGAACTCTTTTCCACATTCGTGCAGGTTGATTTTCTGAGTGCCAAACTTCAGTGCATGCCGAATAATACTGGGATCGGTTTCGGCAGCGAACGAGGTGTGCTCCATGCCGCAGACATCCTGGTAGAATTGGATGGTGGCGTCGATATCCTTGACCGTCAGGACCAGATGATCGAGCGATTTGACTTTGGACGCTGAGGTCATGACGTTGCGTTGGATTTTCCCTGACCCTGGTCAGAGCTGATCATGGACGACCGAGAGCGTGACAGTACACGAAGAGCAAGGGCGAAGAAAAGGTGTCGCCGTATTGTCAGAGAGACATGTGCCTGACCAAGGAGAGTTCGGCGGACGAGTGAGTCGACGATGATGCATGGTTATGTAGGATTTCCAGCTGCCCTACCTTGGTTACAGTGCGGCATTTAGCCCGATGAGATTCGGTATGGACAACAATGTCGGCGGACAACACGCCGAGGTTCTACCATTGGATGTGCCTCAGTTAGGAAGGCGTAGTTACGGCCAATATCGGTTAAAAGCGACGACTCGAGGGGGCGATCGGGGGTTATGTAAGGACCTCGGTTTGGAACATCAACGTAGGTCGCATGGTGCGAACTGTAAGATGGCGAAGTGAGTAGCCTCTATTGATACCCCCAGCCAAGTCCATCTACACACATGCGAAGCATCCAAATATCACGCTGGTCGAGGGAAGAGAAGAGCAATGTGGTGATGGGGCTAAGATAAGATAAGATGGCGAATGGATATTCTGTCAGACCGCCACGATAAATTTTCAGTATTATCTTCGCAGCTTTTGTGTTGTTCGACTTCAGCTCTGCCAACTACTACCTCTCCCTACAATGGTGACAACCAGGTCCCAGGAGCGTAAGATAGGCTCCTTGAACTCGCCCCCTCCCGCTGTGGAAACGGGTACGGCGTTTTCACCCGAAGCTGGAATAACGCCAACCAGAAAATCCAAGACAGCCTCTGCGAGTACTCCTTCCTCGGGGGAAGGGCTTGCCTCAATTGCGAACAAAAAGATTGAAGTCGTCATAGAGGTAGCACCAAGTCTTCTGGGTCAAGAGCATGCTCAACTCGGAGGGAACGGAGAGGGAGCGGAGATCTCGCGGCCCCAGCCTGGGAATTTAGCACGTCCCCATGTATCAGGCTTTCAGGAGGTGCCCGAAGCTCTCTCGCCCAATGGTGAAGCCGAAGGTGGGCAACACGGCGATGGAGGCGCCCTAGAGGGCATACCCCAAGACAGTCGAGAAATACAGGCCACACTTGCCAACCGCTCGAAGAGCCTTGTGTCACCAAGCCACACACCAGCAGCCGTCCCTACACGAAAGAGATTCACTAGCGAGGATCCTGAGGACACGATTTCAGGAGCTGTAACCTTTGGGAATCAGTTTGCTGGCGCCATCACTCCGAACAAGGGGGAGAAAGACGACGTAGATGACGATGGAGATGAAGACGACGACGACGCTCCTCCCGAAGTGGTCAGCAGCTCTGTTGCTGCACAACAAGCTATGCAGATACCGAATCCCTCGTTGCAGCATTCGAGTCGCAAGAAAAGAAAGATGCTAAGCGATGTTGGCCATGAACTTGGTTCTCCAGTGCAAGTACCTGGTCTGGCAATAGCTTCGGAGCCACAAAGACTAAACACAGCACAAGACAAAGCCGAAGAACTCACCACATCAAGTCAAATCATTCAACTTGCTAGCTCGGAAAGCGAGACGGGTCAACCACCGAAGTCCATCGCGGACAATCACAGTGCGGCCAACGATACGGCTGATGAGTCGATCGAGATTGTCATGGCACCAACATCAAATGAGAGCCCAGCACCGGCAAATACTACGACACAATCAGCCAGGACCCAAACAGGGCTACAGAACCCTGAAAATTTCAATACGACGTCTCAGCGGCAGCCTTCTGAACCATTGGCGGAGGAGGATATTCCCACGCCCAATGAGGTCACCCGTCGTGTGCATTCAGGGGAGCAAGATCAAATTGCGGTGAACCTTTCGAGCTCCCTTACTCAGGACTCATACACAAGCATGGCTGACTGCGGCCCTTCTGCCACAAATCCAGAAGTACGAAACCCGCCACTGCAGGGTACGGCTGAAACAGAAGCGACCGCTGAGTCCTCCTCTACCATGACCCCTGCTCCGGAAGGCCTGGAACATGTCACGCGAGAACTCCAAGCAAACACAACCGGTACATCTGAAACCACAGTGTCAGCTGAGTTGTCCACGAGTGTTGCGGTGAAAAGGTCAAATTCCAGGACGCCTACTTTGCGAGCCCGTCCGAAGAGTAAACCATTTCCCCACAGGCAACAGGTCTTACCGAGGCCGAAGCCAACAAGTCTGCAGCAATACAGAACCCGACTGTTAGGCCGGCATCCCAGAAAAACAGAATGGGGAGTGCCTGGTTTTCGGAAGGCAAAGTTCGTCGGCGTGTGAGTTGCCAACTATCTCTTGTTTTGGGGAGTGTGGACAACCCGAAGCCTCAGCATCCACGTTTCCAAATCTGTGCCTTTCACATCTGGCCATTTGTATGTGATCGTCTCTCTTTGAGAGTCCCCGAATGACCGAAAGGCCGGGACCACGACGACAACCCTTGCGGCACTTTGGACTTACGGCTCGGGATCCCACAGAGGCTGAGAAAATGTTGGCTAGAGCCCTGCATCACCTCGTTTTCTGTCGATCAATTTGCAAGCCACGCGGAATATTGAACGAAGCTCCACCGACAATCTGTTGATGCCCTGGGCAGCATTACATTTCCATTGCGCGTCTAGCCCATGCACTTCTGTGTGAACCGGGACAAAATCAAGGTCGTCGATCGCTGTGGGTGGAGAGAACGCAGGATCGTGGTATCCGGATCGGCGTCGTTGGTCTCGGTGGGTCCAATTTTCGGAGAAAGAAGGAGGTATCTGTAAACATGCATTGCATGTACATTAGTTTGTCTTTTTGTGTAACACACAAGGCTGGGCTTCTACAGGTGAGCCAAGACAAGGCGGGGAACATTCGAGGTCTTGCAATGCAGACTTTGACTTTGGCGACCGGGGCCCCGGTCACAGCTATGTATGTAACATGTAACCAAAGATCGTCTATGTGGAATGGGAGACTTGAAACTTGGAGAGAAGTGTGCATCCGTCCGGCCTTTCAGGCAGCAACACCGCCACAGCGGCTTTGAAAACCGGGCCATGCACTCCATCGCTCGATCACTCTGCGTACCTCCTGTGTTTGTCGCTCACCTCGTCGTCGATCGGTCAGTCCACCAATCTGTCCATGGGTCAGCAAGCCGGCCAGCCCACGGCCTCTCTCGCACTGTCTCCTAGTCTGTTGGTGCACTTACGTACGCATGTATGTATGTATGTATGTATGTATGTGTGTAAGTACATGTTGCGAAAGGAGGACAGAGAGAAGTGAACTGAGCGAGCGCTTAGGGCCGGGCCAGGCCAAGCCGGGCCACGGAACAAGCGGAAAATGGCACCTAAGGCTCGGAGGGAGGGGCTATGTCTGTTTGCCTGATGCCTGCCTTGCCTGCGTGGGGGCGACGGACTTTTGTAGAGGAAGTTTATGTGTCGTGTGCGAGTGGGCGAGGACGTCAGCCAGTCATGTCAGTGAGAGAGGGAATTGACTGAGAAAGTGTGTGAGTGTGTGAGAGTGAGAGAGTTATGGGAGTGGAACATCAGCCTCGCCCCGCCCTCCTCGTCGTCATCGGCCCAGATCTCAAGGACCTTGTCGCATATAGGAGGAAAGAAAGATAGATAGAGAGATAGAGAGAGGGAGAGATGGATATCATGACACAGAATGCATCTGGGACAGGAGTGTATATATATATATATATATATATACGCCGATCGAGTAGCTATTATCTTTGTTAATTTCAGCGAGAGAGCGATTTGACTAAATAGGTTGTTAGCGGGAGAGCAAAGCGGCGAGGGATAAGTCAGCGAAATGTCCCCGGGCGTCGACTGTTTGGGGATAATATATATATGCAGTCGGAACTCGCTGGTATTTGTGTACGCGGAACCCATTGATGGTACTGGTAGGTGCCCTTTAACAAGGCTGAGGAATTCTTCAAATGTCGAGTTTTAACATGCATGCATCGCGGTCGATCTAGCCACTGAGACTGACTAATTAACGCATGGATTGATGGGTGGATGGATGGAAGGATGTTGGCGCAGAGACACAGACTGACAGACAGACAAGACCGGCGGGTCAAGGGACTGACAGATAGATGGGTAGATATATGGTTAGATGGAATGCGATGCAATGCATTATATTGTATTCGCGTTGCGTTGCTTCGCATCGAGTCGCATAACATGACATGCCCTGACATGCCAAGTGCAGCGCCCTGCTTTCGTCGCGACGTAGACTCGTTACATGACATGCATGATGAAATTAGAATAATGGTGGTGTTCGTAATACAAGATCCCCCAAAGGAAAGAGAAAAAAAATGCGGCCGAGTATCGCTAGGTAATGAAATGGAACACGCCCAACACCACGACAAAAGAACTCCCGCTACCTTTTTCCATCTCTCTTCCATGGTGGTTCGTTCAACATGCTCCGCCACGTCCGGTGACCGCACGCACAGCGAGCATCTCGATCCTCTTCGCGTACAGATCCATCGAGTGAACCAGAGGATCCCCGAAGACGACTTGTCGCAATTGCTCATCCTTGACCAGAGACGCCGTCACGTCGGCCTCCGTCGCACCGGGCCAGTGTGGAACGCGGAGCACCACGAGACGACCTGCATTTGACAGCGTCGCAGGAGGAACATCCCACCACAGCTTCCTGAGTGGGAGAGACGGATTTTTCGATTTCGGAGGCTTGGGTCTCGATTGTTTCTTTGGAACGGCTATCATTGAGAGATCGAGTCTGGACATGGACGCCCCAAGCGCCGTCAGCGTTTGTACGGAGGACTGCTTTGGTTCGAGGGATGGCAATGACGGGATTGGTCGCGACAGCAGGTCAACGAGGCTTTTCACATATGCCTTCTCCGCGCGCACAACGGGGTCCCCCTCGTTCATAAACGAGTGAAAGAGACATTTGCGTAGCCGTCCATCAGCGGTGTCGGGCTTCTGGAGCGGTAAGAGACTGACTGGTGGAGCTCCAAACGTGACACAATGGACTCTCTTAAAACAGTCTGTGAGAATGTTGAGCTCTGATTCAACCGTCTCCGCAAGCATGTGAGCATATAGCAGACTCGCTACGGCTCCACCAGCAGAGTGACCGGTAATCAAGAGAGAGCAGCTCGATCGGGACGGGTTCTCTTCCAACAGGTGTCGAAGTCTGGCCGCGATCGGCTTGACCATCGCCTTAGCGACTCGAAGAAAACCGGAGTGACAGAGATTCCCCTGGTCGTCCAGAAATCCGGCCGGCGACACGGGCTCGGTGTCGAGATTAACCCCCCAATCGCGCACACTAAAGAAACTTGTCCCACGGATGGCGAAGACGATGGTTTTCTTGTCGTCACACGGAATCGACTTGATCACCATGGCCTTTGTCCCTAGACGGCCATCTGCCGAGACAAAGTCCTTGCGTTCCGACGAGGATTGTGGGGATATGTATGCGCTGTGTGAATATTGTGCCGCAAGACACAGGAGCGGCCATGTTGGTATATAAACTCGGAATGGTTGGAGAGACACAGGCAGTCTAGAGTTCATGTATAGGTCAAGCTTGGAGAAGACGTTGGTCTGTTTCTGTGGCGCTTGTCTCCTCTGCCTCGCTGGCATTTTCTCGACCCCTCCGAATGTTCGTGCCATATCTCGATCCATAGCATATGTCTCTCCGAGTTCTGGTGTCGGAAAATCTCCCTCTGAAATCAGCAGCTCTTTCTCCAAACCCGAAAACGCATCTTCATCAATGAGCGATATGACGTCGCCCAACTTTTGGTCGATCCGCTCTCGCAACTCAATTGGCATGGACGCTCTTGGAGGGCCAGCATCCACGTAGTTCGATGGAGGAGGTGGCCATGTGTGTTGAGGGTGCAGAGGCATTGCGTGGTACTCCATCTGTACACTCTGCACCGGAGGCAGGAACGGAGCCGAGTTCACATAAGGGTACGAGGCGGGAGGAAGGTGTGCAGCGGGCTGCCATGTCCATTGGGGCTGAGGCTCCTCGTAGATGACGCCGGAGGTATTCAGAGCATAAGGAGAAGGGTTTTGAGGAAAGACAGGCACAGCAGCAGCTGGAGGTTCTGTGTATTTGCGGCGCTTGCGGGCGTCACTGAAGAAAGGCATTTTGGGAAGCAGGCGGGGTGCTCAAGCTGCGCATGAAGTGCGACTGTTGGATTTCATATCAACGAGAAAAAACATGTCGCTTCAGACGGCTCAGAGACCACTCACATGACTTAATTGCCTTGGTAAAGAATTGCACTGGCGCTTTTCAAATAGTTATCTTGGTGTCTCATTGCTGTTCTCCATTTCGCCTTGTTGCCTTCTTCTGCCCAGTCAGTGTTACCCGCCGAGCAGGTCGGAAATGTCGGGTTCCCGCACCTGCGCCACGATCAAGACCCAATCATCATGGCGTATTGTGAGGTTCGCAGAGGCAGTCGGGCGATCGTCTGTGGAAGCTTGGTCATTTGGATGCAGTGACAGGCACGGAACTTGCCTTTGGTCATTCCCAACGGGGGCTGGTAGACACAAGAGGAAAGACTCTGCGACACTTTTAGTGATGATCATCGTAGCAGGGGAAGCTGATGGTATCGATAGCAGCCCGTTTTGTGGCTTACCCCTGACGTTTTGCGACTAAAAGGCTGGCCTCGCTTGCGGGATGTCCCTTTGCCTATGTCATCGCCCAGTTGGTACCTAGTAATTAGCGTGCACTTGGCCTGGAAAGTTACAGGTAGGCGCTCGTACCTAAGGTAGCCTAAGACCTACAGGGCTTCTAGGCGCTACCCTTCTGGGCTGACAACTTTACAGGTCCCAGCTAGGCGCCAGTCCAGCAGCTAGGTTCGTCACCCACCACTGCTCAGCAGCAACGACTTCGGTTACGGTCTAGTTAAACCCCTCTTCCTCAACTTCTATTTATTTGATCCGACTGATACTATCCATCATCCGAGAGCGCGGGTTTCAACAATGAGGAACGAAGTGAATAAATGACAGACACATGCTGCAACCAGCCCATCCGCAACAGGCACGGCGATGCAGGGTCTTCATTACTACTGCTATTCTGGAAAATGACCACGTTTCCCTTGTGCCACCCGAGAGGACAGTGCATACAGAAGCGCTAGCTTGATCCTCCCCACTAGGCGGGAGTCCCTGAAAGTTGTTGAAGGCTAAGACAATGTCATCAAAGTCCCTGACAAACACGGTCACCTTATCGAGGAAGGAAGCTGTCGAGCACTAATTTATACAAGTATTCTCTGTTGAGCGTTTCTGGCATAACGGAATAAAACTTTTCACAAAGAAAAGCCAGAGAGCACGAATTCGGAACAGTGTTTATACCAACCACCCCGTCGGTCATGTATGTCGTTTATCTGCCAGATCTCGGCTGCTGCTGGACTACACCGCCATCGTCGAATCAGATATACAGTCGGGCAGAGCTAAGACCAGATGTATGTATGCTCTCGATCTAGGGCGTCGGTACCTTACCTTCGACTGAACACACCACATGCAATAACAGCGCCTGGAAAGGGATCTAGATCTGTGACCGAACAATCTGGAATCCGACAGACTCGCGATAGTGGCTTTTTCCCCAAGAGACATACATCAGCCAAGGCATGAAACGAGAAACGAAGATGCTTCGGCGGCGGATTTATTTTTCCAGTTGGCGCTCAAGTCGAGCTTGACGCACACTCGACGCACTCAAGTGAGTCGTCATACTCTGCAACCCGAGTCTCAAGAGGTCCAACAAGGGATCCATGCAGGGTGCCACTCTAGCTTCTCAACTTGCCTTTCCGGTGGACTGCTTCCTCGGCGCGAACCCACGGGAAGGAGGCGTTATAATGTCGATACCCACGACCAATCCTATCTTGGATCACAGCTGCTGAGAAAGGAATGCGCCAGAACAGAAGCAATGCCATAGGTGGCAAGAGGAAAAAGAGCTGTCGGGCTTTAGCACACCATGACAAGGTGTCGGTGACCCCCTCCGTCAGCGTGCATGAGAGACGCCACCAAAGCAGAGTACGATATACCTGGAGTTATCCTCGAAGTTAAAGAACCATGCCAGCGTGTTATTCGGGAAGTTGCACGAGTGGTCAGGTACGAAGCTAAACCATCGGTTGGGACTAATCTGGCCACTTGACGTATCCAGAAGGATCTCAAACGCGTGTCAGCGGCCAGAGGAATACAAGAATCTCCCTCTGGTGCCTCCACGGTCCAAGTTGAGGTAGTTCTCCGTACTACTGGTAGTCCATGTCTTGATTTCCATATTTCTGGTTCATCCCCCCCCTCAGGCTAGGGGCACCCAGGCTCTGTCTCAAGCTTATTTGTCGGCACTTGTAGGGACAGAACCGACGTTGCTCGCGCTTTGGGCGGGAGATGCTGCTGATCTTCGATCGTGTGGTCTTCTCCCGAGTCCAATAGGCTTCCTATCCGATGGCCTTTTGGGCCTTTTAGTCATCCTGGACACACGCGAAGATACAAGGATCGAAAAGGGGATAAATCCCTCTCGGGAGCACTAGGCGCCCCTGGAGAAGCCGACGAAACGGCGTCAAAGCGCCGCCAGTCATCGAGCGATGATGGATCATGTTGGCCGTCGTACCACCCAGCGCTTCGTACATTTCTGACTTTTTAATCTTTGTCGATCGAGGAAACACACTGCAATCGCACTTTATTACGCTCTTTTCCCCCCTGGCCCTGTTTATTTGTTCGGATTTTGTCTTTGGGGGCGTAACCGCGAGGATTTTTTATCCGGCCATCAACGATCTCCTCGTTCCCACGACGTGTCCGGGGGCGTCCAAGCTTTCTCACCCAATGATTTCGAGGGCCACAACTTCTCAATTCGAGACAGGCGCCGTTCACGATGGCCTCGCTAATCCGATGCAGCAGATTCACATCGATCTGGGTGCGCGAGAGAGGCTGAAATTGTAGAAATGGCACAATCCGACGTCCACCTCATGAAAGATGATAAGTCTACCGTCTGCCGACTTTCCTCCTGTCTTCAGATGAATCCCATCCTCTCTGTTCGACGCACCCCCGAAACTCTTGCACACATCCGAGCTGTATGTCCGCCGCAGTCGACATGTCCAAGACTGCACGTCCCACGGTTTACCTGTTTGTTAACAAGGACAGAGCTTCTCTGTCCCTGTCCAGATGCCACGGGAAAGACGCCTCGGCTATCCTCAGCCATGTCCAGTCGTGCCGCAACCAGAAGAACAAGCAGTTGCACATGTTCAGAGTCGAGGACACCACCGAGCTAATCTCAGCACCTCCGTCCCCTCGAAAGCAATCCATCAGCCACAGGCACCCCAGGCACCGTTCGCCGAGGCCAACCCCACCGTTGCGAAGTGACACACCACCAACAACACCCAAGGACCATCGGCTGGTTAAGCCCGAGCCAGTAAGCTCTCCTCCTCCTTCTCGGACCAACTCCCCGGGCAAGGCGCCCGAGGTCGAGGAACTGCTACACTACTTCAACTCGTTATGCTTTGCGCAAGAGCCACACCCTCACGGCCAACCACAGAGCCAAGATCTCTTCCATCAGCTCGTCTCGTCCGAGGGGTTTTCAAGCTTCTCGGATCGAGTTGTGGGAGGAATTCACGGATATGCCATGCTTGCCTGCATAGCCGCGAGAATGGGTGCCGATATACCCAGTCGACGCGAGGAGTTCGAGATTAAGGCAACCAAGTACATGCAACCGTCGCTCCAACGGCTACGGGAACAACTCGCCGATCCAGCGACGAGAACGTTGACCGATCGGCAAATTTTGCAGGAAATGGTTCTCCACTGTGTGACGAATTGGTATCTTCAGGACTTTACAGCCGCCCAAACACACTTAAAAGCCATCAGTTGTTTTATGGGTTGTCTCGACGTTTCCAACAGTTCAGACCGCAGGCTGATGGATCTCATCAACCGGTGCGGTCTCTTTATCGCTACGAGCATACGTGCCGAGCAGACCGCGCGTCCAAGCGCGTGTCAGAGGACAGAATCCTTTTCTGCACGTGGTTTATGCCGGGTGGTCTAAGCAGAGGAAGCTCCGCGGCGTCCGAGATACATTCACGAAGGTCTTGCAGGAGGTACTTTGATTGTTTTGCACCGGTGCAGATTCAGCCAAAGCGCACCTCACCCAATCAACCACTACGTCTTCTGGTGAAGCGTTATCTGATTTTGCTGACGGAATTGCAAAGCCGCAAATCAAATACTTTCTAGCGCGTCGATCGGCGATGATCAGCCCTTATAAGAGGGTAGCGACCGACGGACCTTTGCGGTGGGTGTTGGTGGGGATATTGTGCCGTGCATATGTAGCTCTTTCAAGGTTGGGATTCCACTATGCGGGAATGGCCATCAATGAGCTCCTGTGCCGTGTCCCCCACTGGGGTCGGAAGAAGGCTGGATTTGTTGACTTGGAGCAGGGCGTCATCTATCCCACGAAGAATTAGCTAGAAGCTTCCCTGCTAGGGATAGAAGATCCTGCCGGACACTCCACCCTAGCAAGAAGACATTGAAACTCTGTTGCCGAACGCGGCATGTAAAGGTGCGCATTTCTTCTTGAGACGCGATGGTGAATCTAGGTCTTGCAAGCTGTGCATCTCTGATGTACGAACAGGTTTTTGCTATGTCCCGTCGAAGAAGCGACGGAGACGAGAAACAACGCATTTCCTTCGCTGCAGACTGGCCACATGCCAGTATTCTCACCCACTTTCTTCTCCACAAACAACATACGTCAACCTGGGGAGAGACCGTGACAACTCCTCGTTCCCAGGTTGACTTGTAGTCATGAGAATCCTTTCTCGTGATCCCGTAGGCTCCTTTTGGCCATAATAGGCAGGTACCGAACGCTTCGCCATTGGCGATATGCGCAGAAGTTCTCTGAGCGATTCAAGTCATTCGGGCCCGGTCCCTTTTAGCCCATGTCGGCTTGGCTCTTCTTGTCTTCAATCAGGATGGGATAGAAATGGTGGTCTGGAAGTCCGTCTGGAGGACTTCTCGAATGGCTTCAATGCCAAACAACCACCATTTGTGCCTGTCCAGCTGCCCGATCTATATCCAATCCACCCTCTTTGCTCCCTTTGTCATTGTCCCTTGATGTGGGGTCGTGGACGATCTCGTTCTGGTAGCATGTGGGGAATGACATCGACGGGGATAACGTGCAAGACTTGGGCCATCGAGTACATACCTACATACATAATACATACGGTACCGTAGGTACTGTTGAGCGCTCACCAGGGCTTGTTTCAGGGGCAACAGATGCCAAGGCGCACAGCCGCCGGGACGGCCCAGTTCAAACTCCAAACTCCAAACCACAAACCAATAACACCAATCTCGGCTCGTCCTACAACGCATCGCATCGTCGAGGACAGTGAGTGACCTTATGCTGCTTGATCAGTGGTTGCACAAACAGGGCAACAGGTCGACCAAGCGAGGTCAGTTCTCAGACCACCAGCTGATGACGTCAGCACGAGGACGCAGCCAGCGCAGTCACCCGCCTCGCACCAGTCGAGCGGTCAAGGGATCACCGTACACACCCCTTGTTGTCCAGGCTTGCTGGAGCTGAACTTTGAGCCATTCGGATCGCTCGCGCCTCTTCGGGTGAGGGCTGGGCGAAAAAGAAAAAGAGAAATCTTCCGATGTGCTGCCCAAACCAAACTTTTCCAGCTCGATAGAATTTGTTTTTCTCCCCATCGAGACCATAACCTATCTCGCAAATTATCAGCCATGTCTACACGGGGAGACGACCGCTCCTACAAGGTGGTCTACGCAACCCGGACCCGGGATGATCTCGATGAGCGAATCCCTGCCCGGAAGCCGAGGCGCGAATACGACTACGACGATGAGTACCGGGTGGAAAAGTCATATTCTCGAGATTATCGTGATGATGGCATTGAGATTGACAGGAGGTCAAGGGCGAGTGACTCGCGTACTCATCTACCTCCACCGGTAGGTGCCACAAAGACGACCTATGAAGTCGCCCGCGACAGAAACTCCGATTCATATGTCAAACGTTCCAACGCTGTGATTATTGATCGACCCCGCGATCACGGACGATACGAGTATGAGATTCTTCGACCCGACCGGAGAGACGATGGTGCTTATGTCTTCGATCTGGATGGTGGACGTTCACGCGACTACCTAATTGATGCGGATTCGAAGGGCCATGAGCGACGCCCACGCTCGAGATACGGCGATCCACCATTGGCAACATCCAAAAAGGTGGACGATGTGTTCATGTACGAGTCCATTCGAGGTGGCGGCCGCGATCGAACCGTGAGAGATGTGCGGTACAAGGATGTCCAAGTTACGGAAGAAGTCGACGATGACGCTCGCTACAGCCGCCGAGGTCGCACTGCAGACGCTTATGTCGACGATATTGCGCCGCCGAAACGACTGAGGAGTGCAATGCGTGGCAGAAACAACTCTCCTCCTTCACTGGTGGAACGACGGAGCGAACACAGTGTAGGGTTCTATCGAGACCAAATCAGTCACCACGATGCCAGTGAAAGCAAGCACGAAAGACCAGGAGCCGAAGCACACTTGGCCGGTCGGTTTCTTGTCGGCAATGGAGAATTCGAGGATGATGTTTATGCGGCAGGTTACACGCGCCGCAACAGAAGCCGGAGCCGCTCTCGAGGACGGTATGGTCCTCAAAGGAGTGACCCGAGACTCCATCAGTACGAGGAGGAGGATGACGAGCGACGAACCTACACCGAGGAAACGATGCGACAGTATGAATACGAAGACGAACAACGACCCCGCTACCCTCCACAGAGGAGCCACTCTCGAAGACGGCACCACCGCCATCACCGTGATGATGACCGCTCGAGCTACTCGGAGTACGACACCGAGGTGGTGAAAAAGACCACAAAGGAATATTACCGATAAGATTGGGACAGCGAGGCCTCTGCTGTAGACTTGCAATCTAAAATTTGAAGATGTGACTGGGGTTTTCAGGGAAATGGACTATCATGCTTGCCTACCTCCTTTGTGTCGAAACACTAAAAGAAATCTCATGACCATAATATCTGGGTATTGTGTTCCTCGAATCCTCGACTCAGCAACGTCCACCACCAAGGACGACAAAATCACCACGCATCCCTCCCGGCCTTTCCCAAGGCTTCTGCCAGCTGCTTCCTGTCTACTGAGGACCAAATCCCTTTGCTCCGATAGACACCGCAATACCGGCCTTCTCCTCGATGGAATCTTCTTCGGATGGAGCAACTCCAACTTCGATGTCTGTGGCCTGCGACTTCGATGGCGGATAAACTGCCTCGTCAATCTTCGCCGCACCTACGCCCGAGACGTATGTGCAGATGAGGTAGTAAACGAGGCCAGAAACGGTGAAGCCGTAGATGCAGGAGAACGTGTAGATCTTCCAGGCACCTCCGACGTCGAGGTTGGTGTCGATACTCTTGCAAAATCCCGGCAACAGAGGAGCTACCGCCGTGAAGAACGACGCATAAGCCCTCCAGTTGATGCCGACTTTGGAGTATCGGTAGATACCATGGCCATTGTACATCTCATGGATGTTGAGCTTCTTGTTCACGATGAGGTAGTAGTGGCTGCACATGGTGCCGCAAATAGCCCCCATGAACATGCTGTACCCGGACAAGAAGGCCAGCAAGCCAGACGCGTTTCTGATGATCTGCCATGGGTTCGACACCACACAAAAGACAGAGATGATCAAAGTGGCGCGGAAAATGTTGATGTACTTGGGGCAGAGACCCGAGACTGTGCTTCTGGTTAGCCCTGACTGTTCGACGTTCCACAACAAGACCAGCAAACACTTACTATCGTTGGAAAAGGGATATGTGCCAGCAGCGATTTGATTCCCAATTGTTGCCAACATGAAGCTGAATGCGGTGAAGAACTTGGCGGCACGGGAGTCGAACTTGGCAATGACAGCTGGCATATACCACTGGAATTCTCCCCACAGATAGCTGTGAGCTGAGGTGACGAAGATGGGGGTCAAGGCTCCCAGCGTTCCAATGACGGGCAATGCAAAGAATTGGTTGTATCCCGCCAGGTTGTTCTTGGAGAACCGACTGAAATCTGGGAAGTTGACCGCCATGGAGCTGAAGAGGCCGATGATGGCATTCAGGCCCGTCAGAGCAGAATATGCCGTGTTCATGTATGTCGAAGTGATCTTGGCGTGTCCAGTCACCAGCGGCCCGCCTCCCTTGGTGACAATCGCGGCCCACAAGAACAGCGCGAGGAATGTCGGTGGCACAACGATGCCCTTGATCAGGAAGAGGATGCGAAGCTTCTTGATGGGCATACAAGCTAAGATGGTTTGGAAGATCCAGTAAATGAACTGAAGATTGTCAGTTTTTCGTCCAGAAGCAGGTATCGATGATGCTCACAAAGCAAAGGAGTCCGGCCGACGTGATGCCGGCGCTTTCTGGTAAATGATTCGGGAAGTTGGCGAAGCTCGGCCAGATCGCCGTGAGACAGTTGTTGAGAAAGTCACCGGCTTGGACACACAGAATTGCGGCTGTTCAATAACAAGTCAGCTCGGCCTTCAGATCTGCAAGTATACCACACGACGAGTAGAAAAGCCTCGCGTGATTGTCAAAAGGGGCCGCTTACTCCACATGGCAGCCACGAATGACCGGAGAACGATGACTGGATAACTTCCATACATTCCGAAAATGGAGCGGACCAGCACGGGGAAGGGGATGCTGTATCGGGCACCCATCTTTCCGGTGAGCGTCAACGCTCCAGAGCACAAGGCAAAGCCACAGAAGACGATCGGAATCTACCAGTGTGTCGTCAGCATCGGAAGGACATAACGAGGTGGGCCGAGCTCTCGGATAATGCTCCTTCAAGCTGGTACAGGATCGATGTACTCACCGTCTCGCGAGCGGTAAAACCCAAGCTCATGACGGACGACACTGTGGATGCCAGGGGGGGCGCAAGCATATCACTGGTCCAATACGCCCAATAGTCCTAGGAGAGGGAAGTCAGTCTGGCGGACCATGACTCGGCTCCGGAGCCTATGGGTTGGGCACCTACCAAAGCACCCCAAGTACCTGCGGACACCAATGTTAGCTAGGGCTCGTATGGACGAAGTCTTTGGACAGTGATGCTGCACACGGAGAAAAGGGTAGGGACTCACGATCCTCAGGTTTGATCGGGTCGAGATCTGGGTTAGACCAGCGAGAGTCTTGATAAATTCCCTTCTCCATAGGGACTTGCAGGTGCAGCTGAGGCTCGATCTTGGCCTTGATGCGCTGAGGCGAGAGGCGCTTCGGGGAGAAGCGTTCTGCAGAGAAGTTCACCATCTTTGTCAAAAGTCACGGACCAAGGTCAGGTCAAGTCAGGTCAGATCAGAGATGTGAGTGTTGAAGGATGGAGAATCTTCTGACCCAAACGACAGGCAAAACAGAGATCTATATAGCTCTCCAGCTCGTAGGCTGGCTGAAGAAATTCAATGCCCAAGGCTGGAATACTGCAGGATGGAGGACAGGGGTGGGGCATGCACAGATAGACAAGGGAGCCACGAGGAGATCAGGAAGATAGGCCCCCGCGGCATGGTGGTCGAAGGCCCGCCGAGGTCGTTAGATCGACAGATCCAGCCCCATAGCAGTCTTGGAGAGATCAAAATCCGGGGTCATGATTGTGCTCGAGACAGAATCCCCAGATATCAGAGCAGCCGTGGTGTGGGTTGGGTCAGAGATAAAGCCGCCGGCCGCTGAAGGGCGCCGGCGGCGCTGCTCCTGATATGAGGGTCACGTGCTGTCACCAACTGACAATACCGCCGACGGCCACAGGGCCAAACCGAGGCCAGAGGCCGCCGGCGGATGAAATATTACCGCCCGGCCGATACGAGGCTAGCCTGTTCTGGCGTCTCCTGAGATCGTCGGCCTTATCCGTTATCAGGGCCTCGTCTTGCGCTCAGGTCCAAGCACAGCATTGGCTGGTACAGTCCAACCACCTCCAGTTTTACCACGTTGTGCTCTACAAGGTCCTGAGCGTTCTCGATGTTTTCTTGACTAAAACAACGTCTGATGATCGCCACCACACAAAGTATCCATCCGCCGAGGGTGTTCGTATAAAGCCTCACATCTCCGTCAGGTCGTCAGCCGGGCCTCGAGACTTCTTATGTACTGCTCACGCCAGGATATACTTTCGAGGAGTTTGTATTTTTAAAGGCATTCATACAGCAGTCTCCAGCCATGGGTGTGTCAAAGGACAAGCAAGGCTTGCTCACCATCGAGGCCAAGCCTTACCCCTTTTCCTTCCCGCTCCAGCACACGGCGCTCCTGGTGATTGACATGCAGCGCGATTTCATTTGTGCGGGAGGCTTTGGCGAGATCCAAGGCGGAAATCTCGATGCCGTTCAGGCTTCCATTGCTCCCACGAAGCAACTCCTGGATGCGTGTCGCGATGCGGGCATGCACATCTTCCACACCCGAGAAGGCCAGGTGCCTTCCCTGGCGGACTGTCCTTCGTCGAAACTTGTTCGACAGGCTGCCGCGCCGGGCAACACGCAGCATCTGAAGGTCATCGGCGACAAAGGCGAGCTGGGCCGTCTGCTGGTGCGCGGCGAGTACGGCCACGACATCGTCGACGAGCTGCAGCCCCTGCCGTCCGAAGTGGTGATTGACAAGCCCGGCAAGGGCTCATTTTGGAACACCCCGATCCTCCACAAGTTGAAAGCCTACGGGATCACCCACCTTCTCGTCTCCGGGGTCACGACGGAATGTTGCTTTTCTACCACAATCCGCGAGGCCAACGATCGGGGGTTCGAGTGCTGCGGCATCGTGCAAAGCACGGCCGGCTACAACTCGGCCTTCAAGACCGCCTCGCTGGACATGATCCACTGGTCACAGGGCCTATTCGGGTTTGTGGCCGATCTCCAGCCGGTGCTGGACGTGCTGTCGCCCTGGCACACTCAGAGCAAGGGAGTCAGCACGCCGCCACAGACACCGCCGTCCTGGGACGGAAAGCTCGGGATTGCCGACCTCCAGGCCTCGTACAAGAATGGCCTGTCACCCCTCGAGCTGGTCAATGCTTTGTTTGACCGAATTGAGAGATACGAACACATTGATGGCGCGGTCTGGATCCGACGAGAGTCGAGAGAGGCGGTTCTGGACCAAGCCCGTCGCCTCCTGGAGCTCTATCCCGACAAGAATGCCCGCCCAGCATTGTTTGGTGTGCCGTGAGTACTTCCAGAAACCCGTGGTGGTGGCCCCGAGACAGCCTATCTCCGGCTTTGGCTTTTGGTGCTAACAGGTTGACAGTTTCACGGTCAAGGACTCGATCGACGTGCAGGGCATCGAAACCACCACGGCTTGCCCCCCACTCGCGTTCGTGGCGACCAAATCGGCCATGTGCTACCAGAAGGTGGTTGGACAAGGTGCCCTGTACCTGGGCAAAGTCAACTTGGATCAATTGGCAACTGGGCTGAGCGGGTGCAGAAGTCCGTTCGGTGTCACGCATTCCGTTTTCAGCGACGAGCATATATCTGGCGGGAGCAGCAGCGGAAGTTGTGTGAGTGTGGGCGCAGATCTGGTAGGTCGATTATGGTCTTGGGGACTGGCTGGCTTCCTTTGGCCTACATCACTGACGTGTGGTTGCAGGCGACCTTCTCGCTGGCGACAGACACCGCGGGGTCGGGACGAGTGCCAGCTGGCTTCAACGGCGTGGTGGGATACAAGCCTACACGCGGGTTGGTGTCCTTTGAAGGGATCACGCCTGCTTGCTTGTCGCTCGACTGCATCGCCTTCACCGCCAGGACGGTCGAGGATGCCCGCACGCTGTGGCAGGTGTGCGAGGGATACGATGAGAATGATCGTTATGCCAGAGATACGTATGGTTCTTTATCGTGAGAAATCTTCAGGGTCAATGGAGGCTAACAGAGATGACAGGTTCCCGGCTGAACGACACGTCAACTCGATAGGGGCACAGAAGGACGCATTTCGATTTGGAATTCCCCCTCCCGAACTCCTCGAAGTCTGCTCGCCGAGCTTCCGAAAGCTGTTTAACGAAGCTATCTCCCGACTCCAGGCGATGGGAGGCACTCTGGTGCCCATGGACTGGACGCCGTTCCAGAAGGCGGGGGACCTGCTCTACGAAGGCACATTCGTGTCGGAGCGACTTGCTAGCTTACCCGACGATTTCCTCGAGAAGAACCGGCAGCATCTGCACCCAGTCATCCTCGAGCTGTTCGAGAAGGTGGTGGCACGACAGAGCACGGCGGTCCAACTGTTTCGAGAACTCCAGGCCAAGGCACTGTACACCCGACAAGCCACATCACAATTCAGGTCGGCCGACCGATTAGGGCTGGACGTGGTGTTGGTTCCCACCGCGCCGTGGCATCCGACCATCAAGGAAATGCTGGCAGATCCCATCCGGCTCAACGCGAAGATGGGCACCTTTACGCATTTTGCCAACGTCTTGGACATGTGTGGCATTGCCGTGCCCTCGTCGACGTACCAGGAAAGCGAGGCTGGCCCACGATTGCCGTTCAGCGTCACGTTCCTGGGCAGCCGATGCTCGGACAGCGAGGTGTTGGGGATTGCCAGCCGATACCAGGAGGCGACGGGGCGATAGGCGGAACCCTGAGGGCTAGGGAGGGCTGCAGGTATTATTTTGAGCGAGGATATGATCTATTGGGGACATCTGCCACCACTGTTTTCTGATTGTTGCGATTGTTGGCGTGTGTGTGTACTATTGATAAAAAGAGCTGCCCGTGTGCATTAGGGCGACGACGGGCAGCAAGCCCCAATCTCCCAGATTGATCACCCACGCTGTCGGGCCATAGGCGGTCACGACCCACCTACACCACCCACCGTCACCACCTATCTACCACTGTCAGACACCATTACCTTTACCTACCACAGCAGCGGCTACAACGCCCACGCCCGGTAACTGATTTCTCCGCAGGCTCCAGCCCCGGTTCCGTCAGCCAATCGAGTGGCTGACTTCCTTATCTCGAGCTCCCGTCCAACACGACACTAGACGGCCTTGTCTGCTATTTCTTACTCAATCAATTGCAGGGCCATTCGCTATACCGGGCTAGCCATGACATCTCCTTGACGCCCATTAGTTGCCGGGGCTCCGCTTCGCTGCCTCAGCTCTAGGACCAGATCTTGCCTTTACCCGTTTTCTGCCTTCCCCCCGAGCTGCCACACCCCGAACAAGTCCTACCAGAGCACAGAAGCTTATCCTGACGCGCCCTAGGGACACAATCAAAAATGACTGATGGGGAAGCGGGAGAAGATCTTGAAGAAAAGAGAAGGAACAATAGGAAATAACAAAAAAAAAGATTGGCATCTTGATATGGGCTCCTCTCTTACCCTGAAAGTTCCTTTCGTTATCCCCTCTCGGCCCAATAAAGGCGGCCACTTTTGTCCCTAAACGAAGGGTCCTCTCCCCGATACTCTAATCGCCATGCTCTCAACCATGTCGCCTCCCTCCTTCGGTGACGCTGCCTCTAATAGTGGTGTCAGTCCTTCCTTTGGCGGTCCTGGCCCAGGGAGTGTGAGCGGTATGACATCGTCCCCCAGTGCTCGCGTGGGAGAAGGCCCGAGCCCCCTAGGCGTTCGACCCGATCGACCGTGTGATGGCTGTCGACGACGCAAGAGTCGGTGCGTCATCAATCCGGATGCCGCCTCGTGTGTGATGTGCCAGTTCCACAAGCAGGCCTGTACCTTTATCGAAGACGCAGCTCCACGCCGACGCAAGCAGCCCAACACCACCAACAGCTACAACAACAACAACAGCAGCAGCAGCAGCAACAACAATAACAACAACAACTACCTTCCTCCCGGGGCCAATACCAGTTCCGAGAATGCTTCGGTTGCTTCCCTAGCTCGGCAAAGACGATCGTAAGAGGGCCCCCCTTTTTATCCCACCTTGCTTTATCAAACAACCCAAATCCACCACCCCCCTCCGTCCGTCCCAACCCAAGAGGCTACTACGACTGGCCTTCCCGGGTCTTTGCATATTTGTCCACGCCCCTCCGTCCTCGTCCTCCTTTCCTAACCCTCCTATCATCAAGCTAAGACAATAGATAACAGAGGTTCCGATGGGAATGGCCACGCCCCACGACGGCAATCTGCTGAATCCATCCGCACCGGCCCTGTCATCGACGATTATGCGAACTTGCAGGGCGAGTCACTGCTCAAAAAAACCTTGGGGTATGTATTGTTTGGCGTGGTGTTTGGACATGTTCCCTATCCCTTCTCTCGAACCTGTCCCTTCTTTATCTCCGTCGAGACGCTGACATGGTCATGGCCAGGCTGCAAAATCATAGATATGCAAAATGTAGGTGCCCCTGCTCTGGCGACGGTCCAATCGCCGCCCACACAAAAGGTACGATATAGATGGCCGCTAACAACGACCGGTAGACATTGGACCGACCGACGAACACGACTTTGCTTTATTAGATCTTCGACTGTACGACGACATCAAGGGCGAGAGTCCCGCCGACCAAGGCTCCTTCCGCAAGGTCGGCCCCAATGAGTTCTTTCACCAGTACGCCGACTCGGATTCTCCCAACCATGCCCGGGAGATTGAGGAGCTCGACAACATCGAGCGCATTGTCGCCCCTCACGGCGAGGCTCTGATCAAGCTCTACTTTCGCATTGTGCACCCAACCTTTCCCATCCTGCACAAGAAGGTCTACCTGGAGAAGTATGGCCGGACCCATCGGGAGTTCTCCCCGCCCTTACTTGCGGCCGTCTACATCCTGGCCTTGAATTGGTGGTCCTACAGTGCCGAGCTCGCCAAACAGACGAAGCCCAATATGGCGGAACTGGAAGACGTCGCCTACCGGACCTTGCAAGACGTTTCGCACCGGGCCAAACTGTCCACCGTCCAGGCCGGCCTTCTCCTGCTCCAACGACCCGGCAGCACCCAGGCCTGGCAGCTGACCGCCCAGCTTGTCGCCATCGGCCAAGATCTCGGGCTGCATCTGGACTGTTCCAACTGGCGAATCCCGACCTGGGAGAAAGGCCTCCGGAAACGACTCGGCTGGGCTCTGTTCATGCAAGACACGTGGTCGGCTTTGATTTATGGACGGCCGCCTCACATCTCCTCGACCAACTGGGCCGTGCAGCCGGTGATCAGCAGTGATTTCCCCGAGAGCGCCGCCGACGAGGACGGGGAGGACGGCAGCACCGAGGTCGAGAAGGGCCGGACATTGTTCAGCGCCATGATCACCCTAACCAAGATGCTGTCCGAGGTGCTGGAGGGTCTCTACTCGCTCAAGGCGGAAATCGAGGTCAAGAACTCGTACGACAGCACCAAGGCCATCCTCGACCGCGCCAAACCCATTCAACTCAAGCTGCGATCCTGGTACGCCGACATGCCCGAGACACTGCGCATGGACGCCACGCGAGTTGGCAAACTGAGCTCGGTGGGCTACCTGCACCTGGCCTACTTCGCCACGGAAATCACGCTGCATCGCCGTATTCTGCGCTCGCTCTCGCACAGCACGGATCCCTATATGATCCAGATCTGCCGGTCGGCCGCCAAAGCCAGATTGATTAGTGCCATGGACTTTTTCAACCGGCTCAAGCCCGAGCATCTGCAGTCGTTCTGGTACTTTGCGTCCAAGTTCAACTTTGCCCTCATTGGCACCTTTGCGGGCTTATGTTTCGTCACCTCGGTGAGCCAGGAGGAGGCCGAATTCTACCAGCGGCGACTGCAAGAGTACCGCTGGACGCTGCGGGTGTCGAACAAAAGCGCCGAGTTCTTGGAGATTGCCAGCGGCATCCTCGAGTCAGCTGTGGGATCGTTGCTGAAGGCCGCCGACGCCATTGATAGTCGGCGTTGGTCATTTCCTATGCTCCAACAGCAGCCCGAGGAGGACACGGCGATGGAATCGTTCTTCCCTAGCACCGACGATGCATTCTACGATATGCAGATGGATTCATGATCCAGGCTAATTGTGCCTCTCCCGTTCATTCCCGCTCGCATTCCGGTTTGAGAGGGGGGGAGTGTTTGGCGACTTTCCAATGTCGTCCATCTTCAAACAGCCGGCGCTGCTTATCAGAGCTAGCTTGCTGCTCAGCTATGGGGCGGACCATGTTTCCGAAACCATGACACACTGGCAGCGCCAATCTGCCCCATCGAAGGCTATTACAAAATCTGTTACACGATAGGCGGGTCGCTTCGATGCCCGAGATCCAATGTGCGAAGCGGCCAACTCCGTTCGAGCAGCTCTAACGGCACGCGCATTACCTCATTGCTCTCCATGAGAACGTCAAGCTTCATGCAGTGAGGAACTATTGACTCATCGCCGGCAATGCTGGTATCTAGACCACCTTCAAAGGGCACTCAGGGTTTGTGAAAATCATGTCGAGCCATACAGTCTCATTCTACACATGTCGGCCACCATGGCCACCACTACCGACGTCGAGCTACGCACAGTCTTGAGCACGAAGCCGCAGAGCCCTGTGGATGCACGAGGTCAGGATAGAGCCTCGACCTCCTGGGCACCTGCTGCGGTTGAACGGTGCTCGGGCTCAGCAGAGGAGGCACCCACGAATGCTGCCACGGCGATCCCCGAGGGCGGCTACGGCTGGACCGTTGTGTCGGTCTGTGCCGTCTTGACATTCTGGTTCAATGGCATCTCCGGCAGCTGGGGGGTGATCCAGGCGGCGCTGTTGCAGTCGCAGCTCGCCGACACGCCGACGTCGACCATATCCTTTGTCGGGACCTTGGGACTCGCCTGCGTCGTGGCCTTTGGACTCTTCGGGGTGCGTCTGGTCCGCCTCCTGGGCGCGCGCGTGACGGCTCTCCTCGGTGTCGTCCTGGTGTCGTTAGGCGAGATCTGTTCGTCCTTCACCACCTCGAACGTGGGCGGTCTGTTTGGGTGCTCGGGCGTGCTGTTTGGGTTGGGTGCCTGTCTGTGCTATTCCATTTCCAATACGCTCCCGACGCAATACTTCGCGGCCAGACTGGGCCTCGCCTCTGGTCTGGTCAAATTCGGCGGTGGCGTCGGTGCGGCCATTCTCGCTGTTGCGGTCGATGCCCTGATTCGCCACGTGGGCATCCCGTGGACGTTCCGGATCTTGGGGCTTTGTTCGCTGGCCACGAGCGGACCGGCGGTGCTGTTCATCCACGAGCGCGCCCCACTGGGGAGTGTCCCATTCCTCGACCTGTCCCTGTTCCGCAATCTGCCGTTTACGGCCATCTTCTGCGCCGGCGCCATCGGGACGTTTGCGCTCTTCGTCCCGCCGTTCTTCCTGCCGCTGGTCGCGCAGAGCATCGGCCTGAGCTCGTCGACGGGGGCTGGGTTAGTGGGTGCCTTCAACGCGTGCACCGCCGTTGGCCGCTTCGTGTCGGGCTGGCTCAGCGACCTCATCGGGCCCGTGAACATGTTCTTGCTGGCGATGACCCTGAACGCCGTCAGCATGCTAGCTATCTGGCCCGTCTCCGACTCGTTGGCGCCCCTGGTGGTCTTTGCGATGCTGAACGGCCTGGCCAATGGCGGCTTCTTCACCTTGTATCCTGTCGTGGTGGCCAGCACGGCTGCGCGTGTGGAGAATAGCGAATCCGGCCGGGTGGCGATTGCCATGGGCATGGCGATCTCGGGGTGGACGGGCGGATACTTGATGGGCGTGTGAGTGTTTCTCTCTCCTCCTCCTCCTCCTCCTCCTCCTCCTCCTCTTCTTCTTCTTCTTCTTTATGTTGCAATCTGCTTCCCTCTCCGGCATGGTACTGACTCTGGACCCCAACCCTTGCCTCTTTTAGACCCATTGCAGGATATCTTCTCCAGGCCTCCGGGATTGGGAGACGAGGAGGCGGACAGCACGCAAAGTCCGGTACCTCCATCGACCCGTATCGCCCGGCCATCTTTTACGCCGGCGGCGTCGCCCTCGCGGCCGCCGGGTGCGTCTTGATAGCGAGGTTGAAACTCGCGCGGGGCATGAGGAAGCGGGTGTGAGATGATCGACCGCCGGCTCGCGTGCTCGCCATGGATCACGATTGCCATGAGGGCAACTTGAGACACCACTACTAGCTAGCTGTGATGCAAGCAGGTTCCCTGTCAACAGGTCCAGGCTAATGTGGTGGCTATATCTACCCTGTACCGGTACGGGTTCACCCAGCGTCGCTGCGCGTATACCACGCACCTTGATGGGACGGTCCACTTGCATCCACTCCTTCATCCAGTGAGACGGTAGGAGCGTGCACGCGCGTGCGAGAGAGCCATGAGACAGAGCTCGATGCACAGAGCGAGCGAACTGTGGATGAGTACGCACGGGTAAAGCGCCTACCACCTATATACCTATCTATATACCTCTCATCCTACACAACAACAACACAGGCGATGGGACCACTCATTCCTCCAATGCACAACTTCCTTATTTGCTTTTTCTTGCCCCTGTACGCAGTGCGTCACGGAGCGTCACCTCAAGGGAGAGAAGACAGGAGGTTTCTCGGTCCTTTGGTCTCTCTATTCCTATCCTCCTCCTTAGCATCTCTCCTCTCTTCTCCATCCCCATGATTATGCATGCACTCACTATATACGTATGTATGCCGCTTTTCTGGCCCCAGTATCTACTCTACATATCTATTCATTTATTCACCCAGTCCCATATCGTGAGCAAACCCATTCAGCTAACTAAGCTGTTTAACTAAGTCGGTTGAAGGTAAGAAACTAGGCAACTTTCTCGGCAACTATCAACGGAAGTAGGGCCTTTTCTGACCCAGGATCCCCGCCTACCAAGCCCAAGCCCTCCTTGTTTGATATTCATTACCCACGGCTACTCGGAGGACAGATGCACAGGATGGAGTACAGTATGTCACTCACCCACTGACTTTAGCAATCGCCGTCCGAGGTTTGGGCCGAGGGCGAACTTGACCAAGGAGCCTGCATCCGGAAGGCTTTACAATCAGCAACTAACACCTCGTCCACTACACTACTTGTGTAACGGTGCTACACACGTCGGGCCCGACATTGTCCTCGGAGTCCAAGTCTGACCGCGTTGCCCAGTGGTGGCATTCCGCACTCGTCTCCTCCACTAGGCAATCCTCACACAACAGCAGTGCCTACTGACCAATCCACCCATGCTGTCCGTTTTCTCTCCGAACCAACCCCTTTCCCTGGTGCCTGGATCATTTCGAGGTGTGTACAAAACTCGGAACCCGAACCGCAGTTAATGTTGCAGCATCAACACCAATACAGACGGCTAAATGACTTCAGCCTATTGGCCGCAGACCCAGTAAGCAGATCGCATGTTTGCTGCGCTGCAGAGCCATGGCCAAGGCTTTGTTGCCCCGCTCGCCGTGGCGGCTGCTCTAGTCAAGGCGACACATAGGGTGCCTTGTTGCCTCGGTTCGACACATTGCTCCGGGCCCGTGTTGGTTATTTGCTGGTGCCTGGTGGGGTTGGAAAGAATGGGGTGGCATGGGGAGTGATCGACCTGGGTGGGTAGTTAGTTCGGCGCCCGGGCTGGTTTTGAGATGTATATATGTATATATTGATGACCAAGGAACGAAAGAGGGCGCTGAACTCAGGGAAGTGTCGTCAGAGACGAAGGACAGGATTACACGACGAAGGCAAGAACGTGTAAGGACGGACCTGTCCATCCATATATTGGATTCTAACTTGGCACTGGGAACGGACAACCAGCCCACGCCCACCACCACCTCTTCCCTCCCTTCAGGACCTGCTGCAAACCATTTCCATTGACATAGAACCAAACTTACGATAGCAAGCATGGCACAAGTCCAGGGCCACTGCGACCCGCGGTTCGCCAAGCTCAAGGCTCTATTCGAGAAGAAGATCGCCAACGACGAGGAGCTGGGGGCCTGCATGGCGCTCAACATCGGCGGCCAGACGGTGGTCGACATGTGGGGAGGCTGGTTCGACGAGGCCAAAACCAAGCCGTGGGAGACCGACACCATCACCAACGTGTGGTCGTCGACCAAGACCATCGCCACCTTCGCCTGCCTGCTGGCCCACGAGCGCGGCCAGTTGCACGTCGACGACCCCGTGGCCAAGTACTGGCCCGAGTTCGCGGCCAACGGCAAGGAGAAGGTTCTGGTGCGCCACCTCATGTCGCACACATCGGGCGTCTCGGGCTGGGAGCAGAAGATGACGGCCGAAGATATCAGCGACGTGCCTCGCGCCACCGCCCTGCTGGCCGAGCAGGCCCCCTGGTGGGAGCCCGGCACCGCCAGCGGCTACCACTCGGCCTCCATGGGTCACCTGCTGGGCGAGGTGATCCGGCGCGCCACGGGCAAGCCCATGAAGCAGTTCGTGGCCGACGAGATCGCGGGCCCCGTGGGTGCAGACCTGCAGATCGGTGCGAAGGAGGAGGACTGGCCGCGCGTGTCGCCGATCATCCCGCCGCCCCCTTTGCCCTTCGACTTGTCCAAGATGGACCCCAACAGCCCGGTGGTCAAGACCTTTGGCAACCCGCCCATGGACGCCCGGGTGGCGTTGGAGCCACACTTCCGCCGCGCCGACATGTCCGCCATCAACGGCCACACCAATGCGCGCGCCCTGAACCGCGTGCTCGCGGCCATCCCCAACGGCGGCAGCGTCGACGGCATCAAGTTCCTCTCACCAGAGACCATCGAGCTGATATTCCGCGAGCAGTCCAACGGCACCGACCTAGTCATCGGCATGCCCATCCGCTTCGGCATCGGCTACGCAATCGGGGGCGGCTGCACGGCCGAGACGCTGCCCTGGCTGCCGTCGGAGAAGATGTGCTTCTGGGGCGGCTGGGGCGGCAGCCTGGAGATCATGGACTGTCACCGCAATGTGACCTTTACCTATGTCATGAACAAGATGGGCGAGGGCATCATGGGCAACAATCGCTCCAAGGAGTACGTCGAGATGGTGTGGAACATCCTGAAGGAACAGGAATAAGAACAGGAGGCTTGAAGTTGATGGTGACCGCGGGGTGTGCCCGTTACATAGCGGTTGGGGAAGAAGAGATAGACCCCTGCTGTCTGTCTGGCTGTCTGGCTGGCTGGCCTGCATAGCTACATACAGTACCGAGTACATGCATGCATGGCCTTTGTCAGGAACTAGCACTAAATGGAGCAGTCTGTGGGGGCTGAAGTATCGATATTGAGTATTACTGGGGAGTGTCAGCACGTCAGTCCACGTTGTTCGGGGCATGCATCATTATGTATCTCCCCTCACCCATCTATGTATGTATGTAAGTATAGTCTTTCGCTCTGGTTCAAAATTTGAACTTCAAGTATGTAAATGAGCCGGTACTGGCCTCGAGCCTCTTGCTCTCTTTGCCGCCGCACCCTGGACTCCCGCCAACTGCATACTAAGTACTTACTAAGTCCTGAATACTTAGTACAGGTACATCCAGGCTGTCTGTCCCAGTCGGAGTACGTCCACTTTTATCCCACCCATCGTCGTGCACTGAAGAACAGCTCTCCCCATGGGCCTGTAGGCCCCCACTCCTCCGCCTTCCTAGGAGGAATGTAGTTTGCAAAACCAGCGAGCACTGTTCTTTCTGGATGTGGCATCATCGCGAGTCCTCTACCATCCTGTGTTCTGACGCCTGCAATACCGAGCAGGCTACCGTCGGGGTTGGTCTGATACTTCCCTGTTGGCCGCCCCATAGTTGTCCACATTGTTGAGGAGCCTGCGGGCATCCGTGGCCTTTTTCATGGAGTGGCACCAGCTGGGCAGCAGCAGAACTATGCTCTGCGAACTATCGCGTGTAAGTCTCGGAAGATCGGCAGAAAGCTCTTCAGTCAATCCGATCATGGAGCTCATTGGCGACAAAGGAGGGGGGAAAGGCGGTAGGTCGTCGTGGAATGTAATAGTCATGACCGAACCCCTTTCGATACGCTTGACAGTGTCTTCGTAGCCACATACGTGGGAGATGTTGGGTTGCTCTGAGCACCAGGGAGAAATGGTGCCAGGTCTAGGCGTGATGTATGTAATAGGTGACTTGCTTGTCGCTGGAGCTCTTTGGCTGTCGCCATCTTCACCAAGCAGCAGATGCTTCAGCCAACTTGGTCCTCTGTTGTGACTGTTCCTTTCACCACAACAGGAAATTACCAAGAAATTACTATTTTTCTTTCTTTCTTTTGAACCGTACCTAGATACTAACACAAGTAAGCTAGCAGAGAATACGAAGGCGTTTTGAGTAATCAACCATTAAGGAACTCGGCAAAATGACTCGCGTAACTTTCGGGATAGGTGAGCCATTCAGAGTATCGTGGCTACGTCACGTTATTGTCCGTTGCCGGACCGTGACACTCGCTATACTATATCGCTAGCTATGCACCTACGTAGTTATAAGTAATCTATCTTTAGCTCTTCTTGTATCAACAAGGTATATGTTATCCGATAATCACTGTTATGGGTGAACAGGTTGATTTCACTGGCGAGTATTCTCGGTGCCTGTTTCCTTGAGGCCGTGTGGATCGTTCAGAGGAGACGTGGTCCAGAGGCGGCTCGAACCACTTCTGAAAATCAAACCTGGGAGCAGTCAGCGAAGGCAGAGGGCAGGGCACACAGCAATCGAGTTGTCAGAGAAGGACATATCCGGCACGGCTCCTAGGACTAAGCCTAAGTTGACCCTGCTACGGCTATATCCATGTCACAGCGGTCGAAGGTGTCGGGCGAGAACAGAGGAACCCCTAATGCGTTAGATACTCTATATCGCCCGAGGTCCTGAATGTTCATACATCCTTGCAGCCATGTCCGATCGACGAGTTGGTAGGTAGTGAAACTTCAACAGTCCTATCAGATAATGATGTTCAGACTTTAGATTCGCGAACTCTGATACTCTTAGCTTCACCTTCGTTAACGCCCTGACAAGTCATCAATTAATCCAGGTCTCGAAAGCATGTCAAGACTGGGAATGGCGCCGCGAAAGCTCTTCCCTTTCGAATGATCAGTAAGGCTGTGTGTAAGACCGTCCTTCCGCCACTACAACTCATCGTTGAAATCGAAAGCCCAGGAAGCCAATCGGCTTTGATGACCTAACGGGATGGAGGGGAGTCTTGGGAGTTTTCTTGGTGGTGCCGTGCTTCACACGGGCGTTTGACACATTGTTTTCACGCACCGTATCCTCGCGCTCTCCTCTTGCTCTGCCGGCTCCGACTTTAGCCGCATTTGATCTCTCATACGCTCTTGGGGGTGTCGGGGCACGGTGGAGGGCACCGAGCTCTTGACTATCTTCGCGTAATGCGTCCTCACGTTCACCTTCGGGTCGGCGCTTTTGAACTTTGGTGAGCGCATTTGACGCCTCACGGGCTTTTGAGGTACGGCGGCGATGAAGTGCATTTTCCATATTCTGGCGACTACCTCTGGACGAATATCCGGAATCGGGTGTTGCCTGGCGTGCAAGTTGACGGGCTGGGACGATGCTCAAGCGGCCTGCAGCCACATTATCGCGCGCACGGAGACGGCGTTCCCGCTCAGTGATGGCAGTAAATCCAGTTGCATGGCGGAAAACAACAGCCCTGATCTCCTCGTCATTGCGAATGTAGACATTAGGGCTGTTGGCTTCACTGGCAACGACAAGCTCTTGCCGGCGCGAACACCGATGTTTTTTCCGGCTTTTGCATTCCTCAAACAGTGTGGCTGGGCAATGCCAGTTGTAGTCGCGTGTCAGCCTTTGCAAGGTCGTGCTGCCGCCATTGCGATGCTCTGCAAGGTTAATGAGACTAGAATTGCAGCAATTAGCGCATCGCACGAGACCGAAGGTCATTTAGACCCTGGAAAAACACCCAGGATGACGATCTATTGCCGATCGGTGATGTACTGACCAAGGAAGCGATATTGCCAGCAGGTCATAACCTTTGGGTATCTCGTGCCAGATACCTCTGCCACAGGGACCTGAGAATGCCGATGTATCTTTTGGGACGATGGGGTCATCAACACCCTCGTAAAAAAAGACGAGTTGAACCTCGTCCAAGAGAGGCGCCCAACCCGATGGAGCACGCCCATCCAGCCTGTGTTGCTTCATCCGTAACTGTGGTTTCATGCGAGCTATGTCAGCAAGCTCGAAACCAATAATCTGCTTAGCTCGAGGGTCACATGGTTAGCAAAGTCGAAATAGGTTGTGAAACGTCGAATGATTGAGTTCCACCTTGAGATACCAGCTCTTCTGGATTATTCCGAAAAAAAGCACTTACTTGTTCTCTGGTCTGAAAGACGAATCTTTTAGCCCTGCAGCACTCACGCTTAGCAAGCTCCATGGCCGCCAGCACATCGCGGACGTAGTCTTCGACTGTAAACTTCTGCTCCTCCTCACTTAGCAGCTCATTCGGAGCAGCTTTCTTAAGTGGTCGGCGGTAACAGGCCCGCAGGCAGTCGAAGGCCGCTTGACCACCATTACCATGACGCTCACAGGGAGGTATCTCGTAGTTCAGACACTTTTGTAGCTCCGCCCTGATTCTCGCTAGATGAAGCAAAACGCTCACGAGGGACACCATCCAGCCTCGTCTCTCGGACGGCGAGTACAGCACGACCGGTGTGTTTATCATCCGATGTAGGTCGGCTTCAAAATGAGCCATGTATTGATTCTTGCGGCTGCGTGCGACTTTGTAGGTCCTGCTCCAGGTTAATGTGAGCACTTTGGGTAAGCTGAATGTGCCTCCAAAAGTCGAACCGTCGAAGACTGTCTCTCGCTCCAGTTCTCTTGCATTGGACCAGTCCACCGTCGCGCGCTCGCTGCCAAGGGTTCCAAGAGTTATATGCGGATCTGACCAAAGACCTAGGAAATGTCTAGGTTGGTCGCACAAGAGATTCAGATCGTCTACTAACAATCTTTTCCTCATGATCTGGAAGGGGAATTGCCGAGATGTGAGGTCCTCATGGTAACGTTGGAAGTGCCACTGTACGCAGCCCAGGTGCTGACGGACAGGATACACAAGTGAATGCTGATGCATGTGACAAGGGTTAGCACCGAGTTGGAAGTTCTCTTAGCCAAACGCAGTCCTCGGCAGTAACGTTTGCCCGATCAAAGAGATATTGCGACCGCGCAAGTCGCATGTGAATCAGACATACCTTGCCATAGAGTATGACACCACCATGCTCAACGACTTCGTACTGTAAGCCGGCCAGAAAACATAGAAGTTCAAATGATATCTCAAGGCCGTCCACGTCCAATGGTCTTTCTTGCGTCCAAAAATATGCTGCAGAGACAGTATTAGGAACCAGATCAGTCCAGCAGGCTTTGGTATGAGGGACAATCAGAGGCTCCAGATGGTGAAGAGTTAACTCGTATCTGCTTGAACCGATACGTCTCCTCTCCCGCCTTTTCCAACGGGCCACGGCAGCCAGTAGTTTGGAATCGCCGTCGCGTCCAGTGACCTGCTGGAGAACGGAGAAATGCCATGTCAAGGCCTCAGCCATGTCAGCTTGGGGCGCAGCAACGCCATCAAAGGTTACGGAAAAGTCCAATCCTTCCCGATCCGGCGACTTTCGATATGTGGATATAGTCAAGTCGCTCGAGGGGTGAGCGATGATCCGTTGTTCAAGCTGAACATGTCGCACATTCCTTTCGAGGAGAGTAAACAGCTCTTGTATCGCCCCTACAGAATCTGGCCAAGTTGCCGTAACATATTCGCAACAGGTAGTAATCCAGGGATTCTGTTCACCAGTTAGAACTACCAAATCCCAGAAGTGATCACCGTCCTCCATCTCGGATGTCAAGAAGTCGCCAAACACGTCATTCATATGTAAAGCACATTTGAGAGGCTTATTCCAGTCTTGACCCTGTTCCTGAGCGAAACATCGACGAAAGTCGGGATCCCCGGGCTGTACTGGGCCATCCGGTCTGTTTATTATGTCCCGCTCTGCGATATCGATGTCTTTCGGACGTCGTGGTACGATGATTTTTGGATGCCGCAGTGGGATGACTTCTGGATGCCGTGGTGAGGTGCGTTCCAAGTCCAGACTGGGAGACTCAGGCTGTTTCCCTGGGCCAGGGGTTGTCAAGAAACTGTCCTTGATAACAGGCGAGCTGCGATGCTCTGCACTGTTCGATCTTTTCGACCCGCGCCTGGTGTTTTGGCGTGCAATAGTATGGCCTGTGACCAATGTGCTCCATGTGTCGCTGGTAGGGTCACTAGGACTTTCCTGCCGCTGAAATTCAACTTCGGGGGGAGGAGGGTGCCCTCGAGGGGGACTCGGGGGGTCCTTGTCATCCCTGTCCCTTGTGTTTATGTCCTGACCCTCGGTAGACCACTTGTCTCCCTCACTTTCCTCGGCCTCTCTGTGGGGCCGGCAAGCATGGTCTTCGGACTCGTCGTCGCTCACCACCGTAGGCTGTTCGCGCGACAGCTTCTCGCTCCTTGTGTGTTGAGGTGCCTCTGATTCTATCGAGGCAGGTTCTGTAGCACCCGGCTCGACACCTGCGACCCAGAGATTATTGTGATTTTCTCTTTCTTGAATCCCTTCAAAGTCAGGGTATCATTGTTCTCGTCATCAATGAAGAGTTTTACGCCTCCGTGCCGAGATATTATGGATTCTGTGTCACTGCTATCCATGACATTCTCGAACGAGACAAGGGACATCCAGCTGGAACAGAGGATGATCCCTCTAGACAAATATGGAGGCACTGATGGCAAAGCCTTGCTTTCTCGATTGGGATCAAAGGTAGAATAACCTGGCGACGCAGCTTACTCCTGGTAGACGCAGTTTGAGTCGAGGATGGTATTCCAGTGCAGCCGACAATATCTGAGTGATATCTTCCCTTGGGATTGTCCAGCATGGCCATGAGGCAGTAGAGACTGCGCCTCACTAGCCCGGCCCGACCAGCTGACAAGGCTGCAGTCACAGTTCCACACCAAGTTTGGATGATGGCCAGCCAGACTCGTACGCAACCGGGATAATCCCAGGGCAGCACCACCATTGGCCTGACCGTGACTTTGGCGGCAAATGGGAGCAATGATCAATCGTCCAAATGAGCCACAGCGCTTAGGGTGCGTCTTTGACTGGTACAAACAATCATTCACGCTCACGACGCTTTTGATCATTCCCTGCTCGGCCAGATACTGGACCAACGCCTCCGAGGGCTTTCAATTCCGCTCGAGCCCGCAGGGCCAGAGCATCTAACTCATGTCGACATAATTGATCGCTAGGCCGGGACATTGCACTTGGCCGAGCGTCAGACCATGCGATCGTAGAGGCCGCTCGCAAAGGTCAGTGGGGTGGAGTTCATGTTGTGCCTAATCTCTGTTTACTCTCAGTGCACTTTCATCGCTCGTCCAAAGAAGGTCGAGATGGGATGTCTTGAGGCGGGACTTTTTGCCGATGTCATTATTCTCGATTCGATGCTCCTTAGATACTAGCGCTAGGACTAAGTCGAGTAGTCAGTAACGAAAGTTGTAAGTAGGTAGTAGGCTTAGCTGAAATAAAGGGGTTATAGCTGGGCAACTATTATAGAAGAGGCCCAAAGGGGACCTCTGCGCCTGAACTGGCTTCTGCGAAATAATAGGCAACAGGTAGCGCTCCCTGTGGCTCCCCCGTGCTCGACCGGGCCTCTCAATGCCCCTTCACGTGCGCGATTAAAGCGGCCTCGCTCCCTTTCCTGAACAAAAATGGTAAGGGATAAAGCACAGTTCGGGGCATATATAATGTATATATATATAGATACAAGAACTGATATTAGGTTTGCCTGAGCACACGGTGTGCCACAAATCCCGATCGATGCTAAAAGAGCATATTTGGCAAAGCATAGCAAATGCCGGTGTCAAAAGCAGACGGCCAGATTTCCGCACCACAAGACTCTCTCCTCCCTCTTATCTCTCTCTTCTCAGTGATGCGACCCTCCAAAAATGTTGTCCGTGACTGTAGTAAAGGCATGTCGCCGCTCTAGTTCCAAACACCAAGATGGATCGTAGTAGCTTCGACAGTCCCATTTCCTGTACCCTGAACTTCTTCTGCAGATGCCCAATATAGCAGTTTCAGACCAGCATTTTGAGGGAGACGACGTCAGCGAGTCAGGAGAACAGATCCCTTGTGCGCGTGCTTGACCCTCTACTTCACATAATCCGGTCAACATTGCCGTACAGAATTGTCCTGCTTGTCTGATCCGTTCGTCCTCCCTGCATGTGCAGCTGTCCTGGTCCTTTTAGATCATCACTGTCACTCTGCGGGTTCCTGACTTCAAAAAGGAAGTGGCGTTATGAGCCTGCTAATTCGCGGTCGGTCAGGTCTCGGTGGTTTCCCAGCTGCGGTCATCGCAAGTACAACTTTCGGAGCTCGAAGGGTAACGGATTGACTCTGACGCTGGCGAGCGCGGGAGGACTGCTCGACGACGACTTGGTCACTACACGAAGTCTCGTGCCGAGGCAGTGCGATGACCTTCGGGATTCCACCATGCAAAGGCATTCAAGCTCGACGAAAGCCGCTGGAACGCTGATTATTTGGAACATGTCTGGCACAGGTGGTGTTCACCGTTTCGACTGTCGACGCCGCGACCAAGCAGTAAATCGGATCGGCGGAGCGAGGAGCTTCGAGCCAACTCCACAAGGATTCGTCGGTTCGCATTCGCACTCACACGACTAGACCGGTGTGGATTAGGTAATGCTCTCAGGCGAGCTGCCTACCACTTCCCTCTTTCAAATCGGAGATCGCTTCATGGGGGTTTTCTGCAGCCGAGCAATCACTTTCCTCAGACTGCGTTCCTGCAGACTCTTCGAGTAAAGAAATCCTGCCATGTGGCTGTGCAAGTCTTCGTAAGTGGCAAAGTCGAATAGGCGGCAAATATTGATCGCTCGGTGCGCGAAGAATTCCTCCTCGGGCTCACCCTCTGCCGACCAGCAACCAGTCAGCAAACCCCACAGGACAAATCTGGCCTGCATCTCAACAAAAGGATCGAGTTGAGCGTGAGGATCCAGCGGAATACAATCTTCTGTCCAGCCGATGGCAGGGCACCAAAATTTGAGGGCGTACTCCATGGCTCCTTGCAGCCGCCGCACGTTGGACTTGGCGGTCTGGAAGCCGATCAGGGTACATGCGTGAGTCATGAGGATCAACAGACATATCCTGACACACTCGGTGCACTTGCACATCAGGTCCATGGCTCCGATGTTGTTGTCGGGGGCAATGGCGAGAAGCGCGCGAAGCACCGCTCTGGCCTTGCGGCACAACCATTCGGCATCGAAACACACGGCCAGGGGAGACAGCCACACCACCTTGGCTATCTCGATGCAGTCCACTAAGTCCGAGATGATGCGACCAAGACCCCATGGGAAAGCACCCATTTTCAACGCGTGGACAAATTGAGAACCCATCCGGACATCCATGGTGGACGCGAGGTCGGAGATGGCGTCGGTGATGCCCATGGAACCATTTGGAGGCCGGGTGACCATCAGCGAAGTCGGGTTGGGGTAGCCGTAATACTTGAGGTTCTGGGCCTCTCTTCGAAGGATCGCCATCCGCTCAGGGAGCATGGGCCCTGGGTCGAACGTGTGCGGTAAAACGGGACGTTTGGCCGTGGATAGACAAAGTTGATTGTCCACGTGAGCGGCCGTCTCCGAAATCCACCGGTCAAGAAGCTGGCTCGGGTCCAGCAAGTGTAACAGCTTACCGACAATTTGGAGGTGTTTCCGGACATCGTCGTACAGACCATACTGCATCTCGTTGACGCAAAGGAAGAGAATGTCCAAAATGGTTTGCTTGTCGACATCGCCTGATCGCGAGCAACGGAGCAGTTCCTTGCGGAGATAATGCGCGGCCGTCGCTCGAACCGCCTGAGGGTCATCGGCTGTGGGTGACATGTCAAAGACGTGCTTCATTCGCGCGAGCATGGCAGCCATCAACGAGTAAAGGTGATGCTCCTTGTAAACACTACGCTGGACGACCGCTCCGATCGGAAATTGGCTGATGGTCGACCTGACATGCTTGGGTAAAAACGCCAGCTTGTAGTTGTTGCCAGCATAAGAGTAGATTTGCAGGGTATACTGCAGGACGACATGGATTCGAGGTGTGAGTCGGACTGGAGTACTCCTAAAAGGATCGATGCAGTCATAGGAGGTAAAGTTCGCCCTGTAGACCGGTGATGACAACTCCAACGCTCCTTCGTCCTCAAAGTGGTGTCCTTCGTCATCAACATCCAGATCGCTGCCGCCGGCGAGGACCTGAACCGACAGTGGCTTGCGCGGCAACGTCTGAGGAATCGGAGGCAGTTCGACAGATGGCGTGTCGATCAACGGTGAAAAGATCTGACGAACTGGCGTAGAATCCTGCGGAGGTGATGCCGCCCCCAATTCCTCGTTGGGCGATGACACCGGGGAGGATTCATCACTACTAGAACTAAAATTGTTCGTCAGCTTGGGCGAAGCGTGACTTTGGTGGAAGCCGTTGCTCGAATGTCCCCCCCCCCCCCAAAAAAACCGAGGGGAGGAAGCCGAAGACGAACTCACCTTTGGCCGGTCTCTTTCCGGTGCCAACCATCTAGAGCGATGCGACGGGCCGACGAACAGTTGGAGCGAGCAGAAGTAATTTTTTGCGCCTCGACCTTGCGACTCCGGAAATTCTGAGCGTGGCGATTGATCTGTTTGGCGACGGCGCCATCGCTTTTGGATAGAGACTTGGACTTGGGATTCTTGTTGACGAAGAGAAAAACTTGACCTTCAGCGCGATCCGATCCACGCGGCTTCTTCATGGTCGATGCGATAATTGCGAGACGCTCATGCTAGGCCAAGGGGCGATAACAGCGGGAAACAGCTTGTCGCAAGGCTGGTCCGCCACCGAGCAGCGACACACTGTCGACTGAAAACCAAAAAAAGTCGAGATCCAAAGTTCGGTTCGATGGCTGGATAATGGCTGGATAATGTGGTGGGGGCCGACAACGACGATTCTACTTGGGTGACGGCGATTTATATTGTTTGCAGAAATCCAACAGTCAAGAGAGAGGGTTGGTTTCAAACGGGTTTGAAATGGTGAAATCCTGGGGTCGGCCGAAATGCCACCAGAAGGCCCCAGTTTGCGGGCCAAGAGTGAATCGGAAGGAAGGATGGGAACTAAGAGGAGGGAGAGGGGGAGAGGGATGTGCAGTCCGACAATCGGGTTCCAGTCATTTGATGGCGGAAAGGCAAGGATGGTGATCCACGAGAGCAAGGGGAGAAAGGGAAAAAATGAACCTAGGCATTAAAGAAGGAGCCGGCAAGCGGAAACCAGCAGTAGTAAGTAGAAAAGGATGAGGAGTAATAGTAACTAACGACTCCGTACATACGAGTAGTAGCTTCGATGACTGGTCGTGGGGTTGAGTAGCTTCGTTGAGGGAGAAGAGGGAACAAGATGATGACGAGGATGATGCTGATGGATGGATGGTAGGGGCCATGCACAGCCAGAGGCCATCACGTCAGTTCTTTTTTTTTTTTTGCCTGCGCATCTCGCACCATGCTGAGTTTTAGGCTCTAGGGGAGGCTGATAGGTAAGAGAGAGAAGGGGTTCCCAGGTAAAGTGATTGCCACTCTAGTGAGAGTACCACCTGGCTCGGGCTCGCACCGCCTACAGTTAGTGCCCCTAAGCTTGCTGGACTTGCCTCGCTCTGACCTCCCCAGCTGGGCCACACCACAGGGTGTTCTACAAGGGGCCCCGAACCCGCTACCCAAAATGCCCTAAGTTTGTTAAAACGGGCATGGACACTCCCGAAGAACGCCTAGGGACCCAGCAACGCACTGGAGGGATCTGGATTTAACTGGTTGCTTACCTAGGAAGGTGCCTAGAGATTGGTAGTTATCAATTGGGTTGGGGACGGTTTGGCGATGGTTTTGCTAGCCTCCATGTTGGAACCGTGTAAGCGAGCAAGCCTCCGTCCCGGCTTGACTTTCTCCTGGATTGCTCGCGTTGCCCCCCTTCCGCCCCGGCGCACTTTGTAACCCAAAATAAAAAGCCGGTACCTCGGATGGCGCCAAGAAACGCAGGCTGATGACCAATCACACAGCGGCAATATCCATCAAAAAGTGGAGGAGTCAGAATTATCACGGTCCTGGCAGGTGAGCCAACTGCTGGCCAGGTCGATGTCAGACGGGATGCTCCCTAGACTATAAGAGCAGTGTTTTAAGAGTACGAGGTAATGTTGAGGAAGCTCCTGGGGATAATCGTGCTCTTTAGTGAACTCTGTGCCGTGAGGAAAGAAGAACCACCTCCCGGGAGAAGCTTTCATGGTGTTCCCTGAAATTGACTGAACCTTCCGACTTGCTTTTCATGCTGACTACAGGTGCTTGCATTCCAGTGTCCACCAGTCGGCTGTATATTGGTCCTGCGCTTAACTCTCGACTTCTGACTGTCCTCGTTTCTGTCGTCTTCCTCCCAGGCACTGACTAACCCTCCAGGTTGTCACCTGCTGGTTGGCTATCGCTGGAGAATTCACCGCGTTCCAGACGCCCAATACCTCTCCTCAACTTGCTCCAGAGTTCCCGATCGGCGAGCTCTATAATCGATTACCACTACCCGTCTAGCCTGACCGGGCAAGTATACAAGTACAAGGATGACAGGAGGCAACAGCAGACCCAGACAGTCTTTATGCATACTGTATGTACCCAGCGTCGGAAAGACCGACGAATTTCGATCTGTGGGCTCCATTGTTCCTCCATCGTTTGTCATCAACGACCCCCGAGTCTCGGGTGTCGAAGCCGTAGAACATGTCATGCACCGGAGAGATATCGAGTCTATTGGAGGATGATGTCTATGCGCATCCCTCACATGAACAGTTGCCAGCCGGTAATGTGGAGTGCCTCTTGCGTTACTGACTGGTAGCACATCGCAGGTGGAGGTCCCCTGCCCAATATGGGTTTAAAGAGCGAAGATATGCGTGGTTGGATTTCGCCTGGTGAGCATCAACGTCGGTGATAACCTGGCATTCGGCACTTGGCTCCGGAAAAATGAGGTGCTGTCCACCGGACATCGTGCAAGCATCAAGAGCATAAGGCCTCCACGATTCTTTTACATACTCGGGAATCAGACCCGCTCAATGTAGACTGAATGGGGACGCCCACACCACGATGATCCCTCCCAAATGCCTGTCATCGTCACGAGGCTTATAAATGTCAGCCTTATAATCCTCGATTTTGCCGTTCTGCCCGGCGCACCGTACTTTGTATCAAGACATGTCAACACCGTGCAGCGCTGATCTGCTGAAGGGTTTGTTGTTATTGTTGTGGACGGGCAAGCTCACGTGATGAAAGCTTGCCCAGGTGTGCTGGAGAGAGTGCTACCCCTGGCAGTCGGAAATGATACATGGGATAAAGTCTTTCAGTCGGATCAAGAACACAAGCGCCGAGGGCATGCGTGGTGTAGTCTCGCGTGTCACACTCAATCCAAGCAATATGCAGGTGCACCAGCAGACATCGAGAGTTTCTTTGGAGCGAGCACCTCGTAGGCAAACACATGTCAGGGACGGGCTAAGCGAATAAGCGCCTCCTCTATCCAGCACTCGCTTCAGGCGTGCCATGGTCCCCTTTGCCGTGAACCGAGTAGCCCTGGTGGCATGACCGTCATGTCTGACAAACTGTCCTGGCCAGGGTTTCCGAGTTCCACAACAAGTAATATCCCCATGTAGAGGGGTTTTGGGAGCGGTTTGTTTAAACCTTGGAGCCGCCAGACGAACCCCCAGGATGTGCCCAGCACCACGGGCGAATCAAGCGTGTCGTGTCATGACTTGGACAAGGCGCGAAGAGCTTCCATGCAGCTGTTTAACCAAACATGGTATTCGGTGCCCTCAACCCGGATGGACTTTCGGCCGCATTAAATTTGTGGAGTTGTCATCGAGACTCCTTCGCGAAAAGGAATGCTGTTGATGCTCTCACGTTTCAGGCATTTTATCACAACACCGGAAATACTTCTGATCCTGCTCCAGGTCGATCGTTGCCTCTCCAGGCCGGGTCTTCGGCAAGGAAGCCTGAAACAAAGAAGGGGAGCCCGGATTCTGAGTCCAGCGGGATACCGGGTACAGTTGCAGTGGCTATGGACGCAGATTGCAGATCCGGTCCTCTGCGACTGCGAACGCGCAAGCACCATTTGTCACAAAACCACAGGTATTGGTTTATGTTACTGCACTCGACAAACATTCACGTTCGTATGTGGACCTAGTTGTTTGGAGAATTTTATGTGTCAGCAGTATAGTAGGGAATGATGGTGGTGCCGGTGGAAGAAGCCATTCGCCTGACACAGGTACCAGACCACAAGCCATGAACCTTCGATGGTTGGGCCGGTACGATATATATACTCCCCAAATAGGATATATTTCGATGCCTTGCTACTGATGCCTAGGTATGGAGGGCCATACCTTAATTCGATGTTGCGCACAGGGTCGATGCCGTGGATCAGGGTGAATAATTGGGTTTGGTCTCGGTAGGAGGCGAGGTTTGACAGCCATCTGTTCGTGCGAGTACTAATCACCGCGCGTCGGTTTCAGCTGGTCTCTTGCTTCGTATTTGCAAGTGACAGGGACTCGATACGGACCCGGAGGTGGCCGAATCGTCCACCCACGTCCCTTTCCAAGAGGCTGATCGCCGGAAGCCATGGTGTTTGTAAGCCATGCACCTCACGACACCTGGTTCTGCAAACCTATCGTGTTCGTTCATATACTTGGACATCATTTTTCAGGGGCTTGTGGGACCCACTTCTGAACCGACCAACACAGGAGGTTTGAAGCTGGCAAGCAAGCACCAGAGCCCGGTCCATGGAATTATTTGATCAGAGTGTATAAGGGCATATAATTTTTCGAGTCCGTGGATCGGGACTTTGACACGCCTGGGCACTGTACAAACCACAGACATTTTATTCGGTTCATGTCGACCAGGCTGCAATCCGTCAGAGAGGCAAGTTGTTTCGCCACGCCTAGTTGGGGATTGGAAAGGGGAGGCACCCGAGACATGACTGAATGATACGGATGTCAGCATTGGTGACAGCCAATTGTTGGACGCCAGGAATGATGTATCAGGTTCCAAGCGTTAATCAGCTGCCTGGTAGCAGAAGCACAAGCACAGCTAGCCATCGCAGTTTTGTCACCCTGGAGCAAGGAACTCATCTAATGCTTTGTTGAGGCCCGGGTATGCCCTCCGTCGATAATGGTTTACCCCCTCAATGGAGGACATGTTGGACCAGCACTTCGGTGTCGTCAGCTCCTCGCGATTTGCATCTCCAACATGGTCCGTGAGTCCTGGGCAGCGAATCGAGTTATAAAGAGCGAATGAATCTCAGGCTCGAAGCCCACCGACGCCATATATTCCAGCAGTTTGGCACTATGTTATCATGTCAATGACGGGCCGCTGGCTCGGTGGGTGTCATACACCTTTTACTCCAGCACTTTGCTCCTCTCACATGTCGAGGTCGCGGGAGGGGTCGGCGTTCTCCCCGTTTCGTCGCCCTCCTGTTCCAAAGGCTTGGTGGAGGATGTACTGCCATCACAAGACAACGGACCAGGCCTTGATGCTGAGCGAGCTTCACTCAGTACCGCTTTGGCATTTCCAAGTGCATCTTGTCCTCGCCGCAGAGACGAAGATACTATCGTTTGAGGGCTAGAATCGCGGGATATGCACGTTCCCAGTAGTGCCGAGTTCCATATGCAACAGGGGGAAGACAGCCCAATGTTCTCATGGTGCGATCACAAGCCCTGATAAGTTGCCAAACACTGCGCGAGACAAGGAGTGGCATGGC